CACTTTCACCTATCTTAGCAGATATGGTAATGGAAGATTTGGAGATGCAATGTCTAAACTTATTAGGTTTTACCGTTCCTACTTATTATAGATTTGTCGATGACGTTTTCGCAATGGTACCACGCGCAAAAATCAACGAGATCTTGACAAAGTTCAACAATTATCACGAGCGCTTAAGATTCACTTATGAGACTGAAGTTGACTCATCCATTAGCTTTTTGAATGTAAAAATTATTCGGTCCGATAATAGACTTATCACTAATTAGTTCCGGAAACCTACATGGTCAGGGAGGTATATAAACTATCATTCGAACCACCCATAAAAGTATAAAATTAATACTATTTATAATTTAGTTGACCACGCGATCTTATTATCTAATGACGGCTTTAAACAAGACAACATAAAGCTAGTTTTTGACACGTTAATTAAGAACGGCTTTCCGGAACATTTTATACATAAACACATTAAAAAAAGACTCAACTTTTTAAATAATCGTGACCATAATGCTACAACTGACGTGAATCTTACTCGTTCTGATGTGACTCGGTTTATCACAATACCATACGTTGAAAATGTTAGTCAAGATTTATACCGTCTCCTGCGTAATAGAGGCTTTAAGGTCGTGTATAAGATAACCTAAAAAATTACCCTTTTAAAAAAAAGGTAAAAAAAGGTGCTAAGTCCGCGTAAAAAACAGTATATGTATTTGCAAAATAGTGTATTATTAACTGTAAAAAACTACTGTATTGTATATCCTACAAAAATAATGATATTAAAAAAGTTGCGCTAAGTGAAAATAAAAGCTTATAAAAATACTTTAACCAAAAAAAGTTATACAAAATAGCTGATTTAATTTTCTACATTATATCCTAGAAAAATAATGATATCCAAAAATTACGCTAATTGAAAATAAAAACTTAAAATAATTTAACTAAAAAAAATTGTACAAAGTAATTGTTTTAATTTCATACAAATAATATTAAAAAGTTGCGCCAACTGAATAAAAATTTTTACTGTAAAATAGACATATTTCTTTTTTATTTTCAATATTAAAAGAAAAATGATATTAAATGAATTGTAATATATTTATTATAAAAAATCGAATTGAAAATATGAACAATCATATACATTGCAATAATCATATGCATATACATCCTGAAAAGTTTAATTAAAAAAAAAAAGAAAATGATAATACAAAATACAAAATTAAAAATTATTAAAAAAATTAAAAATTAAAAATTAATAAATAAAAAATAAAAATTTATATAAAAATTAAAAATTAATACATATAAAAAAATTTTAGTTAAAATACTTAGCGCTGCTATGCTGAACAATGTGCTAATGAAATTAGCAGCGCTAAGTTTTTTAACTAAAATTTTTTTATATGTATTAATTTTTAATTTTTATATAAATTTTTATTTTTTATTTATTAATTTTTAATTTTTAATTTTTTTAATAATTTTTAATTTTGTATTTTGTATTATCATTTTCTTTTTTTTTTTTAATTAAACTTTTCAGGATGTATATGCATATGATTATTGCAATGTATATGATTGTTCATATTTTCAATTCGATTTTTTATAATAGATATATTACAATTCATTTAATATCATTTTTCTTTTAATATTGAAAATAAAAAAGAAATATGTCTATTTTACAGTAAAAATTTTTATTCAGTTGGCGCAACTTTTTAATATTATTTGTATGAAATTAAAACAATTACTTTGTACAATTTTTTTTAGTTAAATTATTTTAAGTTTTTATTTTCAATTAGCGTAATTTTTGGATATCATTATTTTTCTAGGATATAATGTAGAAAATTAAATCAGCTATTTTGTATAACTTTTTTTGGTTAAAGTATTTTTATAAGCTTTTATTTTCACTTAGCGCAACTTTTTTAATATCATTATTTTTGTAGGATATACAATACAGTAGTTTTTTACAGTTAATAATACACTATTTTGCAAATACATATACTGTTTTTTACGCGGACTTAGCACCTTTTTTTACCTTTTTTTTAAAAGGGTAATTTTTTAGGGATATCACTCTTTTTTGTACTATATGTTAAACATCTCTAAATAAATGAGCAAAGAACCCGCCATCACCCCCGTCATATTTCATTAAAATTAGACAATCTTCTTTGCTTACTATATAGATATTCAGATCCTTTAAACTTCTTTGCTACTCTTATTGCAAAAATAACGGATAACTACAAATCAATATGTCATTAGAAACCGTACACCTCTTTTCATTCAAAAACTAAGCATTTTAGAGAAAAACGTTTTAGACAAAAATTGTATGATTTTAAAGGGAACATAAGATGGTGTCATTGGTTTAACCTCGGGTGGCATCGTTAAGGTCAGGTCAAGGACATCTTTAATTTCTTAAATGGAATCACCTATTTTTTATTGCATACTTTTATAGCTTATGTCGAGAGCTTTCCAAAATACTATAATAAAGTATTTTTTCATTGAGTACTTTTCGATTTATAAAACTTAAAATAAAATCTTAATTTTACATAAACTATAAAATATCTAGTAAAATATTTATTTCTCGATTATCTTACCNTTTCAAATTATTTATTGTAAGTTAATGTTGCATAATTGTCTGTTTGATATAAACAATATATTTCTTTCGAAGAATTATTTTTATTATTAATCATAAATTTCTGTAAAATAAATGTTCTTCATTGAAGATACACGTTCAAGCAAAATATAGTATATTTAAATTAAATTGATCGAAATGGAAATTTATGAGGATTTTTCGAATGTTTCGCGCCTTTTCTACCTGTTCAAGCATTCAACAGAGGGACAACGCGTGATCATATATGTATACATAACGCTACGAATACCAGTACAGTGCTAAGGAAGAGTTAATAAACGACAACATTTTATTTTTCTGCGTATCAGGTCATAAAGTGTCGAAAGAAAGTCGTCATTGAAATTTTCACGATCGAGACATCACCATAAATCAAATTCTGAAATATGTTTCGCCTTTTTGTGATAATGACGATGCTCTTTATGACGAATTGACGCGCGATTAAACAGGTCAGTATATTATATTGTATGCATATTGGCATAAATATCGACTTCGAAAGATCGATTTTTTTCTCGTCTTCGACTTCTTGGATTAAACCGCGTGGCTTGTACAAATGCAAATAATGCTTCAATACAAATTGGATGAAATGATTTCGTTGATCAAAACGTATATTTTGATTTATTAATTAAAGAGTAAATAAAATAAAATATTTTGGGAAAAAGTGACTTGTTGTTTTTTCGTAACGTTCGCTTTGTCCATCTTGTCTTTATCCCCTATTTAAACGACGACCGTTAACATAAATATCATGCTTGGAGGTCATCAAAACATGTAATTGTAACTATTTTTTCATGCGTTACTGTACGTATAATGAGTTGCTTTATATTATTTGTTTAATTGATATTCTCTGTTTTCTTATTTTTAATACTCTTTTTTTATTACTTGTTTTCTAAATTACTTTTGTATGTAAAATCAACATGCAAATTAATTAAAATTCAATGTCTATTAAAATAATTTGGTTTAAAATAAACTGTACAAATCAATAATTAACTTTTGATACACACACACACACACACACACACACACATATATATATATATATATTGAGTTTCATACAATTTTAAAAAGATCATCGAATAATAAACATTTCTGAAATATTTATATTTAAATGCGTAATGCACTTATAATTGCAAAGTATGTAAGTTATACAATTAAATTTTTGAGAATGTGTAGACTTTCATGACTACATTTGTTCTGAAAATATCAATTAGTCATATCAAACGTAAATATTCATTTTACATATATATTTAGAATACCATACATATATCATAGAATGTTGTTTATGCTATTTCAAGGACTTCATTGCACGAGATGGATGGAGAATCTTCGGAAAAAGTTGGCACCGTCTTGCAAAAAGTTCCTTCGTTACGTTAGTAATCTTCCTTCAGTACGTTTGACCAATTCAAAAACATAGCTTACATGGCAGTATTAAATTGGAATTCCACCGCAAAAATTTCAAGTTATATTTAATTGTGGTTCCCCACATCTTTGGATATTTTCCAAAAAATGCACACACCCTTTTTGTTGTAAGTAATTTGTTTGTGTGTGTGTGTGTATATATATATATATATAATATATATATAATATATATATACATATTCCGTCATTAATATATTTTTCAAATATAATCTTGAAAATATTGTTGAAAAGTTGAATACATAATACAGATATATATTTATGTTAATTTATAGTAATTTTAATACTATAAATTTAAATATTACAATGGCAAATTTGTAATTTTGGAAATGTACTAATTATTAAATAATTTATCAGCTTCATTCTCCAAAGATTCAAGCATTGATAAACAAAGATAATTTATGAATTAATGCGACAAATACATTTACATGTATAAAATATGGCATTATTTGTAAAAGAATATTGCATAATTGATATAGATTAATAAGACAATATGTCCATATATATTTTAATCTTCTTCTAATATTGCTAAATTTTCGATATTATTGAATATGTTTCAGTACGACCTTGTTAGAGATAAAAGTAACAAATACTATATATCACCTTATTCTAATGATCACGTAGTACTATTAATATAGAATATTTGAATTATAAGTTACATGGTCTTCTATCTACTGATTTAGTGAAAGTAAGTCATTTATTAAGCAATCAATCCATATCAGTTAGAAATAAATCATACGAGTAAGTATTAAACATTTCTTAAGCAATCATGTTTTTTTTTTCGCGCGCAAGGACGATGTATGTAACTATTTCTGTATCGATTTTATCACAGGTTGCCCAAACTCACTGTTTTGCGAATCAAACATTGTAGAAGTGACAGACGCATCAGACATAAATATAATATTTGATAAATATATAACTATACATGATAGACACAGATTTTGGTGGTATGGTTAGGGCTGCTATATTTTAATTTATATTATTTGCACTTACGATAACGCCAGTCTTCGGCAACATGATTGAACAAGGTCTAGTGTCATCACGCATTTTTAGTTTTTATCTAAATAGGTATACATATCTTCTCTGTTTTATGAATAACATATATCTATAGAAAAGAGTATTTAATTAACATGCAGTTCTATTTGTATATATTTTTATATTTATTATATACTTATTTTAATATTAATATAAATTAAATTTATTATTTATACATAGTATCATAATTTCTATATAGTAATTATTTTCATATTAAATTAATATTTATATTTACACATTAAATATAATGTATAATTTATCATAATTATCACATACATACATATGCGATATAAAAAATACAATTTGCAGAGACCCTAACTCAGCTAATTTAGGTGGTAATTGACATTCGGTGGTTCCGATCCTGCTTATTACGAAGGAAATTTTACATATGTTCCTGCTAATATCGAAAGATCCTGGGAAATTACCATAGATAGGTAACGTTATATATTTTAAATTATATTAATCATATTTCAACAAATTGTTTACGTTACGCTTTATAGTATCGAAATAGATGGGATTCCTTTTTTGCAAGAGATACTGTCCTACTACCATTGATACAAGTATTTGGAGAATAATTGGACCAGAAAAGGATATTCATTTATTAATCGATATATTTATACTAATCCACAGGGAAGAGTAAGTAATATCTTTCAAGTAGTCATATCTTTCAAGCACGTAGCCTTTGATAACAAAATAATAAAAAGTTGATAATAACAATACAAAAATAAATATTTGGTACGTTGCAATAAAACATAAACTTCTATGGAACAATGACATTAGTCCTTGTTTCCGAAAACTTAATATATTCATTAAATATGATTAATTATTAAATTGATATTATGTTTTATTTAAAGGTGGACTGCAATAGAATTTCTCAATTGCCTACAATCCAGTTTAATTTGGGTGCGAGGCCTTGAATCTTACCGGTAAAGATTACATCATTCGGGTGAGTGTTATATGAAAATTACTTAAATTATCTAAATAAATATAAGAAAAGGTTATATTGTGTATTTAATTCTGCTCAGGGTCCACATAATAAAAATCGATGTTCAAGCGTCTTCTGGAAACATATGGACCCAAAATATAACGATGAAAGTAAATTTATTAAGTCGTGGATTCTGGGCACGTCATTTATAGGCCGCTACTACACCGAGTTTGACATGGACAAAGAACGAGTGGGATTTGCTTTGGCAAAAAATTTATAGAATTCATCAAAACCTATAGAAAGTTTTTCATTGCCTTCTTTTATTGAAAACTTTATCAATTTTTAATAATTTGCTCAATATTCTGCAGCAAAAAAAATTTAATTATTTTTAATCACCAACTGATAAAGTTTGCGTATTATCAATGTGAATTTTTGCGTAATATGTAGATAGCTGTATGTAGTTTTTAACAGCAATACTTTATCTTGAAAGTAATTAACATGAGTTTATTGCTAATTAGATTGTGCGAAATTTTGGGAACAGTGTCATTTGCTAAAATCCTTGTTTCATGGCCGTCTAGTCGATATAATCAGTTTATATTTTTGAAATGATTATTACTTCTTCATTATCATTCTTAATCACGCGCACGTTTAATAATTTATTTTATTACAATTGGTTCAATTATAAAACAAAATATTTAAATAATATATTTTTAAATTTGACTGATCGATAGAACGGATCGATAACATGGATGTATTTCGAATGCGCGCGATTGTATATACATCAGTCATTAAATGTCGATAAATGATGGCTCTAGTAGTCGAGTACAATTTCTTCTTTGTATGTCGCAACGTACAGAAAGAAATTTACCAGAAATTTCGAAAATATGTTCTGTTTTTTCGTAGCAGCAGTGTTGCTGATCGACGCGGAAATCCAAAGTTAAGTTTATGCATTGTATCATGTGTTTAAGTTACGTATCGATATAATAAATGCTGATTTTATAAAATCAATCTCTCTCGTCGTGATCACATTTGATTATCTGAAATCCAAAACCTATGTAAATGTGATGACATTCATAAAACGCTGATAAATCCTAAATAGAAAGTTATTCAGTGCGATGATCAATAAAAGTTTTTAATTTTTTATGAGAATGTTATAAAAATAATTTTCTTCTTGCTCGATTTAATAAGAATTAAAAATGAGAGATTACCATTGAGTGATGATCTAATAAAATTAATTTGAAGCTCTCTCGTAAATAAAGCATTTTTATGGATCCAGAATTGCAAAAGTTTCCCATTTTATTCCTTACATCTTCGTACGTGAATAAGAATTAATATGCTTCCATTCAGTAAGAGAACAACTTGTTGTCATCGCTTTAAGATAATTTCGCTGCGATCTAAAATATTTTCGAGCCGCATGAAATCATCGACTTATCGACTTGATTTTATCTGTATTATGCATTCCATCATGTGCCCTTAAATGCATAACGATGTTGTTTACACGGCAAGCGCGTTTTCCTGATTACAATTTACTATATCGTATTAATCCCTAGATATTGCGGAGATATAAGTGCGATAATATGTTTCGCTGTCATATAAATACAAATAATATCTCGGTGTCTTCTTTTAATTCAAATTCTTGCATAAATCGATTGCGTGAAGAGTTTAGAGAAAAATCTGACATTTTCTTTGTTCTTGGTTAATAAATGCCACGAAAATTTCGCAATTAATGCAATTAGCACGCGATTCAGTAGCGCCTTTCGATTTTTTTGAATTAAATAAGCTTTGTTAAAGAGTTCTTAAGAACTGATTTCATATTCGGATATCATATTTCATACTATGGTTGAATATTAAGAGCGTGAAAAATTAATTATTATCGATCGATTATTATTTTCTATTTTTGTCTGAAATAATTTGATTATAAATTGAATATAAATATTGCACTATTACGCTATTATTCATGAATTTTAATTGTAATATATGAAATATATGTTTACATACATATACTAAATGTTTGAATAATACCAATATTCGGTCACTATCAACTTTTTAAATCAGGATGACTTGAAAAAGAAACTAATGAAAACGTATTATAATTTTTTTATCTTATAATATGTTTATTTTATTATAAGTTTATTTTATAATGTAATTTGAAATTATGATCATAATGACGTTTCTCATTATTGCAAATTGTTTATTTCGATATACTAATCACATATTTTTAATAAAATTTTTAATAAAAGTACACGTTTCCTTATTGGAGATGTATTATTTCCTTCACAAAATTTGATTGCATTTTCCTGAAATTTGCATAATATAGAAAAGAAATATATATAGTATAGATTTTTAGTTTTCTATAGTTATTAGTATAGATTTTTAATTTTGTATAGTATCTTGAGTTAAAATATTCATATTAATATTATTCGAAATTTAACATAACAATTGTTCATAACACAAAATTTCTGAAATTAATGATTATTCAAATATATATTCAAGATTATGTATATTTTCTTGTCTCTTTAGAAACCTCAAGTATTCATCAAATAAAGTGTGATGTATAATTGTATAAATATAATTTTATCGCACCAAAATTACATAAAAAAATGTCGATAATTTTTTCAAATTATCTATTGTAAAGTTAATGTTGCATAATTGTCTGTATGATATAAACAATATATTCTTTCGAAAGAATTATTTTTATTATTAATCATAAATTTCTGTAAATAAATGTTCTTCATGGAAGATACACGTTCAAGCAAAATATAGTATATTTAAATTAAATTGATCGAAATGGAAATTTATGAGGATTTTTCGAATGTTTCGCGCCTTTTCTACCTGTTCAAGCATTCAACAGAGGGACACGCGTGATCATATATGTATACATAACGCTATCGAATACTAGTACAGTGCTAAGGAAGAGTTAGTAAACGACACACTTTACTTTTCTGCGTATCAGATCATAAAGTGTCGAAAGAAAGTGTCATTGAAATTTTCACGAATCGAGACATCACCAATAAATAAATTCTGAAATATGTTTCTTTTTGTGATAATGACGATGCTCTTTATTACGATTGACGCGCAATTAAACAGGTCAGTACATATTATATTGTATTGCATATTGGCATAAATATCGAACTTCGAAAGATCGACTTTTCTCGTTTCCGACTTCTTGGATTAAACGCGTGGCTTGTACAAATGCAAATAATGCTTCAATACAAATTGGATGAAGTTTCTTTGATCAAAACGTATATTTTGATTTATTAATTAAAGAGTAAATAAAATAAGAATATTTTGGAAAAAGTGACTAGTTGTTTTTTCGTAACGTTCGCTTTTGTCCATCTTGTCTTTATCCCTATTTAAACGACGACCGTTAACATAAATATCGTGCTTGGAGGTCATCAAAACATGTAATTGTAAACTATTTTTTCATGCGTTAACTGTACGTATAATGAGTTGCTTTATATTATTTGTTTAATTGATATTCTCTGTTTCTTATTTTTAATACTCTTTTTTTATTACTTGTTTCTAAATTACTTTTGTATATAAAATCACATGCAAAATTAATTAAAATTCAGTGTCTATTAATATGATTTTGTTTAAAACTGGACTGTACAAATCAATATTTACTTTTGATACACACACACTCACACACACACACACACACACACACACACACACACACACACACACACACACACACACACACATATATATTATATATATATATGAGTTCATACAATTTAGAAAGATCATCGAATAATAAACATTTCTGAAATATTTATATTTAAATGCGTAATGCACTTATATTGCAAGTATGTAAGTTATACAATTAAGTTTTGAGAATGTGTAGACTTTCATGACTACATTTGTTCTGAAAATATCAATTAGTCATATCAAACGAAAATATTCATTTTACATATATATTTAGAATACATACATATATCATAATTGTTGTTTTATGTTATTTCAAGGACTTCATTGCACGAGATGGATGGAGAATCTTCGGAAAAAGTTGGCACCATCTTGCAAAAAGTCCTTCGTTACGTAGTAATCTTCCTTCAGTACGTTTGACCAATTTCGAAAACATAGCTTACTATGGCACTATTAAAATTGGAATTCCACCGCAAAAATTTCAAGTTATATTTAATTGTGGTTCCCCACATCTTTGGATATTTTCCAAAAAATGCACACACCCTTTTTGTTGTAAGTAATTTGTTTGTGTGTGTGTGTATATATATATATATACATATTCCGTCATTAATTATATTTTTCAAATATAATCTTGAAATATTGTAAAAAGTTGAATACATAATACAGATATATATTTATTTAATTTTATAGTAATTTTTAATACTATAATTTAAATATTACAATGGCAAACTTTGTAATTTGGAAATGTACTAATTATTAAATAATTTATCAGCTTCATTCTCCAAAGATTCAAGCATTGATAAACAAAGATAATTTATGAATTAATGCGACAAATACATTTACATGTATAAAATATGGCATTATTTGTAAAAGAATATTGCATAATTGATATAGATTAATAAGACAATATGTCCATATATATTTTTAATATCTTTCTAATATTGCTAATTTTCGATATTATTGAATATGTTTCAGTACGACATTGTAGAGATAATAGTAACAAATTCTATATATCACCTTATTCTAATGACTCACGTAGAACTATTAACATAGAATATTTGAATTACAAGTTATATGGTCTTCTATCTACTGATTTAGTGAAAGTAAGTCATTATTAAGCAATCAATTCAAATCAGTTAGAAATAAAATCATACGAGTAGTTTAAACATTTCTTAAGCAATCATGTTCTTTTTTTCGCGCGGCAACGACGATGTATGTACTATTTCTATATCGATTTTATCACAGGTTGCCAAACTCACTGTGGCGAATCAAACATTTGTAGAAGTGACAGACGCATCAGACATAAATATAATATTTGATAATATGTAACTATACATGATACACACATATTTGGTGGTATGGTAGGGCTGCTATATTTTAATTTATATTATTTTGCACTTACGATAACGCCAGTCTTCGGCAACATGATTCAACAAGGTCTAGTGTCATCACGCATTTTTAGTTTTTATCTAAATAGGTACATATCTTCTCTATTTATGAATAACATATATCTATAGAAAAGAGTATTTAATTAACATGCAGTTCTATTTGTATATATTTTTATATTTATTATATACTTATTTTAATATTAATATAAATTAAATTTATTATTTATACATAGTATCATAATTTCTATATAGTATTATTTTTCATATTAAATTAATATTTATATTTACACATTAAATATAATGTATAATTTATCATAATTATCACATACATACATATTGCGATATAAAAAATACAATTTGCAGAGACCCTAACTCAGCTAATTTAGGTGGTAAATTGACATTCGGTGGTTCCGATCCTGCTTATTACGAAGGAAATTTTACATATGTTCCTGCTAGTATCGAAAGATCCTGGGAATTTACCATAGATAGGTACGTTATATATTTTAAATTATATTAATCATATTTCAACAAATTGTTTACGTTACGCTTTATAGTATCGAAATAGATGGGATTCCTTTTTGCAAGAGATACTGTCTAGCTACCATTGATACAAGTATTTGGAGAATAATTGGACCAGAAAAGGATATTTCATTTATTAATCGATATATTTCTACTAATCCACGGGGAAGAGTAAGTAATATCTTTCAAGTAGTCATATCTTTCAAGCACGTAGCCTTTGATGACAAAAATAATAAAAAGTTGATAATAACAATACAAAAATAAATATTAGGTACGTTGCAATAAAACATAAACTTCTATGGAACAATGGCATTAGTCCTTGTTTCCGAAAAACTTAATATATTCATTAAATATGATTAGTTATTAAATTGATATTATGTTTTATTTAAAGGTGGACTGCAATAGAATTTCTCAATTGCCTACAATCCAGTTTAATTTGGGTGGCAACGCCTTCAATCTTACCGGTAAAGATTACACCATTCGGGTGAGTGTTATATGAAAATTACTTAAATTATCTAAATAAATATAAAAAAAGGTTATATTGTGTATTTAATTCTGCTCAGGGTCCATATAATAAAAATCGATGTTCAAGCGTCTTCTGGAAACACATGGACCCAAAATATAACAATGAAAGTAAATTTATTAACTCATGGATTCTGGGCACGTCATTTATAGGCCGCTACTACACCGAGTTTGACATGGACAAAGAACGAGTGGGATTTGCTTTGGCAAAAAATTTATAGAATTCATCAAAACCTATAGAAAGTTTTTCATTGCCTTCTTTTATTGAACACTTTATCAATTTTTAATAATTTGCTCAATTTTCTCCAACAAAAAAAATTTAATTATTTTTAATCACCAACTGATAAAGTTTGCGTATTATCAATGTGAATTTTTGCGTAATATGTACATAGTTGTGCGTCAATTTTTAACAGCAATACTTTATCTTGAAAGTAATTAACATGAGCTTATTGCTAATTAGATTGTGCGAAATTTTGGGAACAGTGTCATTTGCTAAGATTCTTGTTGCATGGCCATCTAGTCGATATAATCAGTTTATATTTTCGAAATGATTATTACTTCTTCATTATCATTCTTAATCACGCGCACGTTTAATAATTTATTTTATTACAATTTGGATTAATTATGAAACAAAATATTTAAATAATATATTTTTAAATTTGACTGATGGATGGAACGGATCGATAACATGGATGTATTTCGAATGCGCGCGTTTGTATATACATCAGTCATTAAATGTCGATAAATGATAGCTGTAGTAGTCGAGTACAATTTCTTCTTTGTATGTCGCAACGTACAGAAAGAAATTTACCAGAAATTTCGAAAATATGTTCCGTTTTTTCGTAGCAGCAGTGTTGCTGATCGACGCGGAAATCCAAAGTTAAGTTTATGCATTGTATCGTGTGTTTACGTTACGTATCGGTATAATAAATGCTGATTTTATAAAATCATTCTCTCTCGTCATGATCACATTCTATTATCTGAAATCCAAAACCTATGTAAATGTGATTACATTCATAAAACGCTGATAAATCCTAAATGTTATAAAAATCATTTTCTCCTTGCTCGATTTAATAAGAATTAAAAATGAGAGATTACCATTGAGTCTAGTAAAATTAATCTTGAAGCTCTCTCGTAAATTAAGCATTTTTATGGACCCAGAATTGCAAAAGTTTTCCCATTTTACTCCTTATATCTTCGTACGTGAATAAGAATTAATATACTTCCATTCAGTAAGAGAACAACTTGTTGTCACCGCTTTAAGATAATCTCGCTGCGATCTAAAATATTTTCGAACCGCATGAAATCATCGACTTATAGACTTGATTTTATCTGTATTATGCATTCCGTCATGTGCCCTTAAATGCATAACGATGTTGTTTACACGGCAAGCGCGTTTTCCTGATTACAATTTACTATATCGTATTAATCCCTAGATATTGCGGAGATATAAGTGCGATAATATGTTTCGCTGTCATATAATTAAAAATAATATCTGGGTGTCATCTTCTTTTGATTCAAATTCTTGCATAAATCGAATGCATGAAGAGATTAGAGAAAAACCTGACATTTTCTTTGTTCTTGGTTAATAAATGCCACGAAAATTTCGCAATTAATGCAATTAGCACGCGATTAGTAGCGCCTTTCGATTTTTTTGAATTAAATAAGTTTGTTAAAGAGTTCTTAAGAACTGATTTCATATTCGGATATCATGATTTTTCATATTATGGTTGAATATTAATAGCGTGAAAAATTAATTATTATCGATCGATTATTATTTTCTATTTTTGTCTGAAATAATTTGATTATAAATTGAATATAAATATTGCACTATTACGCTATTATTCATGAATTTTAATTGTAATATATGAAATATATGTTTACATACATATACTAAATGTTTGAATAATACCAATATTCGGTCACTATCAACTTTTTAAATCAGGATGAACTTGAAAAAGAGAACTAATGAAAACGTATTATAATTTTTTTATCTTATAATATGTTTATTTTATTATAAGTTTATTTTTATAATGTATTTGAAATTATGATCATAATGACGTTTCTCATTATTGCAAATTGTTTTATTTCGATATACTAATCACATATTTTTAATAAAATTTTTAATAAAAGTACACGTTTCCTTATTGGAGATGTATTATTTCCTTCACAAAATTTGATTGCATTTTCCTGAAATTTGCATAATATAGAAAAGAAATATATATAGTATAGATTTTTAGTTTTGTATAGTATATATAGTATAGATTTTTAGTTTTGTATAGTATATATAGTATAGATTTTTAGTTTTGTATAGTATCTTGAGTTAAAATATTCATATTAATATTATCTGAAATGTAACATAACAATTTGTTCAGAACACAAAATTTCTGAAATTAATGATTATTCAAATATATATTTCAAGATTATGTATATTTTCTTGTCTCTTTAGAAACCTCAAGTATTCATCAAATAAAGTGTGGTGTATAATTGTATAAATATAATTTTATCGCATAAAATTACATAAAAAAATGTCGATAATTTTTTCAAATTATCTATTGTAAAGTTAATGTTGCATAATTGTCTGTTTGATATAAACAATATATTCTTTCGAAAGAATTATTTTTATTATTAATCATGAATTTCTGTAAATAAATGTTCTTCATTGAAGATACACGTTCAAGCAAAATATAGTATATTTAAATTAAATTGATCGAAATGGAAATTTATCAGGATTTTTCGAATGTTTCGCGCTTTCTCTACCTGTTCAAGCATTCAACAGAGGGACACGCGTGATCATATACATACATAACGCTATCGAATACTAATACAGTACTAAGGGAGAGTTAGTAAGCGACAACACTATTTTTCTGCGTGTCAGGTCATAAAGTGTCGAAAGAAAGTCGTCATTGAAATTTTCACGAATCGAGACGTCACCAATAAATAAATTCTGAAATATGTTTTGCCTTTATGTAATAATGACGATGCTCTTTATGACGATTGACGCGCGATTAAACAGGTCAGTACATATTATACTATATTGCATATTGGCATAAATATCGAACTTAGAAAGATCGATTGTTTCTCGTTTCCGACTTCTTGGATTAAACGCGTGGCTTGTACAAATGCAATTAATGCTTCAATACAAATTGGATGAAGTTTCTGAAGAAATTGAGTTTCTTGACGAAGTCTCTCACGGACACATCAATTTTTCCCAAATTCAAATCTAGTTAAATAACGTTTTTTGTTAATGTGAATTGTGCAATTTACAAGATTATCGTCTACGATTATCGTCTCGTATGCCTGTCACCTGATTTTTATTACATCGTATATACTTGATAAGGACCACAACCATATGGTTAAAACGTTGTATTAATAAACAAATTTTCGAGCTAGTTTGGTCGACAACACATTTTTCAATGATCCTTTGATTATTTGACTAGCGACATTAAGATATTTATAATTTATAAGTATCGTGCTTGGAGGTTATCAAAGCATGTAATTGTAAACTATTTTTTCATGCGTTAACTGTAGGTATAATGAATTTATATTATTTGTTTAATTGATATTCTCTGTTTCTTATTTTGAATACCCTTTTTTTATTACTTGTTTCTAAATTACTTCTGTATGTAAAATCATATGCAAAATTAATTAAAATTCAATGTCTATTAAAATGATTTTATTTAAAACTGGACTGTACAAATCAATAATTACTTTTGATTCATATATATATATATATTATATATATATATAATATATATATATTATATATTTAGAAAGATCATCGAGTAATAAACATTTCTGAAATATTTATATTTAAATGCGTAATGCACTTATATTGCAAGTATATAAGTTATACAATTAATTTCTGAGAATGTGTAGACTTTCATTACTACATGTGTTCTGAAAATATCTATTACTCATATAAAATGTAAATATTCATTTTACATATATATTTACAATACATACATATATAATAGAATGTTGTTTATGTTATTTCGAGGACTTCATTGCACGAGATGGATGGAGAATCTTCGGAAAAAGTTGGCACCATCTTGCAAAAAGTCCCTTCGTTACGTAGTAATCTTCCTTCAGTACGTTTGACCAATTTCAAAAACATAGCTTACCATGGCACTATTAATATTGGAATTCCACCGCAAAAATTTCAAGTTATATTTGATTGTGGTTACTTAGATCTTTGGATATTTTCCAAAAATTGCACACACCCTTTTTGTTGTAAGTAATTTGTTTGTGTGTGTTTATATATATATATATATATATATATATATATATATATACACATATTCCGTCATTAATTATATTTTTCAAATATAATCTTGAAATATTGTGAAAAGTTGAATACATAATACAGATATATATTTATTTAAATGTATAGTAATTTTTAATATTATAATTTAAATATTACAATGGTAAACTTTGTAATTTGGAAATGTACTAATTATTAAATAATTTACCAGCTTCATTCTCTAAAGATACAAGCATTGATAAACAAAGATTATTTATGAATTAATGCGACAAATACATTTACATGTATAAAATGTGGCATTATTTGTAAAAGAATATTGCATAATTGATATAGATTAATAAGACAATATGTCTATATATATTTTTAATATCTTTCTAATATTGCTAATTTTCGATATTACGGAATATGTTTCAGCACGACGTTATAGATATAATAGTAACAATTCCTATGCATCACGTTATTCTTATGACTCACGTAATACTATTAATATAAGATACTTGGATTACACGTTATATGGTTTTCTATCTACTGATACAGTGAATGTAAGTCATTATTAAGCAATCAATCCAAATCAGTTAGAAATAATCATACGAGTAATTTAAACATTTCTTAAGCAATCATGTTTTTTTTTTTGCGCGGCAACGACGTTGTATGTATTATTTCTATACCGACTTTATCGCAGATTGCCAAACTCACTGTGGCGAATCAAACACTTGTGAAGAAGTGATGGACGCATCGGACATAAATATAATATTTGATAAATATGTAACTATACTTGGTAGACACAGATTTGATGGTATCGTAGGCCTGCTATCTTCCGATTTATATAGTAGTCCATTTACGATAACGCCAGTCTTCGACAACATGATTCAACAAGGTCTAGTGTCATCACGCATTTATAGTTTTTATCTAAATAGGTACATATCTTCTCTACTTATGAACATCATATATCTATAGAAAAGAGATTTAATTAACATGTGTGCAAATCTATATGTATATATATTTATACTTATTATATACTTATTTTAATATTAATATAAATTAAATTTATTATTTATACATAGTATCATAATTTCTATAGTAATATTTTTTATATTAAAAGTATTATTTTTTATATTAAATGAATATTTATATTTACACATTAAATATAATTTATAATTTATCTTAATTATCACATACATACATATTGCGATATAAAAAATACAATTTGCAGAAACCCTAACTCAGCTAATTTAGGTGGTAAATTGACATTTGGTGGTTCTGATCCTGCTTATTACGAAGGGAATTTTACATATGTTCCTCTTATTTACATAGGATTATGGGAAATTACCATAGATAGGTACGTTATACTTTAAATTATATTAATCATGTTTCAACAAATTGTTTACGTTACGATGTGTAGTATCGAAATAAATGAGGTTACTTGGTGCGAAAGATTCTGCCAAGCTACCATTGATACAAGTATTTGGAGAATAATTGGACCAGAAAAGGATATTTCACTTATTAATCGATTTATTAGAACTAATAAACGGGGAAGAGTAAGTAATATCTTTCAAGTAGTCATATCTTTCAAGCACGTAGCCTTCGATAACAAAAATAATAAAAAGTTGATAATAACAATACAAAAATAAATATTAGGTACGTTCCAGTAAAACATAAACTTTTATGCAACAATGACATTAGTTCTTGTTTCCGAAATACTTAATATATTCATTAAATATGATTAATTATTAAATTGATATTTTGTTGAAAGGTGGACTGCAATAGAATTTCTTATATGCCTACAATCAAGTTTAATTTGGGTGGTAAGGCCTTCAATCTTACCGGTAAAGATTACACCATTCGGGTGAGTGTTAAAAGAAAATTATTTAAATTATTTAAATAAATATAAGAGAAGGTTATATTGTGTATTTAATTCTGCTCAGGATCTAAATAATGTTAATCTATGTGTAAGCGTCTTCATGAAACATCACGACCCAACATTTGAGAGTAATGCTAATTTATTTAAATTATGGATTCTGGGCACGCCATTTATAGGCCGTTACTACACTGAGTTTGATATGGAGAGAGGCCGAGTGGGATTTGCTTTGGCGAAAAATGTATAGAATTCACCAAAACCCATAGAGAATTTTACATTGCCTCCTATTATTGAACACTTTATCAGTTTTTAATAATTTGCTTAGTTTTCTACAGCAAAAAAAATTTAATTATTTTTAATCGTCAACTGATAAAAACTTTGCGTATTATCAATGTGAATTTTTGCGTAATATGTACATAGCTGTGTAGTAATTTTTAACAGCAATACTTTATCTTGAAAGTAATTAACATGAGCTTATTGCTAATTAGAATGTGCGAAATTTTGGGAACAGTGTCATTTGCTAAGATCCTTGATGCATGGCCGTCTAGTCGATATTATCAGTTTATATTTTCGAAAGGATTATTACTTCTTCATTATCATTCTTAATCACGCGCACGTTTAATAATTTATTTTAATACAATTTGGTTTAATTATGAAACAAAATATTTAAATAATATATTTTTAAATTTGATTGATCGATAGGACGGATTGATAACACGGATATGTTTCGAACGCGCGCGATTGTATATAGAGCAGTCATCAAATGTCGATAAATGATGGCTCTAGTAGTCGAGTACAATTTCTTCTTTGTATGTCGCAACGTACAGAAAGAAATTTACCAGAAATTTCGGAAATATGTTCCGTTTTTTCGTAGCAGCTGTGTTGCTGATCGACGCGGAAATCTAAAGCCAAGTTAATGCATTGTATCGTGTTTACGTTACGTATCGGTATAATAAATGTTGATTTTATAAAATCAATCTATCTCGTCGTGATCACATTCGACTTTCTGAAATCCAAAACCTATGTAAATGTGATTGCATTCATAAAACATTTATAAATTTTAAATAGAAAGTTATTCAAGGCGATGAGCAATAAAAGTTTTTAATTTTATGACAATGTTATAAAAATCATTTTCTCCTTGCTCGATTTAATAAGAATTAAAAATGAAAAGTTACCATTGATTCTGTTACGTCCAGGCCCGAGGGAGGATGGGCCGAAGGAAGAGCGTAACACTTGTATCCCGAGAACAGATACCTTAAGGACAAGTGTTTCGGGTCGAGCGAGCCTGCGGATGAGTCAAAGATAGGTCAACGACCACAAGGGTCGATTTTACGCTATTTCTGGTCCAAATGCCCGCTCGTCGGTCTCCTTTTTGATAAAGGAACTTAATCCTTTTTACCTGGGACGGGACCAAGTACGATTCAGGAGCGTGGGTGATGAGGGGGAATAGATTGAATTGAATGCGAGGAGATAAATTTAATTGAATTTATTATACATGAGAAAAAAGAAATTATTTAAACATTTTGATTATAATTGTTTATGATCTAATACAATATTAAGTGTAAGTGTAGGTGTGTGTGCGAGACGGAGGGTTCCACTAGGGAAGCGATTACAATAAGTAAAGGAAGTAGATGGGGGGGGGGGGGGGGCGAAGTTCATAAATAAAAGAAAAGACTTACTATTTGATGAGAACGAGAATAAGTCGATTGTAATTGTTGCTGGGCCCCCTTGGCGTCGAAGATGACGAAATATTTGCGCTGACTCGATACTGTAGAATACGAATAACTGCTGCAGGGCCCCTTTGGCTTTGAAGATGACAAGATATTTGCACTGACTCGATACTGTTAATCTCGATATAATGATGATAGTAAAAAATATCACGAAGGCTTGAAGAATATTTGTACAAGTGTCGATTTGTTCGAAGTTCGCGCTTATATATCATTTTGGATTACCCTCTCCTAGCGTGAGAAATAAGGGAAATTGACGAATAGAAATCCTCGTTAGATTTCCATGGTCTCCTCCCTGCCCTTACTTATGCATTTTAGAACAAATGTAACAAGTCAGAATTTTATTACATTACTTCGCGAATAGGAGAGCATCTTCCAAAACGGGGGACTTAGGATTCTCAGTATCGGAGGTGGTAGTAATTTATGCTTTGCAGGATGCGTCTGCTAAAGACAAAGGGATGACTTTTACTACCCCCATGAAATAAAACAGGGTACGTGTCGTAACATCCGGTCATTCGCGTTTTATGAATAGTTTCTTTTATTTTCTATAGCTTCTGTAGATTTTATGAGTTTTTTCAAGTGATCAGAAAACATCAAATTCATCTAGCTGACTGCCGCCTTAGCTAACCGGATGCTACTCTTTATAGCTCGTTAATATCTGACTGTTATTTTGGAGCATTTACTGAGGATCTCATTTCAATTTAACTGTCATTAACGATTTTGGAAGCCGTGCACGTGAGCACCATAAACTACGGGAAAGAAAAGAATCGTGAGCTCCTCTGGACGTAAGAATTCTAATAAAATTAATCTTGAAGCTCTCTCGTAAATAAAGTATTATTATGGACCCAGAATTGCAAAAGTTTTCTCGTTTCATTCCTTTCATCTTCGTATGTGAACAAGAATTAATATGCAACCATTCAGTAAAAGAACAGCTTGTTGTCATCGTTTTAAGATAATCTCGCTGCGATCTAAAATAATGATCTAAAATATTCTCAAACCGCATGAAATCATCGACTTATCGACCTGATTTTATCTGTATTATGCATTCCGTCATGTGCCCTTCAATGTATATCGATGCTGTTTGACACGGCAAGCGCGTTTTCTTGATTACAATTTACTATATCATATTAATCTATATATTGCGAAGATAAAAGTGCGATAATATGTTTCGCTGTCATATAGTTAAAAATAATATCTGGGTGTTATCTTCTCTTGATTCAAATTCTTGCGTAAATCGAGAGTACAAGAATGGACTGCGTGATGAGATTAGATAGAAAATTGACACCTTCTTTGTTCTTTGTTAATAAATGCCACGAAAATTTCGCGATTAATGCAATTAGCACGCCATTCAATAGCGTCTCTCGACTTTTTTGAATAAAATAAGCTTCGTTAAAGAGTTCTTAAGAACTGATTTCATATTAGGATATCATAATTTCTCTTATTATGGTTGAATATTAAGAGCGCGAAAAATTAATTATGATGGACCGATTATTATTTTCTATTTTTGTCTGAAATAATTTAATTATAAACTAAACATAAATATTGCACTATTATTACGCTATTATTATTTATGAATTTTAATTGACATATATGTAATATATGTTTAGATATACATGCTATATGTTTGAATAATATTAATATTCGGTTACTATCAACTTTTTTAAATCAGGATGGATTTGATAAAGAGAAATAATGAAAACGTATTGTAATTTTTTTATCTTATAATGTGTTTATTTTATTATAAGTTTATTTTTATAATGTAATTGAAATTATGATCATAATCGACGTTTTTTATTATTGCAAATTATTTTATTTCGATATACTAATCACATATTTTAAATAAAATTTTTAATAAAAAAATACGTTTCCTTATTGGAGATGTATTATTTCCATCACAAAATTTGGTTGCATTTTCCTAAAATGTGTATAATGTAGAAAAGAAATGTATATATAGTAGATTTTGAGTTTTGTATGGTATCTTGAGTTAAAATATTCATATTAACATTATCCGAAGTTTAACATAACAAATTGTTCAAAGCAAAATTTCTGAAATTAATGAATATTGAAATATATATTTCAAAATTATGTATATTTCCTTTTCTTCTTAGAAACCTCAAGAACTGATCAAATAAAGTGTGGTGTATAATTGTATAAATATAATTTTTCCGCACAAAATTACATAAGAAAATGTCGATAATATTTTCAAATTATCTATTGTAAAGGTAATGTTACATGATTACCTATTTGGTTGATATGAACAATATATTCTTTCGGAAGAATTATTTCTATTCTTAATTCTGAATTATTTCTATTCTTCATTTCTGTAACTAAATGTTCTTCATTAAGAATACACGTTCATGCAAAATATAGTATATTTAAATTAAATTGATCGATGGAAATCTATCAGAATTTTTTGAAAGTTTCGCGCTTTTTCTACCTGTTCAAGCATTCAACAGAGGGACACGCGTGATCATATATATACATAATGCTATCGAATACTAATACAGTACTAAGGGAGAGTTAGTAAACGACAAAACTTTATTTTTTTGCGTGTCAGTTCATAAAGTGTCGAAAGAAAGTCGTCATTGAAATTTTCACGAATCGAGACATCAGCAATAAATAAATTCTGAAATATGTTTCGCCTTTTTGTGGTAATGACGATGCTCTTTATGACGATTGACGCGCGATTAAACAGGTATATATTATATTATATTACATATTGGCATAAATATCGAACTTAGAAAGATCGATTTTTTCTCGTTTCCGACTTTTTGGATTAAATGCGTGGTTTGTACAAATGCAATTAATGATTCAATACAAATTGGATGAAATTTGAATGATCAAAACGTATATTTTGATTTATTAATCAAGGAGTAGATAAAATAAGAATATTTTTGAAAAAGTCGCTCGTTGTTCTTTCGTAACGTTCGCATTTGTCCATCTTGTCTTTATCCCTATTTAAACGACGAGCGTTAACATAAATATCGTGTTTGGAATTCATCAAAACATGTAATTGTAAACTATTTTTTCACGCGTTAACTGTAGGTATAATGAGTTGCTTTATATTATTTGTTTAATTGATATCCTCTGTTTCCTATTTTTAATACCCTTATAACGATGCACCCATGCACCCCTGATTCCCAGCAGGCGATCGCTGGAAGCTGCCGCCCGGCATAAGAACCGCCGGGCAAGGGCAGGGCGCTGAGCGCCACATTTTTAAACATTAAAAACGAAGTCGTACGGTTGAGCTTCGAAATAACGAAGCGCGCCGAAAACGGCCGACGAAATCCGAACGATCGGGTTAAGTCCCCTCGCGCCCGGCTCCACCGCGCGCCACGAACGGAGCCGTCACGTTTTGCGGCCGCTCGACGGGGGTAACGTTGTTTTTACGCCGGCGCGGGCTAATTAGTCCCGTATAAAAAGGGCCTGTCGAGCGAAGAAGACTCACTCTTTTCCGAGTTTCTCCAGCGCACCAGTCGCCAGAGCAAACTCAAATAAGACGCCAAAAGCAGTGAAATCAGCGGTGGGGAGTACCCCGCCACACTGGGAATTCTCAGGATTCGCGAAGATAGGCGCAATCCTTTCTAAAAGTGCATCCAGAAATTGGGGCGTTCCCCGATCTCTCCGGGAGTTCCCGGCAGACGCACGAATCCAGCTTCCGTCACCTGTCCGACCCGTGCATCCGGAGGTAGAGAAGAGAGCTACCTCCGGCGGGACGTTCTCGCTGGCACGGTCTTCCCGAAAGGAAATCCCGTCGTTTCATTTCCACGAAAATACGCGGTTTTACGAGCAATCTCGCATCGTACGAAAAAAGCGGTCGAAAAACGCCGGCACGCGCCGTGACGTCACGCGTCCATCGACCGACGATTAAACAGCTGATCAATTTAAATTCTTTATTACTCGCGAACGCTGCATTGCATCGGCACCCGGTCTTCACGACCCGCTGCGCGAACTCGTGGTGCATCCGACCGTGCAACATCAAGCATAAGCACCGATTGCAAACCCGCTAAAACACGTTGCAATTATTAGCACATTTCCGACACGAGTCGCGAGCCCACGAACGAACGCCCGCGGCATATCTCGAACGCGTCGAGTTCTTGCGATATCCACACGAACGCAATTGTATATACGCGCCGAGTTTCTTTTGCGATAAGTACTCGCACACGCACGCAACTGTACCTGTACAAACTCTATTTTTTTAAATATATTTTCTTTTGTTATTTTATTAACCGAACCCCGCGTTGCACTTATTTCTACGCCTGCCTAATCGAACCCGATCACCACGACTGCCGTTATCCGCGGAAATAAGCCCGTTACACCCTTTTTTTGATTACTTGTTTCTAAATTACTTGTGTATGTAAAATCACATGTAAAATTAATTAAAATTCAATATCTGTTAAAATTATTTTATTTAAAACTGAATTGTACAAATTAAAAATTATTTTTGTTATATATGTGAGTTCATACAATTTAGAAGGGTTATAGTGTAATAAACACTTCTGAAATATGTATATTTAAATGCGTAATGTACTTGTATTGTAAGTATGTAAGTTATGCAGTTAATTTCTGAAATTGCGTAGATTTTCATGACTACATTTGTTTCTGAAAACATCTATTAGTCATATCAAACGTAGGTATTCATGTTACATATATATTTACAATACATACATATATCATAGAATGTTGTTTATGTTATTTCAAGGACTTCGTTGCACGAGATGGATGGGGAATCTTCGGAAGAAGTTGGCACCATCTTGCAAGAAGTCCCTTCGTTAGGTAGTAATCTTCCTTCAGTAAGTTTGACCAATTACGAAAACATACTTTACTATGGCGACATTCAAATTGGGGTACCACCTCAAAAATTTAGAGTTGCATTTAGTACTGATTCCGCACATTTTTGGATATTTTCTCAACATTGCACACTGTCTTTTTGTTGTAAGTAGTTTGTTTGTATATATATATATATATATTTTATCAACAATTACATTTTTCAAATATAATCCTGCGATATTATGAAAAGTTGAATATGTAATACAGATATATATTTACTTAATTTAGTAACTTTAATATAGTAATTTAATAGAGTAATTTATTATTTTAATTTTTAATATTATAATTTAAATATGACAATGGCAAACTTTGTAATTTGGAAATGTATAATTATTAAATAATTTATCAGCTTCATTCTCTAAAGATACAAGCATTGTTAAACAAAAATAATTTATTAATGTATTCGACAAATACATTTACATGTATAAAATATGGCATTATTTGTAAAAGAATATTGCATAATTGATATAGATTAATAAGACAATATCTCTATATATATTTTTAATCTATATATATGTTTCTAATATTGCTAATGTTCGATATTACTGAATATGTTTCACAGTACGATATAATAGATATAATAGTATCAATTCCTACACATATATATCACGTAAAACTAATATTGATTTAAAATACTTGGATTACAAAGTACATGGTTTTCTATCTACTGATATAGGGAATGTAAGTCATTATTAAGCAATCAATCCAATTTAGTTAGAAATAAAATCATACGAGTAGTTTAAACATTTCTTAAGCAATTATGTTCTTTTTTTTTGCGCGGCAACGACGATGTATGTACTACTTCTATACTGATTTTATCGTAGGTTGCCAACCTCACTGTAGCGAATCAAATATTTGTAGAAGTGATAAACGCATCAGACATAAATATAATATTTGATTCATATGCAACTATACTTGATACACACAGATTTCATGGTATGGTAGGCCTGCTATCTACCAAATTATATACTGATGCATTTACGATAACGCCTGTCTTCGGCAACATGATTCAACAAGGTCTAGTGTCATCACGCATTTTTAGTTTTTATCTAAATAGGTACATATCTTCTTTACTTATAAACAACATGTATCTATAAAATAGAATATTTAATAAACATGCAGTTCTATTTGTATGTAAATTTATATTTATATTATACTTATTTTAATTTTAATATAAATTTAATTTATTATTTATACATAGTATCATAATTTCTAATTAGTATCATTTTTTATATTAAAGTAATATTTATATTTACATATTAAATATAATTTATAATTTATCTTAATTATCACATACACATTGTGATATAAAAAATATAATTTGTAGAAACACTTCATCTAATTTTGGTGGCAAATTGATATTCGGTGGTTCCGATCCTGCTTATTACGAAGGGAATTTTACATATGTTCCTGTTAGTGTCCAAGGATATTGGCAAATTATTATAGATAGGTACGTTAGTCTTAAAATTATATTAATCATGTTTCAACAAATTGTTTACGTTATCGCTCGTAGTATCGAAAGAAATGAGGTTACTTGGTGCGAGAGATTCTGCCAAGCTATCATTGATACAAGTGTTTGGAGAATAATTGGACCAGAAAGTGATATTTCACTTATTAATCGATACTTTATTGATACTGGTACACGGGGAAGAGTAAGTGATATCAAGTGATCATATTTTTAAAGCACATAGCCCTTAATAAAAAAATGATAAAAAATTGATAATAGTGATATAAAAATAAATATTAGGTACGATCGAATGAAACATAAACTTCTATGGAATAGTGACATTAATTTTTGTTTTCAATATATTTAATATAATCATTAAATATAATTAATTACAAACTTAATATTATGTTCTATTTAAAGATAAGCTGCCATAGAATTTCTGAGTTGCCTACAATCACGTTTAAATTGGGTGGTAAAGCGTTTAATCTTACCGGTAAAGATTACACCATTCGGGTGAGTGTTATGAAAAAATTATTTGAATTATGTAAATAAATATAAGAGAAGGTTATATTGTGTATTTAATTCTGCTCAGGATCTAAATAATGATAATCTATGTGTAAGCGTCTTCATGAAACACCACGACCCAACATTTGAGAGTAATGCTAATTTATTTAAATTATGGATTCTGGGCACGCCATTTATAGGCCGTTACTACACTGAGTTTGATATAGAGAGAGGCCGAGTGGAATTTGCTTTGGCGAAAAATGTATAGAATTTACCAAAACCCATAGAGAATTCTACATTGCCTCCTATTATTGAACACTTTATCAGTTTTTAATAATTTGCTTAGTTTTCTACAGCAAAAAAAATTTAATTATTTTTAATCGTCAACTGGTAAAAACTTTGCGTATTATCAATGTGAATTCTTGCGTAATATGTACATAGCTATGTAGTAATTTTTAACAGCAATACTTTATCTTGAAAGTAATTAACATGAGCTTATTGCTAATTAGAATGTGCGAATTTTTGGGAACAGTGTCATTTGGTAAGTTCTTTGTTGCATGGCCGTCTAGTCGATATATCAGTTTATATTTTTGATCGGTTTATATTTTTGAAATGATTATTACTTCTTCATTATCATTCTTAATCACGCGCACGTTTAATAATTTATTTTAATACAATTTGGTTCAATTATGAAACAAAATATTTAAATAATATATTTTTAAATTTGATTGATCGATAGGATCGATAACACGGATATGTTTCGAATGAGCGCGAATATTTTGTATAAATAACAATCATCATGTCGATAAATGATGGCTCTAGTAGTCGAATATAATTTCTTCTTTGTATATGTCTCAACGTACAGAAAGAAATTTACCAGAAATTTCGAAAATATGTTCCGTTTTATCGTAGCAGCTGTGTTGCTCATCGACGCGGAAATCTAATGCCAAGTTAATGCATTGTATCGACTGTTACGTATCGGTATAATATATGTTGATTTTATAAAATCAATCTATCTCGTCATGATCACATTCCATTTTCTGAAATCCAAAACCTATGTAAATGTGATTGCATTCATGAAATACTGATAAATCCTAAATAGAAGGTTATTCAATGCAATGATCAATAAAAGTTTTTAATTTTATGATAATGTTATAAAAATCATTTTCTCCTCGCTCGATTTAATAAGAATTAAAAATGAAAAGTTACCATTGAATCTAATAAAATTAATCTTGAAGCTTTCTCGTAAATAAAGTATTTTTATGGACCCAGAATTGCAAAAGTTTTCCTATTTCACTCCTTACATCATCATATGTAAACAAGAATTAATATGCTTCCAGTAAGATGACAACTTGTTGTCACCGCTTTAAGATAATCTGTAATCTGAAATATTTATTAACCGCATCAAATCATCGACTTATCGACCTGACTTTATCTGTATTATGCATTCCGTCATGTGTCCTTTAATGCAGAACTTGCTATTTACACGGCAAGCGCATTTTCCTGATTACAATTTACTATACCGTATTAATCCCTAGATATTGCGAAGATAAAAATGCGATAATTTGTAAAATCACATGCAAAATTAATTAAAATTCAATGTCTATTAAAATGATTTTATTTAAAACTGGATTGTACAAATTAATAATTACTTTTGATATATATATATATATATATATATATATATATATATATATATACGTGAGTTCATACAATTTAGAAGGATTATAGTGTAATAAAAACTTCTGAAATATGTATATTTAAATGCGTAATGTACTTGTATTGTAAGTATGTAAGTTATGCAGTTAATTTCTGAAATTGCGTAGACTTTCATGACTACATTTGTTTCTGAAAACATCTATTAGTCATATCAAACGTAAATATTCATTTTACATATATATTTACAATACATACATATATCATAGAATGTTGTTTATGTTATTTCAAGGAATTCGTTGCACAAGATGGATGGAAAATCTTTGAAAAAAGTTGGCACCATCTTGCAAGAAGTTCCTTCGTTAGGTAGTAATCTTCCTTCAGTACGTTTGACCAATTACGAAAACATACTTTACTATGGCGACATTCAAATTGGGGTACCACCTCAAAAATTTAGAGTTGCATTTAGTACTGATTCCGCACATTCTTGGATATTTTCCCAACATTGCACACTCCCTTTTTGTTGTAAGTAATTTGTTTGTGTATATATATATATATATATATATATATATATATATATACATACATATATACATTCCATCAACAATTACATTTTTCAAATATAAGCTTGGGATATTATGAAAAGTTGAATATGTAACACAGATATATATTTACTTTATTTGATAACTTTAATATAGTAATTTAAAATAGTAATTTAATATTTTAATTTTAATATAAATTTAATTTATTATTTATACATAGTATCATAATTTCTAATTAGTATCATTTTTTATATTAAAGTAATATTTATATTTATATATTAAATATAATTTATAATTTATCTTAATTATCACATACACATTGTGATATAAAAAATATAATTTGTAGAAACACTTCATCTAATTTTGGTGGCAAATTGATATTCGGTGGTTCCGATCCTGCTTATTACGAAGGGAATTTTACATATGTTCCTGTTAGTGTCCAAGGATATTGGCAAATTATTATAGATAGGTACGTTAGTCTTAAAATTATATTAATCATGTTTCAACAAATTGTTTACGTTATCGCTCGTAGTATCGAAAGAAATGAGGTTACTTGGTGCGAGAGATTCTGCCAAGCTATCATTGATACAAGTGTTTGGAGAATAATTGGACCAGAAAGTGATATTTCACTTATTAATCGATACTTTATTGATACTGGTACACGGGGAAGAGTAAGTGATATCAAGTGATCATATTTTTAAAGCACATAGCCCTTAATAAAAAAATGATAAAAAATTGATAATAGTGATATAAAAATAAATATTAGGTACGATCGAATGAAACATAAACTTCTATGGAATAGTGACATTAATTTTTGTTTTCAATATATTTAATATAATCATTAAATATAATTCATTACAAACTTAATATTATGTTTTATTTAAAGATAAGCTGCCATAGAATTTCTGATTTGCCTATAATCACGTTTAAATTGGGTGGTAAGGTGTTCTATCTTACCGGTAAAGATTACACCATTCGGGTGAGTGTTATAAGAAAATTATTTAAATTATCTAAATAAATATAAGAGAAGGTTATATTGTGTATTTAATTTTGCTCAGGATCTAGATAATGATAGTCTATGTGTAAGCGTCTTCATGAAACACTACGACCCTACAACATATGATGTTAAATTAGTTAAATTATGGGTTCTGGGCATGCCCTTTATAGGCCGTTACTACACTGAGTTTGATATGGAGAGAGGCCGAGTGGGATTTGCTTTGGCGAAAAAAGTATAAAATTCACCAAAACATATAGAGAATTTTACATTGCCTCCTATTATTGAACACTTTATCAGTTTTAATAATTTGTTTAGTTATCTACAGCAAAAAAGATATAATTATTTTTAATCGTCAACTGATAAAATTTGCGTATTATCAATGTGAATTTTTGCGTAATATTTACATAGTTGTGCGTTAATTTTTAACAGCAATACTTTATTTTGAAAGTAATTAACATGAGCTTATTGCTAATTAGAATGTGCGAATTTTTGAGAACAGTATCATTTGCTAAGTTCTATGTTGCATGGCCGTCTAGTCGATATAATCAGTTTATATTTTCAAAATGATGATTTCTCCTTCATTATCATTCTTAATCACGCGCACGTTTAATAATTTAATTTAATACAATTTGGTTTATTTATGAAACAAAATATATAAATAATATATTTTTAAATTTGACTGATCGATAGGTCGTATGGATAACACGGATATGTTTCGAATGCGCGTGATTGTAACAGTCAGATAATTTACAGATAAATAACAGTCATCAAATGTCGATAAATGATGGCTCTAATAGTCGAATACAATTTCTTCTTTGTATGTTGCAACGTACAAAAAGAAATTTACCAGAAATTTCGAAAATATGTTTGGTTTTTTCGTAGCAGCTGTTGCTGATCGACGCGGAAATCTAAAGCCAAGTGCATTGTATCGTGTCTTTACGTTACGTATCGGTATAATAAATGTTGATTTTATAAAAACAATCTATCTCGTCGTGATCACATTCGACTTTCTGAAATCCAAAACTTATGTAAATGTGATTGCATTCATGAAATACTGATAAATCCTAAATAGAAGGTTATTCAATGCGATGATGAATAAAAGTTTTTAATTTTATGACAATATTATAAAAATCATTTTCTCCTTGCCCGATTTAATAGGAATTAAAAATAAAAAGTTACCATTGAATCTAATAAAATTAATCTCGAAGCTCCCCCGTAAATAAAATATTTTTATGGACCAAGAATTGCAAAAGTTTTCCTATTTCACTCTTTACATCATCGTATGTAAACAAGAATTAATATGCTTCCACTCAGTAAGCTGACAACCTATTGTCACCGCTTTAAGATAATCTGCGATCTAAAATATTTTTGAACGGCATCAAATCATCGACTTATCGACCTGACTTTATCTGTATTATGCATTCCGTCATATGTCCTTTAATGCATAACGATGCTGTTTACACAGCAAGCGCGTTTTCCTGATTACAATTTACTATATGATATTAATCCCTAGATATTGCGAAGATAAAAGTGCGATAATATGTTTTGCTGTCATATAATTAAAAATAATATCTCGGTGTCATCTTTTTTTGATTCATATTCTTGCGTAAATCGATTGCGTGAAAAGATTAGAGAAAAACGTGAAATATTCTTTGTTCTTGATTAATAAATGTCACAAAAATTTCGCAATTAATGCAATTAGCACGCGATTCAGTAACGCCTTTCGACTTTTTTGAATAAAATAAGCTTCGTTAAAGAGAAGTCAGTTCTTAAGAACTAATTTCATATTCGGATATCATAATTTCTCATATTATGGTTGAATATTAAAAGCGTGAAAAATTAATTATTATCGACCGATTATTATTTTCTATTATCGTCAGAAATGATTTGATTATAAATTGAATATAAATATTGCACCATTATTACGTTATTATGAATTTATGAATTATTTATGAATTTTAATCGTAATATATGTAATATATGTTTAGATATACATATTATATGTTTGAATAATATTAATATTCGGTCACTATCTACTTTTTTAAATCAGGATAAACTTGATAAAGAGAAATAATGAAAACGTATTGTAATTTTTTTATCTTATAATGTGTTGTTTTATTATAAGTTTAGTTTTATAAGGTAATTGAAACTCTGATCATAATAACGTTTTTCATTATTGCAAATTATTTTATTTCGATATACTAATCACATATTTTACATAAAATTTTTAATAAAAAATTACGTTTCCTAATTGGAGATGGATTATTTCTTCACAAAATTTGGTTGCATTTTTCTAAAATTTGCACAATACAGAAAAAAAATGTATATATAGTATAGATTTTTAGTTTTGTATAGTATATCTTGAGTTAAAATATTCATAATAACATTATCTGAAGTTTAACATAACAAATTGTTCAAAGCAAAATTTCTGAAATTAATGAATATTGAAATATATATTTCAAGATTATGTATATTTCCTTTTCTTTTTAGAAACCTCAAAAATTAATTAAATAAAGTGTGTTGTATAATTGTATAAATATAATGATAAAATATAATTGTATAAATATAATTTTATCGCACAAAATTACATAAAAAAATATCGATAATTTTTTCAAATCTGTTATGAAGTTAATGTTGCATAATTGTCTGTTTGATATAAACAATATATTCTTTCGAAAGAATTATTTTTATTAATAATCATGAATTTCTGTAAATAAATGTTCTTCATTAAAAATACACGTTCATGCAAAATATAGTATATTTAAATTAAATTGATCGAAATGGAAATTTATCAGGATTTTTCGAATGTTTCGCGCTTTTTCTACCTGTTCAAGCATTCAACAGAGGGACACGCGTGATCATATATGTATATATAACGCTGTCGAATACCAGTACAGTGCTAAGAAAGAGTTAGTAAACGACAACACTTTATTTTTCTGCGTGTCAGGTCATAAAATGTCGAAAGAAAGTCGTCATTGAAATTTTCACGAATCGAGACATCAGCAATAAATAAATTCTGAAATATGTTTCACCTTTTTGTGATAATGACGATGCTCTTTATGACGATTGACGCGCGATTAATCAGGTCAGCACATATTATATTATGTTATATTATATTGCATATTGGCATAAATATCGAACTTAGAAAGATCGATTTTTTCTCGTTTCCGACTTCTTAAATTAAACGCGTGGCTTGTACAAATGCAATTAATGCTTCAATACAAATTGGATGAAGTTTCTGAAGAAACTGAGTTTCTTGACGAAGTCTCTCACGGACGCATCAATTTTTCCCAAATTCAAATCTAGTTAAATAACGTTTTCTGTTAATGTGAATTGTGCAATTTACACGATTATCGTCTATGCCTGTCTCCTGATTTTTATTACATAGTATATACTTGATAAGGACCACAACCATATGGTTGAAACGTCGTATTAATAAACATATTTTCTGGCTAGTTTGGTCGACTACACATTTTTCAATGATCCTTTGATTATTTGACTAGCGACATTAAGATATTTATAATTTATAAGTATCGTGCTTGGAGGTCATCAAAACATGTAATTGTAAACTATTTTTTCACGCATTAACTGTAGGTATAATGAGTTGCTTTATATTATTTGTTTAATTGATATTTTTTTCTATTTCTTATTTTTAATCCCCTTTTTTATTTCTTGTTTCTAAATTACTTCTGTATGTAAAATCACATGCAAAATTAATTAAAATTCAATGTCTATTAAAATGATTTTATTTAAAACTGGATTGTACAAATTAATAATTACTTTTGATATATATGTATGTGATATATATATACTATATATAGTTGATACAATTTAGAAAGATCATCGAGTAATATACATTTCTGAAATATTTATATTTAAATATACTTGTAATGTACTTGTATTGCAAGTATGTAAGTTATACATTTTATTTCTGAGAATGTGTAGACTTTCATGACTACATTTGTTCTGAAAACATCTATTAGTCATATCAAACGTAAATATTCATTTTACATATATTTTTACAATACATACATATATCATAGAATGTTGTTTATGTTATTTCAAGGACTTCGTTGCAAAAGATAGATGAAGAATCTTCGGAAAAAAATGCCACTATCTTTCAAGATGTCCCTTTAGTTAGTGATCTTCCTTCAGTACGTTTGACCAATTACGAAAACATACTTTACTATGGCGACATTCAAATTGGGACACCACCTCAAGAATTTAGAGTTGCATTTAGTACTGATTCCGCACATTCTTGGATATTTTCCCAACATTGCACACTCCCTTTTTGTTGTAAGTAATTTGTTTGTGTATATATATATATATATATATATATATATATATATATATATTCCATCAATAATTACATTTTTCAAATATAAGCTTGGGATATTATGAATAGTTGAATATGTAATACAGATATATATTTACATAATTTAGTAACTTTAATATAGTAATTTAATATAGTAATTTAATATTTTAATTTGTAATATTATAATTTAAATATTACAATGTCAAACTTTGTAATTTGGAAATGTATAGTTATTAAATAATTTATCAGCTTCATTCTCTAAAGATACAAGCATTGATAAACAGAAATAATTTATTAACGAATTCGACAAATACATTTACATGTATAAAATATGGCATTATTTCTAAAAGAATATTGCATAATTGATATAGATTAATAAGACAATATATCTAAATATATATTTTTAATATCTTTCTAATATTGCTAATTTTCGATATTACTGAATATGTTTCAGTACGAATTTATAGATATAATAGTATCAATTCCTACACATATATATCACATAATACTAAGATCGATTTAAAATACTTGGATTACACGATACATGGTTTTCTATCTACTGATGTAGTGAATGTAAGTCATTATTAAGCAATCAATCCATTTTAGTTAGAAATAAAATCATACGAGTAGTTTAATCATTTCTTAAGCAATCATATTTTTTTTTATGCGCGGCAATGACGATGTATGTACTATTTCTATACTGATTTTATTGTAGGTTGCCAACCTCACTATAGCGAATCAAACATTTGTAGAAGTGATAAACGCATCAGACATAAATATGATATTTGATTTATATGTAACTATACTTGATAGACATAGATTTGATGGTATGGTAGGCCTGCTATCTTCTAATTTATATAGAGATGCATTTATGATGACGCCTGTCTTCAGCAACATGATTCAACAAGGTCTAGCGTCAGCAGGCATTTTTAGTTTTTATCTAAATAGGTACATATTTTCTCTATTTATGAACAACATATATCTATAGAAAAGAGTATTTAATAAACATACAGTTCTATTTGTATATACACTTATATTTATTTTATACTAATTTTAATATTAATATAAATTAAATTTATTATATATGTAGTATCATAATTTCCATATAGTATTATTTTTTATATTAAAATAATATTTATATTTACATATTAAATATAATTTATAATTTATCTTAATTATCACATACACATTGTGATATAAAAAATATAATTTGCAGAAACACTTCATCTAATTTTGGTGGCAAATTGATATTCGGTGGTTCCGATCCTGCTTATTACGAAGGGAATTTTACATATGTTCCTGTTAGTGTCAAAGGATATTGGCAAATTATTATAGATAGGTACGTTATTCTTAAAATTATATTAATCATGTTTCAACAAATTGTTTACGTTATCGCTCGTAGTATCGAAGTAAATGAGCTTACTTGGTGCGAGAGATTATGCCAAGCTATCATTGATACAAGTGTTTGGAGAATAATTGGACCAGAAAGGGATATTTCATTTATTAATCAATACTTTATTGATACTGGTACACGGGGAAGAGTAAGTAATATCAAGTGATCATATTTTTAAAGCACATAGCCCTTAATAGAAAAATGATAAAAAATTGATAATAGTGATATAAAAATAAATATTAGGTACGATCGAATGAAACATAAACTTCTATGGAATAGTGACATCAACTTTTGTTTTCGATATATTTAAAATAATCAGAAAATATAATTCATTACAAACTTAATATTATGTTTTATTTAAAGATAAGCTGCCATAGAATTTCTGAGTTGCCTACAATCACGTTTAAATTGGGTGGTAAGGCGTTCAATCTTACCGGTAAAGATTACACCATTCGGGTGAGTGTTATAAGAAAATTATTTAAATTATTTAAATAAATATAAGAGAAGGTTATATTGTGTATTTAATTCCGCTCAGGATCAAGATAATGATAGTCTATGTGTAAGCCTCTTCATGAAACACCCCGACTCATTAGATGAGGGTGATGTTGAATTAGTTAAATTATGGGTTCTGGGCATGCCATTTATAGGCCGTTACTACACTGAGTTTGATATGGAGAGAGACCGAGTGGGATTTGCTTTGGCGAAAAATGTATAGAATTCACCAAAACCTATAGAGAATTTTACATTGCCTCCTATTATTGAACACTTTATCAGTTTTTAATAATTTGCTTAGTTTTCTACAGCAAAAAAAATTTAATTATTTTTAATCGTCAACTGATAAAGTTTGCGTATTATTAATGTGAATTTTTGCGTAATATGTACATAGCTGTGTAGTAATTTTTAACAGCAATACTTTATCTTGAAAGTAATTAACATGAGCTTATTGCTAATTAGAATGTGCGAATTTTTGGGAACAGTGTCATTTGCTAAGTTCCTTGTTGCATGGCCGTCTAGTCGATATTATCAGTTTATATTTTCGAAATGATGATTACTTCTTCATTATCATTCTTAATCACGCGCACGTTTAATAATTTATTTTAATACAATTTGGTTTAATTATGATACAAAATATTTAAATAATATATTTTCAAATTTGTTTGATCGATAGGACGGTTTGATAACACGGATATGTTTCGAACGCGCGCGATTGTATATATATCAGTCATCAAATGTCGATAAATGTCGATGATAGCTCTAGTAGTCGAGTACAATTTCTTCTTTGTATGTCCCAACGTACAGAAAGAAATTTACCAGAAATTTCGAAAATATGTTCCGTTTTTTCGTAGCAGCTGTGTTGCTGATCGACGCGGACATCTAAAGCCATGTTAATGCATTGTATCGTGTTTACGTTTCGTATCGGTATAATAAATGTTGATTTTATAAAATTGATGATTGACTTTATAAATCAATCTATCTCGTCGTGATTCCACTTTCTGAAATCCAAAACCTATGTAAATGTGATTGCATTCATGAAATACTGATAAATCCTTAATAGAAGATTATTCAATGCGATGATCAATAAAAGTTTTTAATTTTATGACAATGTTATAAAAATCATTTTCTCCTTGCCCGATTTAATAAGAATTAAAAATGAAAAGTTACCATTGAATCTAATAAAATTAATCTTGAAGCTCTCTCGTAAATAAAGTATTTTTATGGACAGAATTGCAAAAGTTTTCCCACTTCACTCCTTACATTATCGTATGTAAACAAGAATTAATATGCTTCCACTCAGTAAGCTGACAACTTGTTGTCACCGCTTTAAAATAATCTGCGATCTGAAATATTTTTGAACCGCATCAAATCATCGACTTATCGACCTGACTTTATCTGTATAATGCATTCCGTCATGTGTCCTTTAATGCAGAACTTGCTATTTACACGGCAAGCGCGTTTTTCTGATTACAATTTACTATATCATATTAATCTTTAGGTATTGCGCAGATAAAAGTGCAATAATATGTTTCGCTTTCATATAATTAAAAATAATATCACGGTGTCATCTTCTTTTGATTCAAATTCTTGCGTAAATCGATTGCGTGAAGAGATTAGAGAAAAACGTGAAATTTTCTTTGTTCTTGATTAATAAATGTCACGAAAATTTCGCAATTAATGCAATTAGCACGCGATTCAGTAACGCCTTTCGCCTTTTTTGAATAAAATAAGCTTCGTTAGAGAGAAGTCAGTTCTTAAGAACTGATTTCATATTCGGATATCATAATTTCTCTTATTATGGTTGAATATTAAGAGCGTGAAAAATTAATTATTATAGACCGATTATTATTTTCTATTTTTGTTTGAAATAATTTGATTATAAACTGAATATAAATATTGCACTATTATTACGCTATTATTATTTATGAATTTTAATTGACACATATGTAATATACATATGTTTAGATATACATGCTATATGTTTGAATAATATTAATATTCGGTTACTATCAATTTTTTTAAATCAGGATGGACTTGATAAAGAGAAATAATGAAAACGTATTGTAATTTTTTTATCTTATAATGTGTTTATTTTATTATAAGTTTAGTTTTATAAGATAATTGAAATTATGGTCTTAATGACGTTTTTCATTATTGCAAATTATTTTATTTCGATATACTAATCACATATTTTAAATAAAATTTTTAATAAAAAACACGTTTCCTTATTGGTGATGTATTATTTCCTTCACAAAATTTGGTTGCATTTTTTAAAAATTTGCATAATATAGAAAAGAAATGCATATATATTATAGATTTTTAGTTTTGTATAGTATCTTGAGTTAAAATATTCATATTATCATTATCCGAAGTTTAACATAACAAATTGTTCAAAGTAAAATTTCTGAAATAAATGAATATTGAATTATATATTTCAAGATTATGTATATTTCCTTTTCTTTTTAGAAATCTCAAGAATTGAGCAAATAAAACTTGGTGTTTAATTGTATAAATGTAATTTTTCCGCACAAAATTACATAAAAAAATGTCGATAATTTTTTCAAATTATCTATTGTAAAGTTAATGTATGATTGTCGGTTTGGTTGATATAAACAATATATTCTTTCGAAAGAATTATTTTTATTATTAATCATAAATTTATGGAAATAAATATTCTTCATTAAAAATACACCTTCATGTAAATATTTTTTTTTTTTTTTTTTTTTTTTTTTTTTTTTTTTTTTTTTTTTTTTTTTTTTTTTTTTTTTTTTTTTTTTTTTTTAAAATACACCTTCATGCAAAATATGGTATATTTAAATTAAATTGATCGATGAAAATCTATTAGGATTTTTCGAATGTTTCGCGCGTTCTCTATCTATTCAAGCATTCAACAGAGGGACACGCGTGATCATATATATACATAATGCTATCGAATACCAATACAGTGCTAAGGGAGAGTTAGTAAGCGACAACACTTTATTTTTCTGCGTTTCTGGTCTTAAAGTGTCGAAAGAAAGTTCGCGTTGAAATTTTCACGAATCGAGACCTCAGCAGTAAATAAATTCTGAAATATGTTTCGCCTTTTTGTGGTAATGACGGTGTTCTTTATGACGATTGACGCGCAATTGTACAGGTCAGTATATTTTATATTATGTTGCATATGATAAATATCGAACTTAGAAAGATCAATTTTTTCTCGTTTCCGTCTTCTTGGATTAAACATGACTCGTACAAATGCAATTAATGCTTCAATACAAATTGGATGAAATTTCTTTGGTCAAAACCTACATTTTTATTTACTAGTCTGTTACGTCCAGATCCTGGAATGCATGGGCCGTATGGAAGAACTTATCTACCCCGTGACACACTTTATTCGGGCGTGGATATGGATCGGATCGAATGAATGTGAAGGGCCTGACACAGGTCAGCGACCGAAGGTCTCTTTAACGCTGCATTTTTAAGCCTATTCATTCCCTTTTCGGTAGAAGAATTTAATCCTTTTTACGCGGGATGGAACCCAGTGCGATCTCAGGATTTAGGGAAGAGAACGAGTTAAATAATTAAATTATACATTAAATTAAAAATACATATATTATAAAAAAAAATAAAGAAAGAAAAATACATATTAGCAGTTGTAGCTATGCGTGAGTGGGTATCAGTGTGTGTATGTATATATTCTCGCGAGTGTTACAATCGTTCGGTCATCAGTCAGAATATACAGGGAAGAATTTACGTTAAGAGTTAAATTTTCTGACTGGTTATTACAATATACATATAATTAATATAATATAAGAAATACAACAAAATAAAAGGTAAATGTATAATAAAAATATGATTAACATTTACTCATTAAAGGAAATATGGAATTCGTCGCTTGCGCATATGTGTTATAGTTAGAATTAAAATTTTCTAAATTCGCCGAAACAGAGGTCTAAATTAAAATACAATAATAAAATTAAGATAAAAGATTTGTCAGGTCTGAGTTCGAAAATTATTTATTTCAACGGTTTCTCCCAAAAATAGTGATAATGCAAAAGAAAATAATATAAGGAGAAAAAAAATTAAAGAAAACTAGTAGGATGGATTACTCTTCAGAATCTTCGGAGAGCGGAAGAGTATTCGCGAATTTCAATTCTTAAATCCAGAACGAATAAATAGGAGGAATATTCGCGAATTCCAATTCTGAAATCCAGAATGAATAAATAGAAATCTCGGGGGAATTATTCGCGAACCGCCTTTCGGAGATTCTAAGCGAATTAGGAAGAACAAGGAATGAGACTGGAGGAGAGGTGGGACAAGGATTGATTGATTGATAGTAATTAGTAAAAATTTTGATTATTAAACTGTTTAAAATTATCTATCAGACATAGATTTTAAATTGTGAGATAGTAAGATATGGGAAAGGGAGAAAAAAAATAAAAATTAATTATTCAAATTTACTCACAACTCGTTGGCATCACAAAAATGAGTGCGTTGATAAAATTTCAGAGACCGGAGGTTTATAACATGAATAGCTGAGTAATGGAGATGTTCGTCAGAAAATTCACATAATGCGCAATTAAATGTTAACAAAATCATTTTCACTGTGATATAAAACAGATTAATAATTCAATTGCATGATGCAAGAAAAAGGATCCTCGAGGCGAACGACGGGCTATCCGCGTAATCTAGGCTTCTTCTATTCTTCATTTCCTTGGCTTAGATATCGCCGAGAGTTACCCGCACATGGTTATCGTATAGTTTACGATATTATTTCGAAAAAAGAAAAGAATCGTGGAGTTCGCTGGACGTAACAAGTCAAAGAGTAAATAAAATAAGAATATTTTTGAAAAAGTGACTCGTTGTTTTTTCGTAACTTTCGCTTTTGTCCATCTTGTCTTTTTCTCTAAACGACGACCGTTAACATAAATATCGTGCTTGGATATCAACAAAATATGTAATTGTAAATTATTTTTTCACGCGTTAGCAGATCATCTGTAGATATAATGAGTTGCTTTTGTATTATTCATTTCATTGATATTCTCTGTATCCTATTTTTACTAGTTGATACAGTTACTTGCTTTTAAATTACTTCCATATGTAAAATCACATGCAAAACTTGTATTGCAAATATGTAAGTTATATAATTATATATAACTATAATATATATATGTATGGATATATATATATATATATATATATATATATATATATACTTGCACTCACAGAATGTTCTTTATATTATTTCAAGTAACAAGACGGATTTTCTTCCAAAATTTTCGGAAAAAATTGGCATCAAGTCGCAACGAGTTCGTTCGTTAGGTCATAATCTTCCTTCAATACGTCTGATCAATTTCAAAAACGTGTATTACTATGGCACTATTAATATTGGAATGCCACCACAAGAATTTAAAGTCGTATTTGATACTGCTGCTGTAGATCTTTGGGTATTTTCCAGAAATTGCCAAATCCCTATTTGTAGTAAGTAATTTGTTCGTGTATATATATATATATATATATATATATATATATATATGTTTTTATTTTTCATTAATTAAATAAATTTCATTTAATCAATACCGTTTTTTAAACAAGCTTAAACTTCAAGTTTTTAAATCCGCAAATATATATGCATATATATTCTATCTACAATTATATTTCTCAAGTATAATCTTGGGATATTTAAAATGTTGAAAAAAAATGTAATACAGATATTTACTTAAGAGGTTATGTCTAGTTAAAAAAATGTCTAGTAAAAGTAAAAACAATCGATTTTTATGTTTTTACATTTTCTTGATGTTTATAATATTGAAAATATTTCCTAAAAGTTTCAAATTAATCGGATGCAAATTGACAAAGTTATAATTGTTTCATAAAGTGTCCGAATGTATAATTTTGTTTAAACACGACTACAAAGCTTCAGCTCTGATGTTTCGAGAGCTATCAAGTTAATATACGAAGAGTTGAATAAACTAAAATTATATGGGCCGGAAATAGATAATTCTGTATAAATTAAAGAAACTATATTTTATTTAAATGTAAACTTGATACAAATTTTAAACGCGTGTTTCTTGAATTCACTTTTTCAAAGTCGGTGAGCAAGATATTTCAAAACCCGATTTGCTTTAAATTTTACAGTCTTCTTTTATGTATAAAAACCTAGTAGATAAAAAAAGGATTTTATTTAATGAATACTTTTTTTTACTTAATAAAAAATAAGCAGTTGTTAAGTCAAAAAAGATCTTAATGTCAAATGGCTGCCATTTTGTCCAAAAACAATTTTTCGATTAATCCTTCATTCATCTACTAGTTTTCATACATTAACAACAGTTTATCGAATTTTTGATGTTAAATGAATCAGTTTCGAATAGCACTGCTCACCGCGTAGCTCATTTAATAAAATAATATCCGCAAGAATAGTTATAATTTTTACATTTTTTAATATTTGATTTAAAAAAAATATAATAACATTCTAAATATTAGTATTTTTGAATAAAAATTTATTTGTCAAAAAAAATTATTACACTTTTTTAAAAAAGATCTCAAACATCATAATTTTTTTGCGGCCTGCTGACTAGATATTACCTCTTAACTTTATAGTAATATTTAATATTATAGTGTAAATATTAAATATTAATGGCAAACTTTGGAATTTAGAAATTAATTAATTTAAATAATTTATCACTCACATTCATTCTCTGAAGGTACAAACGAGCATTGATAAACAAAAATGATTTATGAATTAATTAGACAACATTTACATACACAATTATTTATAATATTACATTTACATATACAATTATTTATAAAAGAATATTGTACATTTAATAAATTAATGATACAATATCTCTATATATATTATTAAAATTTTTGTAACTTTGCTGATTTTCGATATTTTGTACATGCTTTACTAATTGATATGCTTTACAGCAAAAAATAATCAATACGATAATACAAAATCCAAAACATACAATAATATAAAAAAGAGTAGAAAAATTATTTTACCATCTAAATGTTTCGATGTAAAAGCAATCTTAGCTATTGATACAGTGAATGTAAGTTCATTATTAAACAAACAATCCAATTTATTTATAATTATAATCGTAGTTTAAATATATCTTAACCAATCATATTCTTTTTTTTCCCGCGGCAACGATGTATTTTTTCAACAGCAATTTTATTATAGGTTGCCAACCTCAATGTAAAGAATCAAACATTTGCAGAAGTGGTACATATAATGGAAGATGTCGACATAATTGAAAATATATGTGCTGATCGAACATTTGATGGTATCTTTGGCCTCAGATCTTTTGAGCTATATGATAATGATATAACGCCTGTCTTTGGCAACATGATTCGACAAGGACTAGTGTCATCACGCATTTTCAGTTTTTATCTAAATAGGTACATATTTTTTTTACTTATGAACAACATATATCTATAGACAAGAGTTTTTAATAAACATACAGTTCTATTTGTATATATATAAACATACAGTTCTATTTGTATATATATTTATATTTATTTCATATTTATTTTAATATTAACATTAATTAAATTTATTATTTATATATAGTATTATAATTTTTTAAATTAAAATAATATTTATATTATTAATTATATTTATATTATTATTTATAATAATATTTATATTTGCACATTAAATATAACTTAATTTTAATTATCACGTACATACATATTGCGATATAAAAATTATAATTTGCAGAGACACTTCAGCCGATTTAGGTGGTATATTGACATTGGGTGGTTCCGATTCTGCTTATTACAAAGGGGGTTTTACATACATTCCTGTTACTGATGGATACTGGCAATTTATCATTAATAGGTACGTTATTTTTTAAAATACATTAATCGTGTTTTAAAAAAACAAACTGTTAGCGTTATTGCTTTATAGAATCGAAGGAGAACATTTTACTTGGTGCGATAGAGGTTGCCGAGGTATTCTTGATACAAGTGTTTGGAAAATAATTGGACCAAAAAAAGACATTTTATCTATTAATCAATTTATTAAAGTTGATCCACAGGGAAGAGTAAGTAAATGATATCTTTCAAGTAATCATATCTTTCAAAGCACTTAGGCTTTGAGAAAAAAAATATAAAAATTGATAATAGCGATATAAAAATAAATATTGGGTACGTTGAAATGAAACATAAACTTTTATGGAAAAATGGCATTAGTTTTTTTTTTGTAATACTTAATATGTTCATTAAATATGATTAATACTTGATATTAACTTGATATTATATTTTATTTAAAGGTGAACTGCAATAGAATTTCTCAATTGCCTGCAATCACATTTAATTTGGCTGGTAAGGATTTCGATCTTACTGGTAAAGATTACATCATTCAGGTGAGTCCTATAAGAAAATTATTTGAAATTAAATTTTAAATTATTTAAATATGTATAAGAGAAATTCAAAAGAGAATTTTATTGCATATTTAATTCTTCTCAGCATCCAGATGATGAAAGTATATGTATAACAGTCTTCTGGAAACACGACCGACCATATGACGATGAAGTAACATGGATTCTGGGCATGCCATTTATTGGCCGTTACTACACCAAGTTTGATATGGAGAAAAACCGAATAGGGTTTGCTTTGGCGAAAAATGTATAGAATTCATCAAAATGTAGGAAATCTTTTATTGTCACTTTTTATTGTGTACTTTATCATCATTTTTTAAATTATTTGTTTAGTTTTCGGTTAGAAAAAAATTTAATTTTTTTCCGAATGTATGATTAATCCGAAATGTATGATTGATCATCAATAAAGTGTGGATTATGGAAGTAGATTTTTTTTTTGCTTCTCTCCTTACATCTGCGTTGGCACGATATTGCTTAATTATTTAGTTAAATTTATATATTTACATCTGAGCTGTCAAGTTAGTTAATTTATTTTAATCTTTTTTAATCGCCTATCGACAAAGATCGCATACTATCAATGTGAATTTTTGAGTAATATTTACATAACTGCGCCTTAATTTTCAACAACAATACTTTCTCATGAAAGCAGCTGATATGTGCTTTTTTGCGAATTTTTGCGAGCAATGTCATTTGCTAAGTTCATTGTTGCATGGCTGTCTAGTCGATATAATCAATTTATTTTTCCAAAATGCTGATTTCTCTTTCATTATCACTCTTAATCACGCGCACATTTAATAATTTATTTTAATACAATTTATTTTAATTATAAAACAAAATATTAGCTAAAATATTTTTAAATTTGATATGGCGGATCAATAACACGAATTTATTTCGAATGTGCGCGATTGCCTAGAAGCCATCAAAACATAAACGTCTATAAACGACAGCTTTAATAGTCGAGTATAATTTATTTTTTGTATGTCCAGTCAGAACGTACAGAAAGAAATTTGTCAAAAATTTCAATAATATTCTCATGGTGACTGTGGTGCTGATCAGGGCGGAAATCCAAAACTAAATTCATACATTGTATTGTTTATTGATGTTACGTATCGGTATAATCAATATTGTTTTTATAAAAATCGATCTACCTTGTGGTGATTACATTTGACTGTGAATTTTGCAAATTTAAAATTGTAAATGTAATTGTATTCGTAAAACACCGATAAATTCTAAATAGAAGGTTTTTCGTGAAATGCGATATAAGCAATATAAGTTTTTGATTTTATGATATCGTTAACATCATTTTCACTTTGCTTGATTTAATGAGAATTGAAGGTAAAAGGTTACACTGGACTAATAAAATTATCTTGAAGCGCTTTCGTAAATATAGCATTTTTATAGACCGAGAATTTCAAAGGTTTTCTCTACATCTTCGTACGTGAACAAGAATTAATATGCTTCCGTTCAGTGAAAGGACAGCTCGTTGTCACAGTTTTAAGATAATCTCGCTGCGATCTAAAATATTTCCGATCCGCATCGACTTATCGATTTGATTTTATCTGTATTATGCATTCCGTCATGTGCCTTTAAATGCATAACGATGCTGTTTGGCAAGCGCGTTTTCCTGATTGCAATTTACTATATCATATTAATCGTTGCGGAGATAAAAGTGCGATAATATATTTCGCTGTATAATTAAAAATAATATCTCGATGTCATCTTCTCTTGATTCAAATTCTTGCGTAAATCGAGGCATGGACTGCGTAAAGAGATTAGAGAAAAAATTGACATTTTCTTTGTTCTTGGTTAATAGATGCCACGAAAATTTCACAATTAATGTAATTCGCACGTTATTCAGTAGCGCCTTTCGACTTTTTTGAATAAAATAAGCTTCGTTAAAGAGTTCTTAAGAATCGATCTCATATATCATGGTTTCTCGGAATATAGTTGAATATTAAGAGCGTGAAAAATTAATTGTTAACGAACGATTATTATTTCCTATTTTTATCTGAAATAATTTGATTATAAATTGAATATAAATAATGCACTATTACGCTATTATTATTCATGAATTTTAATTGTAATATATATAATATATATGTTTATGTATACATACTATTATATATGTTTGAATGATACCAATATTCGGTATCAACTGTTTAAAAGTGGGATAAATTTGATAAACAGAACTAATGAAAATATTTTAAATTTTGTCTTATAATAAATCGAAAGGAATTAGACTCGTTATATATTAAACAACAAGATAAGAAAACTAGCGTGTACGAGCCATAGCGAATGGTAATACCTAAAAATTCTTTAATTATACGCGAAAAACGAGAACAAGGAGCATATGCATATATTTTACTTGGTGCATTTACCAAGATATATAGATTCTCATTTTTGAGAATTCTATAAAACCCTCTTTACCCCCCTGAAGAGATTTAGAAAAATATCGGGGTGAAGTCGCTGAATCGGGAATCGAACTCGAGTCTTTCGCTTGCCGGACGACTGCTCTTACCACTGAGCTATTCAGTCCCATACCGATATCACTCTCGCCTATTTGTTTATAACTATGGAAAATGAAACGCCATCTTTTCAGCTACGCGTGAATTAAACTAAATCGAAAGGAATTAGGTTCGTTATGTATTAAACAACGAGAGAGACGTAGACGGCAAGCGAAAGACTCGGGTTCGATTCCCGATTCAGCGACTTCGCCCCGATATTTTTCTCGTCTACGTCTCTTTAGGGGGGTAAAGAGGGTTTTATAGAATTCTCAAAAATGAGAATCTATACATCTTGGTAAATGCACCAAGTAAAATATATGCATATGCCTTGTTCTCGTTTAAATTTTCGCGTACAATTAAAGAATTTTTAGGCATTACCATTCGCTGTGGCTCGCATACGCTAGTTTTCTTATCATGTTGTTTGTCTTATAATGTTTCTATTTTATTATAAGTTCATTTTTATAATGTAATTGAAATTATAATCATAATAACGTTTCTCATTATTGTAAATTATTTTATTTTGATAAATTGATCACATATTTTTAATAACATTTTTAATAAAAGAATACGTTTCCTTATTGTAGATCCATTATTTCCTTTCCAAAACTTGGTTGCTCTTTCCTTAAATTTGCATGATATAGAAGAGAAATGTATATATAGTATAGATTTTGAAGTTTTGCACACACACACACACACACACACACACATATATATATATATATATACAGGGTCTACCAAAAGTGTGGAAACCCCTAAATATCTCGGAAAATATACGTTTTACAGAAAAGTGTTTCCAACAAAAGTTGTAGGGTTTAAGAAGATCTATATACTGATTCTATCAGTTTGACCTTGGATGGCGTCGTCAAGGTTAGGTCAAGGTCACATTGACTTTTTTAAATGACACCCCCTACATTTGATTGCATATTCTTATAGCTTAATTCAAGAGCTTTCCAAAACACTATAATAATGTTCATTTTTATTAAGTACTTTGCGAGTTATGAGGGTTGAATGATAGAGTAGCGCCGGTATTAACATTATCCAAGGTGTACTACATGGAGGTTACTCGCTCGGATTTGCATCTGTTGTGTGTGTGATCCAGCTAACTAAGGCAAGATCGATTCCTCAACATATCCTCATATTTCGCTGAAGTCAAATTGCCAAAAAATTGCTCCATAAAACGTGTATGAAACGTCTCGTTAGTTCCTTCATTTACCGCTATGTGACGCACTACATGCAGTCTAACTCGCATTTAAAATTCAACTAAGAATGTATAAAGCTATCAAAGAACGAGCACCTTCTAACTTCAGCTTTGAGCAAGCAGAAATTAATTGTTATCGTCCAAATACAACGTACGATTAATTAAAATTAAACGTTTTAGCATTTACTTTAACACATTGAAACACATTTGCAATCGTTTGGTGCAACCTAACCTGATCTATGTATACACGCACCGCACGCACGCACACGCACACATTTCGAACAATTATTATGATAAATGAGCATCCACAAATTTATTTACTGTTTACTATGTCGATTGCTTTCCAGGTCTTTAAATGCTCGATTGTAATTTGGTTGGGTCTTTGCTTTTGCTGACTGGATCCACGACCGATCTTGCCTTAGTTAGCTGGATCACACACACAACAGATGCAAATCCGAGCGAGTAACCTCCATGTAGTACACCTTGGATAATGTTAATACCGGCGCTACTCTATCATTCAACCCTCATAACTCGCAAAGTACTTAATAAAAATGAACATTATTATAGTGTTTTGGAAAGCTCTTGAATTAAGCTATAAGAATATGCAATCAAATGTAGGGGGTGTCATTTAAAAAAGTCAATGTGACCTTGACCTGACCTTGACGACGCCATTCAAGGTCAAACTGATAGAATCAGTATATAGATCTTCTTAAACCCTACAACTTTTGTTGGAAACACTTTTCTGTAAAACGTATATTTTCCGAGATATTTAGGGGTTTCCACACTTTTGGTAGACCCTGTATATATAGTATCTTGAACTAAAGTATTCATATTAATATTATCTCTAATTTACCATAACAAGTCGTTTATAGAAAAAATGTATGACATTAATGAAAATTCAAATATATATTTCAAGATTATATATATTTTATTTTTTTTTTAGAAACCTCAAGAATTCATCAAATAAGGTGAATTATAATTATATGATATAATTTTTCCGCACAAAATTATATAAGAAAATGTCGGTTAATTAAATGCTGCTTTTTTCAAACTTCCTATTGTAAAGTTATTGTTGCATGATTACTTGTTTAGTCGTTATAAATGTATTCTTTCGATAGAATTGTTTCTATTATTAATCATAAATTTATGTACATAAACGTTCTTAATTAAGAATACGCGATCATGCAAAATATGAGATATTTAAATTAAATGTATCGATGGAAATCTATCAGGATTTTTCGAATGTTTCGCGCGTTCTCTACCTGTTCAAGCATTCAACAGAGGGACATGTACCATCATGTATATATATATATATAACGTTATAGAATACCAATACAGTGCTAAGGGAGAGTTAGTAAACGACACATTTCATTTTTCTGCGTATCTGATCATAAAGTGTCGAAAGAAAGTCGTCGTTGAAATTTTCACGAATCGAGACTTCAGCAGTAAATAAATTCTGAAATATGTTTCGTTTTTTCGTGATAGTGACGGTGCTCTTTATGATGACTGGCGCGCAATTGTATAGGTCAGTATATATTTTATTATATTGTACATTGGCATGATAGATATTGAAATTATAAAGATCGATTTTTTCTTCCACTCGATTTCTTTTTTAAACGCGTGACTTGTGCAAATGCAATTAATTATTCTATACAAATGGGATAAAATTTCCTTTGTCAAAATGTATACTTTTATTTATTAGACAAAGAGTAAATAAAATAAGAATTTTTGAAAAAGTGACTCGTTGTTTTTTCGTAACCTTCGCTTTTGTCCCCTCTTGTTTTTATCTCTATTTAAACGACGACCGTTAACATAAATATCGTGCTTGCAGATCAACAAAATATGTAATTATTTTTTCACGCGTTAGCAGATCAACTGTAGATATAATGAGTTGTTCTTGTATTATTTATTTAATTAATATTCGCTGTATCCTACTTTTAGTTGATACCCTTTAGTTGATTTCCTAGTTGATACAATTACTTGCTTTTAAATTACTTCCATATGTAAAATCACATGCAAAATTATCGTTAATTAAATATCAATGTCTATTATGTTATAATGGTTTTATTTAAGACTGGATTATCCAAATTAAATATTACTTTTAAGATATGAGTTCATACAATTTAGAAAGATCATCGAATAATAAGCATTTCTAATATATTTACATTTAAATGCGTAATGTACTTGTATTGCAAATATGTAAGTTATATAATTATATATAACTATAGTATATATATATATATATATATATATATATATATATGTATGGATATATATATATATATATATATATATATATATATATACTTGCACTCACAGAATGTTCTTTATATTATTTCCAGAAACAAGACGGATTTTCCTCCAAAATTTTCGGAAAAAATTGGCATCAAGTCGCAACGAATTCGTTCGTTAGATCATAATCTTCCTTCAGTACGTCTGACCAATTTCAAAAACGTGTATTATTATGGCACTATTAATATTGGAATGCCACCACAAGAATTTAAAGTCGTATTTGATACTGCTGCTGTAGATCTTTGGGTATTTTCCAGAAATTGCTCAATCCCTATTTGTAGTAAGTAATTTGTTCGTATATATATATATATATATATATATATATATATATATGTTTTCATTTTTAATTAAATAAATTTCAATTAAATTAATTAATTAAATAAATAGCATTTTATCAATACCGTCCTTTAGTCAAGCTTAAACTTCAAATTTTTAAATCTGCAAATATATATGTATATATATTCTATCTACAATTATATTTCTCATGTATAATCTTGGATATTTAAAATGTTGAAAAAAAATGTAATACAGATATTTACTTAAGAGGTTATGTCTAGTTAAAAAAATGTCTAGTAAAAGTAAAAACAACCGATTTGTATGTTTTTACATTTTCTTGAAGTATATCATATTGAAAATATTTCCTAAAAGTTTCAAATTAATCAGATGCAAATTGACGAAGTCATTTATAATTGTTTCATAAAGTGTCCGAATCTATAATTTTGTTTAAACACGACTACAAAGCTTCAGTTCTGATGTTTCGAGAGCTATTAAGTCAATATAGGAAGAGTTGAATAAACTAAAATTATATGGGCCGGGAATAGATAATTCTGTATAAATTAAAGAAACTATATTTTATTTAAATGTAAACTTGATACAAATTTTAAATGCGTGTTTTTTGAAATCACTTTTTCAAAGTCGGTGAGCAAGATATTTCAAAAACCGTTACAATGATTTGCTTTAAATTTTACAGTCTTCTTTTATGTATAAAAACCTAGTAGATAAACAAAGGATTTTATTTAATGAATACTTTTTTTTACTTAATAAAAAGAAGCAGTTTTTAAGTCAAAGAAAATTATGACGTCAAATGGCTGCCATTTTGTCCGAAAACAATTTTTCGATTGATCCTTCGTTCATCTATTAGATTCAATTTCACACTTTCATACATTAACAACAGTTTATCGAATTTTTGATGTAAAATGAATCAGTTTCGAATAGCAATTCTCACCGCGTAGCGCATTTAAAAAAATAATATCCGGGAGAATAGAAGGTTATAACTTTTAAAATTTAAAATATTTTATTTAAAAAAAAATATAATAACATCCTTAATATTTGTATTTTTGAATAAAAATTTATTTGTAAAATAATTTTATTATACTTTTTTAAAAAAATCTCAAACATCATAATTTTTTGCGACCTGCTGATTAGATATTACCCCTTAATTTTATAGTAATATTTAATGTTATAGTGTAAATATTACAATGGCAAACTTTGGAATTTAGAAATTAATTAATTTAAATAATTTATCACTCACATTCATTCTCGGAAGGTACAAACAAGCATTGATAAACATAGATGATTTATGAATTAATTAGACAACATTTACATACACAATTATTTATAATATTACATTTACATATACAATTATTTATAAAAGAATATTGTACATTTAATAAATTAATGATACAATATCTCTATATATATTATTAAAATTTTTGTAACTTTGCTGATTTTCGATATTGAATATGCTTTACTAATTGATATACTTTACAGCAAAAAATAATCAATACGATAATACAAAATCCAAAACATACAATAATATAAAAAAGGGTAGAAAAATTATTTTACCATCTAAATGTTTCGATGTAAAAGCAATCTTAGCTATTGATACAGTGAATGTAAGTTCATTATTAAACAAACAATCCAATTTATTTATAATTATAATCGTAGTTTAAATATATCTTAACCAATCATATCCTTTTTTTTCCCGCGGCAACGATGTATTTTTTCAACAGCAATTTTATTATAGGTTGCCAACCTCAATGTAAAGAATCAAACATTTGCAGAAGTGGTACATATACTGGAAGATGTCGACATAATTGAAAATATATGTGCTGATCGAACATTTGATGGTATCTTTGGCCTCAGATCTTTTGAGCTATATGATAATGATATAACACCTGTCTTTGGCAACATGATTCGACAAGGACTAGTGTCATCACGCATTTTCAGTTTTTATCTAAATAGGTACATATTTTCTTTACTTATGAACAACATATATCTATAGACAAGAGTTTTTAATAAACATACAGTTCTATTTGTATATATATAAACATACAGTTCTATTTGTATATATATTTATATTTATTTCATATTTATTTTAATATTAACATTAATTAAATTTATTATTTATATATAGTATTATAATTTTTTAAATTAAAATAATATTTATATTTGCACATTAAATATAACTTAATTTTAATTATCACGTACATACATATTGCGATATAAAAATTATAATTTGCAGAGACACTTCAGCCGATTTAGGTGGTATATTGACATTGGGTGGTTCCGATCCTGCTTATTACGAAGGGGGTTTTACATATATTCCTGTTGCTGAAGGATTCTGGCAATTTCTCATTAATAGGTACGTTATTTTTAAAATTACATTAATCGTGGTTTAACAAATTGTTAACGTCATTGCTTTATAGTATTGAAGGGGATCATTTTACTTGGTGCGATGGAGGCTGCCGAGCTCTCCTTGATACAAGTGTTTGGAAAATAATTGGACCAGAAAAAGATATTTCATCTATTAATCAATTTATTAAAATTGATCCACAGGGAAGAGTAAGTAAACGATATCTTTCAAGTAACCAAATCTTTCAAAGCACGTAGGCTTTGAGAAAAAAAATATAAAAAGTTGATAATTGCGATATAAAAATAAATATTAGGTACGTTGAAATGAAACATAAACTTCTATGGAACAATGACATTAGTCCTTTTTTTGTAATACTTAATATGTTCATTAAATATGATTAATACTTGATATTAACTTGATATTATGTTTTATTTAAAGGTGAACTGCAATAGAATTTCTCAATTGCCTACAATCACATTTAATTTGGCTGGTAAGGATTTCGATCTTACTGGTAAAGATTACATCATTCAAGTGAGTCCTATAAGAAAGTTATTTTAAATTAAATTTTAAATTATTTAAATATGTATAAGAGAAATTTATAAGTGAAATTTATTGCGTATTTAATTCTTCTCAGCATCCAGATGATGAAAGTATATGTATAACCGTCTTCTGGAAACACGAAGAAGAGGATGAAGTAGCATGGATTCTGGGCATGCCATTTATTGGCCGTTACTACACCAAGTTTGATATGGAGAAAAACCGATTAGGATTTGCTTTGGCGAAAAATGTATAGAATTCATCAAAATGTAGGAAATCTTTCATTGTCAACTTTTATTGTTTACTTTATCATCAGTTTTTTAAATTATTTGTTTAGTTTTCGGTAAGAAAAAAATTTAATCTTTTTTAATCGCCAATCGACAAAATTTGCATATTATCAATGTGAATTTTTGCGTAATATGTACATTATTGTGCCTTAATTTTCAACAGCAATACTTTATCGAGAAAGCAGCTGATATGAGCTTATTGATAATTAGAATGAGAATTTTTGTGAATAGTGTCATTTGCTAAGTTCATTGTTGCATGGCCGTCTAGTCGATATAATCAATTTATTTTTTCAAAATGCTCCTCTGATTTCTCCTTCATTATCATTCTTAATCACGCGCACGTTTAATAATTTATTTTAATACAATTTATTTTAATTATAAAACAAAATATTGGATAAAATATTTTTATATTTGATAGGGCGGATCGATAACACGAATTTATTTTGAATGTGCGCGATTGCCTAGAAGCCATCACATGTCGATAAACGAGAGCTTTAATAGTCGAGTATAATTTATTTTTTGTATGTCCTGTCACAACGTACAGAAAGAAATTTGTCAAAAATTTCGATAATATTCTTGTGGTGACTGCGGTGCTGATCAGGGCGAAAATCCAAAGCTAAGTTTATACATTGTTAATAAAATAACTTTATGTCGCTAGTCAGATAATCACAAGGATCGTTGAAAAAAATGTAGTCGACCAAACTAGCCAGTAATTTGTTTATTAACACGATGTTTCGACCATTTGGTTGTGGTCCTTATCATGTATATACGATGCAATAATAATCAGGAGACAGGCATAGACGATAATCTTGCAAAACTGCACAAGTCACATTAACAAAAAACGTTATTTAACTGGATTTGAATTTGAGAGAAACTGATGCGTCCGTTTGAGACTTCGTCAAGAAGTTGGTGTTTAGTTTCTTGACGAAGTCTCAAACGGACGCATCAGTTTCTCTCAAATTCAAATCCAGTTAAATAACGTTTTTTGTTAATGTGACTTGTGCAGTTTTGCAAGATTATCGTCTATACCTCTTGATTATTATTGCATCGTATATACTTGATAAGGACCACAACCATATGGTCGAAACGTCGTATTAATAAACAAATTTCTGGCTAGTTTGGTCGACTACATTTTTTTCAACGATCCTTGTGTTTATACATTGTATTGTTTATTGACGTTACGTATTGGTATAATAAGTATTGTCTTTATAAAAATCGATTTAACTTGATGTGATCACATTCGACTTTCGGAAATTTAAAACTTATATAAATGCGATTGTATTCGTAACACCGATAAATTCTAAAAGTTGTTCGTGCAGTGCGATAAGCAATATAAGTTTTCGATTTTATGATAATTTTATGAATACCATTTTCTCTTTGCTCGATTTAATAAGAATTGAAGGTGAAAGATTACACCGGATCTGATAAAATTATCTTGAAGCTCTTTCGTAAATATAGCATTTTTATAGACCGAGAATTTCAAAGGTCTTTTCTACATCTTCGTACGTGAACAAAAATTAATATTCCATTCTGAGAGAACAGCTCATTGTCACAGCTTTAAGATAATCTCGCTGCGATCTAAAATATTTCCGATCCGCATCGACTTATCGATTTGATTTTATCTGTATTATGCATTCCGTCATGTGCCTTTAAATGCATAACGATGCTGTTTGACAAGCGCGTTTTCCTGATTGCAATTTACGATATCATATTAATCGTTACAAGTCGCGGAGATAAAAGTGCGATAATATGTTTCGCTGTCATATAATTAAAAATAATATCTCGGTGTCATCTTCTCTTGATTCAAATTCTTGCGTAAATCGAGGCATAGACTGCGTAAAGAGATTAGAGAAATAATTGACATTTTCTTTGTTCTTGGTTAATAGATGAAATACGAATATTTCACGAATATTTCGCAATTAATGTAATTAGCACGTTATTCAGTAGCGCCTTTCGACTTTTTTGAATAAAATAAGCTTTGTTAAAGAGTTCTTAAGAATTGATCTCATATTCGGATACCATGGTTTCTCAGAATATAGTTGAATATTAAGAACGTGAAAAATTAATTATTAACGAACGATTATTATTTCTTACTTTTATCTAAAATAATTTGATTATAAATTGAATATAAATATTACATTGTTATTATTATTTATGAATTTTAATTGTAATATATGTAATATATATGGTGTGAATGATCCCAATATTTGGTATCAACTGTTTCAAATTGGAATGAATTTGATAAAGAGAAGTAATGAAAATATATAATTTTTTTATCTTATAATGTGTTTATTTTATTATAAGTTTATTTTTATAATGTAATTGAAATTATAATCATAATAATGTTTTTCATTATTGCAAATTATTTTATTTCGATAAATTAATCACATATTTTTAATAATATTTTTAATAAAAAAATACGATTCCTTATTGAAGATCTATTATTTCCTTCACAAAATTTAGTTGCATTTTCCTCAAATTTGCATGATAGAAGAGAAATGTATATATAATACAGATTTTGAAGTTTTGCATATATATATAGTACGTTGAACTAAAATATTCATATTAATGTTATCCCAAATTTAACATAACAAGTCGTTTATAGAAAAAATTTATGACATTAATAAATATTCAAATATATATTTCAAGATTATGTATATTTTGTTTTTTCTTTAAAAATTTCAAGAATTCATCAAATAAGGTGATTTGTAATTATATGAATATAGTTTTTCCGCATAAAATTATATAAAAAAATGTCGGTTAATTAAATGCTGCTTTTTTCAAACTTCCTATTGTAAAGTTAATGTTGCATGATTACTTGTTTAGTCGTTATAAATGTATTCTTTCGATAGAATTGTTTCTATTATTAATCATAAATTTATGTACATAAACGTTCTTAATTAAGAATACGCGATCATGCAAAATATGAGATATTTAAATTAAATGTATCGATGGAAATCTATCAGGATTTTTCGAATGTTTCGCGCGTTCTCTACCTGTTCAAGCATTCAACAGAGGGACACGCGCCATCATATATATATATATATATATATATATATATATATATATATATATATATAACGTTATAGAATACCAAACAGTGCTAAGGGAGAGTTAGTAAACGACAACACTTTATTTTTCTACGTATCTGATCATAAAGTGTCGAAAGAAAGTCGTCGTGGAAATTTTCACGAATCGAGATTTCAGCAGTAAATAAATTCTGAAATATGTTTCGCCTTTTGGTGATAGTGACGGTGCTCTTTATGATGACTAGCGCGCAATTGTATAGGTCAGTATATATTTTATTATATTGTATATTGCCATGATAGATATTGAAATTATAAATATCGATTTTTCTTGTATCCGATTTCTTTTTTAAACGCGCCGCTTGTGCAAATGCAATTAATTATTCTATACAAATGGGATGAAATTTCCTTTGTCAAAACGTATACTTTTATTTATTAGTCAAAGAGTAAATAAAATAAGAATATTTTTGGAAAAATGACTCATTGATCTTTCATAACATTCGCTTTTGTCCATCTTGCTTTTATCCCTATATAAACAATAACTATCATTAACGTAAATATTATGATTGCAGATTATCAAAAAACATCTAATTGTAAACTATTTTTTCACGCGCGTAGCAAATAAAATATAGATTTGCTTTGTATTATTTGTTTAATTGATATTCTCTGCATTTTATTTTTAACAGCTGACGCATTTGCTTAATTTAAATTATTTTTATGTGTAAAATTACACAGAGAAATTGTCGATAATTGAAAAGCAATATCTGTTAAAATGATTTTATTGAAAATACAGGATTAAATTAAATATTACTTTTGATATATGTATGAGGGTCATATAATTTAAAAAAATCATCGAGTTAAACGTTCCTAATTTAAATGCGTAGTGTACTCGTATTGTAAATATATAAGTTATATAGTTGATTTCTGAGACTGTGTAGACTTTCATAACTTATATTTGTTCTTAAAATATTTATTAGTCATGTCAAATGTGAATATTCATTTTATATACATATATGTAGTATATATATATATATATATATATATATATATATATATATACAGGGTGACCCAAAACTTATAATCAATCTTTCAAAGACAAATTCCTGGGATCATCTGAAGACGATTTTTCCTCAACGAAAATGTCAAGGCACTAATAAATAATTTTCGAATTATAAGTGATTGAAAATAAGGGGTTTTTTGTAAACTAAGTTTTGTAGAAATAAAATATTAATAAGACCACATTCTTCGATTAATTTTAAATAGAGTTTACTTTAGTTGAGTTTTAATTTATGGCTTAATTGCAAAGCTTAATTGCTATATGATGACAAAAATCGGGAACATGCAAAAAATAATGGCCTTCATCGACATTTTTGTTGAGGAAGAATCGTTTTCAAATGATCCCAGGAATCTGTCTTTGAAAGATTGATTATGAATTTATTTTACATCCTGTGTACTTGCAATCTCAGAATGTTCTTTATGTTATTTCAAGAAACAAGATGAATTTCCTTCCAAAATTTTCGAGAAAAGTTGACACCCAGTTGCAACGAGTTTCTTTGCGTTAGGTCATAATCTTCCTTCAGTACGTTTGACCAATTTCAAAAACGTACATTATTATGGCACTATTAGTATTGGAATGCCACCGCAAGACTTTGAAGTTGTATTTGATACTGGTTCTGCAAATTGGGTAATTTGGGTATTTTCCAGAAATTGCCCAACTTCTATTTGTGGTAAGTAATTTGTTCATATATATATATATATATATATATATATTATATATATATATGTTTTTATTTGTCATTTATTAAATAAATTTCATTTAATCAGTACCGTTCCTTAAACAAGCTTAAACTTCAAGTTTTTAAATTCGCAAATATATATGTATATATATTCTATCTACAATTATATTTCTCAAGTATAATCTTGGGATATTTAAAAAGTTGAAAAAAAAATATAATATAGATATTTACTTAAGGGATTATGTCTAATTATAAAAGTAAAAGCAATCGATTTTTATGTCTTTACATTTTCTGGAAGTATATTATATTGAAAATATTTCCTAAAAGTTTCAAATTAATCAGATGCAAATTGACAAAGTTATAATTGTATGTTTCATGAAGTGTCAGAATGTATAACTTTGTTTAAACACGACTACAAAGCTTCAGCTCTGATGTTTCGAGAGCTATCAAGTCAATATACGAAGAGTTGAATGAACTAAAATTATATGGGCCGGGCATAGATGATTCTGTGTAAATTAAAGAAACTATATTTTATTTAAATGTAAACTTGACACAAATCTTAAACGCAGGTTTCTCGAAATCACTTTTTCAAAATCGGTGAGCGAGATATTTCAAAAACCGTGTTACACCGATTTGCTTGAAATTGTATAGGCTTCTTCTACATATAAAAATATAGTAGATGAACGAAGGATTTTTTTAAAATACTTTTTTACTTTTTGAATACTTTTTTACTTAATAAGAAGTAGGTAATTTTTAAGTCGAAAATGAATGTCTTAATATCAAATGGCAGCCATTTTATTCTAAAACAATTTTTCGATTATTCCTTCGTACATCTACTAGACAATTTCATACATTAATTACAGTTTATCGAATTTTTAATATCAGATAAATCAGCTTCGAATAGTATTGCTCCCGACGTAGCGGTTTTTAAAAAATAATATCCGGAAGAATTATAACTTTTACATTTTTTAATATTTTATTTAAAAAAAATTTAATAACATCCTTAATATTTGTATTTTTGAATAAAAATTTATTTGTAAAAAAAAATTATTACACTTTTTTAAAAAAGATCTCAAACATCATAATTTTTTTGCGGCCTGCTGACTAGATATTACCTCTTAACTTTATAGTAATATTTAATATTATAGTGTAAATATTACAATGGCAAACTTTGGAATTTGGAAATGTTTAAATCATTTTAAATAATTTATCCCTTTCACTCTCTGCAGAAACAAAAAACAAACATTGATAAACAAAGATAATTTATGAATTAATTCTACAATTACAATTACGTGTACAACACATACAATCATTTACAAAAAAATATTGTATGTTTAACATAGCCTAATAAAAAGACAATATCTCTATATATATTTTTAAAATGTTTCTAATATTGCTAATTTTCGATATTGCTGAATATGCTTCACAGACATACGTCATCTATATAATAATATGTACTCCTACACATATGTACCAAATAATACTCATTGTCAGATTGATATAGAATACTTCGATTATAAAATAAATGGATTCCTATCTACTGATAATGTGAAAGTAAGTTATTATTAAACAAATAGTCTAATTTAATTATAATTAATCGTAAATTTAGTTATAACTATAATCGTAGTTTAAACATTTCTTAAAAAATCATGTATTTTTTTGCGCGACAATGACGATGTATTATTTCAATACCAATTTTATTATAGATAGCCAATCTCCTTGTAAAGAAACAAACATTTGCAGAAGTAGTAAACATATCAGACGTAAATATAATATTTAATTTATATATAAGTGTATTTGACACAGAAATATTTCATGGTCTCTTGGGCCTAAGTTATTCCAATATATCTGAGGCTGAAATAACGCCTGTTTTCGACAACATGATTCAACAAGGCCTAGTGTCATCACGCATTTTTAGTTTTTATCTAAATAGGTACATACCTTCTCTACTTATAAACAACATATATCTATAGAAAAGAGTATTTAATAAACATGTAGTTCCATTTATATATATATTTATGTTTATTTTATACTTATTTTAATATAAACATTAATTAAATTTATTATTTATATATAGTATAATTTTTATATAATATTATTTTTTATATTAAAGTAATATTTATATTTACACATTAAATATAATTTATCTTAATTATCACATACATACATATTGCGATAGTTTTTATCTAAATAGGTACATATCTTCTCTACTTATGAACAACATATATTTATAGAAAATGAATATTTAATAAACATTCAATTCTATTTGTATATATATTTATATTTATTTTATACTTATTTTAATATAAACATAAATTAAATTTATTATTTATATATAGTATTATAATTTTTCAAATTAAAGTAATATTTATATTTGCAAATTAAATCAATTTAATTTTAGTTATAACACATATACATATTGCGATATGAAAAATATAATTTGCAGAGACACTTCAGCCGATTTAGGTGGTAAAATGATATTTGGTGGTTCCGATCCTGCTTATTACGAAGGGGATTTTACATATATTCCTGTTACTAACAAAGGATACTGGCAATTCACCATTGATAGGTACCTTATTTTTTAAATTACATTAATCATGTTTCAACTAATTGTTTATGTCACCGCTTTGTAGTATCCAAATAAATGATTATATTTGGTGTGAGAAAAGCTGCCAAGCTATCGTTGATACAAATGCTTGGAAAATAATTGGACCAGCAAAGGATGTTTCATTTATGAATCGATTTATTGGAATTGATCCACGAAGAGTAAGTAAACGATACCTTTGAAATAACCATCTTTCAAAGTAGGCTTTAAGAAAAAAGTTATAAAAAATTTATAATAGCGATATAAAAATAAATATTGGGTACGTGCAAATGAAACTTCTATGAAATTACGACATTAATCCTAGTTTTCATTAAACATATTTAATATTAATTTATTATTAATTATTGATATTATTATTTATATAAATTATTTTAATTTTAATTATTTATTTAAAGGTGGATTGCGATCAAAATCTTCGATTGCCTACAATCAGGTTTATTTTGGGTGGTAAGGCATTCGATCTTACCGGTAAAGATTACATCATTCGGGTGAGTGTTATAAGAAAATTATTAAAATTATTTAAGTATGTATAAGAGAAGTTTATATCATGTATTTAATTCTGCTCAGCATCCAAAAGATGAAAATATATGTGTAACTGTCTTCTGGAAACACGACCCAACATACGACGATGAAATAGAATGGATTCTGGGAATGCCATTTATTGGCCGTTACTACACCGAGTTTGATATGGAGAAAAACCGAGTGGGATTTGCTTTGGCGAAAAATGTATAGAATTTATCAAAATGTATAGAAAATGTTTCATTATTACCTTTTATTGTATACTTTATCATCATTTTTTAAATTATTTATTTAGATTTCGAAAAAAAAATTTAATCTTTTTTAATCGCCAACCGACAAAGTTTACATACTATCAAAGTGAATTTTTGCGTAATATCTACTGCGCTTTAATTTTCAACAGCAATACTTTATCGTGAAAGCAACTGATATGAGCTTATTGTTAACTAGAATGCGAATTTTTGCGAGGAGTGTTATTTGCTAAGTTCAATGTTGCATGGCCGTCTAGTCGATATAATTAATCCATTCTTTCGAAAAGCTGATTTCTACTTCATTATCATTCTTAATCACGTGCATATTTAATAATTTAATACAAATTGTTTTAATTATAAAACAAATTAAATAAAATATTTTTAAATTTGATTGATCGATAGAACGGATCGATGAGACGGATATGTTTCGAATGCGAGCGATTGTATATATAACAGTCGTCAAATGTCGATAAATGGTAGCTCTAGTAATCTAGTACAATTTCTTTTTTGTATGTCGCAACGTACAGAAAAAAATTTACTGGAAATTTCGAAAACATGTTCCGCTTTCTCGTGATGACTGTGATGCTGATCGACGCGAAAATCCAAAACTAAATTCATACATTGTAGTGTATGTTTACGTTACATATCAGTATAATAAATATTGAATTTATAAAAATTGATCTATCTCGTCGTGATCACATTCGATTTTCTGAAATTCAAAGCTTATGTAAATGTGATTGCATACATAAAACGATAAATCCTAAATAAAAAGTTATTCGTGCAGTGTAATAAAAGTTTTCGATTTTATAATAATGTTATAAAAATCATTTCTTCTTTGCTCGATTTAATAAGAATTGGAGGTGAATAATTACGCTGGATCTAATAAAATTAATCTAACTAAAAAGGTTTCCCCTACATTTTCGTATATGAACAAGAATTAATATGCTTCCCTTCAATGAGAGAACAGCTTGTCATCGCTTTAAGATAATCTCGATCTAAAATAATTTTGATCCTCATTAAACCTCATTAATCGACTTATCGACCTGATTTTATCTATATTGTGCATTATGTGTTCTTAAATTTATAATTGCAATTTTGATACTGTTGGATACGACAAGCGTTTTTCTGATTTACTATATCATATTAATCGTTAAAGTTTGCGGTGAGCGATAATGTATCCCTCTTTTTTCATGCAATTAAAAATAATATATCTAAATATATCTTGGTCACTTTTTCTGAAATACTTGCGTAGATCATGATCACAGGAATTGATTGCGTGTAGAGATTGAAAAAATTGATAATTGCTTTGTTCATTTGCTTATGAATAATTCAAGAAAATTTATACGAGATCATAATTGTAGATCAATTATTTAAAACATAACTAATCATCGTCGTACGTTCTAGATTTATGACTCTTGCGTATCATTATGTACGAAGAAATGCAATCAATCTTATTTAATTTGAATGGACCTAATGGATCTAATAATATCTCTACATTTCTCGAATATAAAGAGACGATTTTCAACTGAACAGTTTAGTAAATATATTGTAACAAATAACCGTTATCTTCCAGATCTGGTTATTACGGATTATCGCTGATGCCTGTTTCAGTTAGACCTGAAATAATTTGATTATAAATGTTACATCGCTATTATTATTTATGAATGTTAATTGTAATATGTTTATATATGCATGCTATATATGTTTGAATTATATCAATATTCGGTTTCAAGCTTTTTAAATCAGGACGAATTTGATACAAGGAAATAATAATAAAATTACAATGAAGAAATTACAAATTTTTTATTGCATAATGTGTTTATCTTATAATACATTGATTTTTATAATATAATTGAAGTTATCATCATAATAAAATACTTTCCATTATTGAAAGTTATCTCATTTCGATAAATTGACACATTTTTAATAAAAAAATATTTCCTTATAAGAGATCCATTATTTGTTACGCAAAATTTCATATTGTTACATTTTTTCAAATTTACATAATATATGTTAAAAGAAATGTATAGTAGAAATATATATATATATATATATATATATATATATATATATTAGAATTAAGACATATACAGCATCGATTTTTAAGTTTTGTACAGTATCTTAAGTTAAAATATTTATATTAATATTCATATTAATATTCCAAATTTAACATAACAAATTGTTCATAGCAACATTTCTGAAATGAATATTCAAATATATAGAGTATATATATCGTCAAGATTATGTATATTTTCTTGTTTTTTTAAAAACTTCAAGAATTCATCAAAAAAGGTGATTTATAATTACATAAATATAGTTTTTCCGCACAAAATTATACAAAAAAGTGTCGGCTAATTAAATGCTGCTTTTTCCAAACTTCCTATTGTAAAGTAAATGTTGCATGATTGTCAGTTTAGTCGTTATAAATGTATTCTTTCGAAAAAATTGTTTCTATTATTAATCATAAATTTATATAATTAAACGTTAATTAAGAATACGCGATCATGCAAAATATGATATATTTAAATTAAATTTATCGATAGAAATCCATCAGGCTTTTTCGAATGATTCGCGCGTTCTCTATCTGTTCAAACATTCCACAGAGGGACACGCGCAATCATATATATATGTAATGCTATCGAAAACTGATACAGTGCTAAAGGAGAGTTAGTAAATGACAACACTTTATTTTTCTGCGTCTCTGATCATTAAGTGTCGAAAGAAAGTCGTTGTTGAAATTTTCACGAATCGAGAATTTAGCATTAAATAAATTCTGAAATATGTTTCGCCTTCTTGTGGTGGTGACGGTGCTCTTTATGACGACTGAGGCGCAATTTACATTTCCGTATATATTTTATTTTGTATTAGAATAAATATCGAAATTATAAAGATCGAATCTTTCTCGTATCCGATTTTTTGGATTAAAGGCGTAACTTGAGCAAATGCAATAAATACTTCAATACTTCAAATTGGATGAAATTTCTTTGGTCAAAATATATGTTTTTATTTATTAGTCAAAGAGTATATAAAATAAGAATATTTTTGAAAAAATATCTCATTGTACTTTCATAACGTTCGCTTTTGTTCATCTTGCTTTTATCCCTATTTAAACGACAACCGTTAACATAAATTTCTTTGGAGGTCATCAAATATATTTGCATTCACAGAATATTCTTTATGTTATTTCAAGGTCACTTTTCTGGATATGGCGGATAAGTGACACCAAATTGCAAAAAGTTCCTTCAGATAATAATTTTCCTTCAGTACGTTTGACCAATTTCAAAAATGTGAATTATTATGGCTCTATTAAATTTGGAATTCCACAGCAAGAATTTAAAGTTGTATTTGATACTGGTTCTAAAAATCTTTGGCTATCTTCGAATATGTGCAAAACATATGCTTGTTGTAAGTAATTTGTTTGTTTATATAAACTATATAGAATTATATTTTTCAAGTATAATCTGGGGATTTAAAAAGTCGAATATTATACAGATACATATTCACTTTAATTTTATAGTAATATTTAATATTATAGTGTATATATTACAATGGCAAACTTTTGGAATTTGAAAATGTTTAAATTAATTTAAATAATTTATCACATTCACTCTTTGAAGATACAGACAAACATTGATAAACAAAAATGATTTATAAATTAATTCGATATAAACATGTATATGTACAACATAAATAATTATTTACAAAAGCATGTTGCATATTTAATATAGATTAATAAGATAATATGTCTACGCATATTTTTAAAAGTTATTTAATATTTCTAATTTTCGTTATTACTGAATATACTTTACAGTGACAAGTAGTCTAAATACGTCTTTCAACCCGTATATAGTAAATAATACACTATTTCATGTACAATACCTCGATTATAATGTAACAGGATTCCTATCTACGGGTACAGTGAATGTAAGTCATTATTAAATAAATATTCTAATTTAATTATAACTAAAATGATAGTTTGAACATTACTTAAGCAATCGTGTTCTTTTTTTTGCGTATCAGTGTACGATGTATTATTTCAATACAAACTTTATCGTAGGTTGCCAACCTCAATGTGGAGAGGCAAACATTTATAGAAGTGGTAAACATATTAGACGAACATACAGACGAACTTGGATCGTACACAAATATATATAACCGAAAATTTGATGGTCTTTTGGGCCTGTGTTGTTTCGACATACCTGTCGGTGAAATAACGCCTGTCTTCTACAACATGATTCAACAAGGACTAGTGTCATCACGCATTTTCAGTTTTTATCTAAATAGGTACATATCTTCTCTAGCTATAAGCATCGAATACCTATTTAAACGAGATTTTTTAATATTAAAATATTATTTATATTTGCACATTAAATAAACTTAATTTTAATTATCACACTCATACATATTGCAATATAAAGAACATAATTTGCAGAAACGCTTCAGCCGATTTAGGTGGTAAATTGATATTCGGTGGTTCCGATCCTGCTTATTACGAAGGAAATTTTACATATGTTCCTGTTACTCGCAGAGGACACTGGCAAATTACCATTAATAAGTGCGTCGTTTATTAAATTACATTAATGATGTTTCAACAAATTATTAACGTCTTCGCTTTGTAGTATCGAAATGACTTATGTGATGTCGTCTAATTTTATTTTGTGCAAGGAAAGCTGCCAAGCTATCGTTGACACAAGTATTTGGAAAATAATTGGTCCAGAAAAGGACGTCTTACTTATTGATCGACTTACTAGAACTAATCCATATGGAAGGGTAAGTAAACAATATATTTTAAGTAATTATATCTTTCACAAAGCACATAATCTTTGATAGAAAAAAGTAAATTATAAAAAATTGATAATAGCGATAAAGAAATAAATTATAGGTATGTTGAAACATTAATTTCTATGGAACAATAACGTTAATTCTTATTTCCGAAATACTTATACTCGCTAAATATGATTAATTGCTAATCTGATATTATGTTCTATTTAAAGGTGGACTGCAATATAATTCCTCATTTGCCTATAATCAGGTTTAATTTGCGTGATTTTAATTTTGGTGTTAAGACGTTCGTTCTTACCGGTAAGGATTATATCATTCGGGTAAGTGCCATAAGAAAATTATTTAAATTATTTAAATATGTATAAGAGAAGTTTATATCGTGTATATAATTCTGCTCAGCATCCATATAATGAAAGTACATGTATATCCGTCTTCGGGAAACACGAGTCAACATATAAAGATGATGTAAAATGGATTCTGGGGATGCCATTTATTGGCCGTTACTACACTGAGTTTGATATGGACAGAGGCCGAGTGGGATTTGCTTTGGCGAAAAATGTATAAAATTTATCAAAATATATAGAAAACGTTTCATTGTCACCTTTTATTGTATACTCATCATCATTTTTTAAATTATTTGTTTAATTTTCCATAAGAAAAAAATTTAATTTTTTAATCGCCAACCGACAAAGTTCGCGGATTATTAATGTGAATTTTTGCGTAATGCCTACATAACTACGACTTAATTTTCAACAGCAATACTTTATTTGGAATGCGAATTTTTGCGAGTAATTGCATTCGCTAAGGTCATTGTTGCATGGCCGTCTAATCGATATAATCAATCTATTCTTTCGAAAAACTGATTTCTCCTTCATTATTAATCTTAATTACGCACCCACTTAATAATTTATTTTAAAACAATATGTTTTAGTTATAACACAAAATATTAAATAAAATATTTTTAAAATGATTGATTGATGAATAATTGATTGATCGATAGGACGGATGATCAATAAAAAAGGTTATGTTTCAAATGCGAGCGATTATATATATAATATATACGGCCGCCAAATGTCGATAAATAATAGCTCTAGTAGACGAGTACAATTTCTTTTTTGTATGTCGTAACGTACAGAAAGAAATTTACTGGAAATATCGAAAACATGTTCCGCTTTCTCGTGATGATTGTGACGCTGACCGACGCAGAAATCCAAAACTAAGTTCATACATTGTATTGTAAGTTTACATTACATATCATAATGATTATTGAATTTAAGAATTGACCTCTCGCCCTGATCACATTCGATTTTCTGAGATTCCAAACTTATGTAAAACTTATGTCGTGCAATGCAATAAAAGTTTTCAAACTTACAATATATAATGTTATAAAAATCATATTCTTTTCGCTAGATCTCACAAGAATTGGAGGTAAATGGTTACACTGGGTCTAGTAAAATTAATCTTGAAGTGCTCTCGTAAATATAACATTTTTGTGGATAGAAAATTTCAAAAATTTTCCCGTTTAACTTCCTACATCTTCGTATGTGAACAAGAATTAATATGCTTCCGTTCAGTGAACAGCTGTTGTCACTGCTTTAAAATAATCTTGTTTTAATATAAAATATTTCCAAACCGCATTAGATTATCGATTTGTCGGCTGGATTTTACAGTATCATGCATCATGTGTTCTTAAATGCATAATTGTGATTTTGATGCTGTAGAACACGACAAGCGCGTTTTTCTGATTTATGGTATCATATTAATCGTTAGAAGTTGCGGTGATAAATGAACGGTAATGTATTTTTTTCGTGCAATTAAAAGAAATTATCTCGGTCACTTTTTCTCAAATACTTGCGTAGATCCGGAATACAGGAATTGATTGCGTTTAGAGATTGGAAAAATCGATATTTGCTTTGTTCACTTGCTTATGCATATGCTTATGAATGATTCGAGAAAATTTATACGAGGAAATCAGAATTGTAGGTAAATTACTTAAAACGTAACTAATCATCGTCGTACGTTCTAGATTTATGATTCTTGCGTATCGTTATGTACGAAGAAGTGCAATAGATTTTATTTAATTTAAATGATGCTAATAGATTTAATGATTTCTCTATATTTCTGGAGACCAAGAGATGATTTTGAATTGAACAGTTTTGTATATATATTGTAACAAATAACCACTATCCACCAGATCTGGTTATTCTGCATTGTCCCTGATGTCTGTTTCAGTCAGACCTAAAATAATTTGATTACAAATTGATTATAAATATTACATTTTTATTATTATTTATGAATGTTAATTACAATATATGTTTATATATCCATGCTATATACGTTTGAATTATATCAATATTATCAAATTTTTTTAATCAGGACTAATTTAGTGCAAAGAACTAATAATAAATGTACAATGAAGAAATGACACATTTTTATTATATAAATTATTGTGTTTATTTTGTTATATGTTATCTTATTATATGTTGATTTTTATAATGCATTTGAAATTATCATCATAATATAATACTTTCCAGTATTAAAAGTTATTTCGATAAATTAATGACACATTTTTAATAAAAAAGTATTTCCTTATTAAATATCTATTATATGTTTCACAAAATTTCATATTGTTACATTTCTTCAAATTTACATAATATATGTTAAAAGAAATGTATAATAGAATTATATATAATAAAAGTAAGACATACATAGTATAAGTTTTTAAGGTTTGTACAGTATCTTGATTTAAAATATTCATATTAATATTATTCCAAATTTAACATAACAAATTGTATACTATATACCAAATTTCCGAAATTAACGAATATTGAAATATATATTTCAAGATTATGTATATTGTCTTGTTCTTTTAAAAATTCATCAAAAAGGTGATTTATAATTACATAAGTATATAGTTTTTCCGCACGAAATTATATAAAGAAATGTAGGTTAATTAAAAATGCTGTTGTTTTTCAAACATCCTATTAACAACCTATTGCACTAAAATTAATGTTGCATGATTGCTTATTTAGTTGTTATAAATGTATTCTTTCAAAAGAATTGTTTTTATTATTAATCATAATTTATATAAATAAACGTTCTTAATAGACGTTCCTAATCATAAATTTATATAAATAAACGTTCTTAATTAAGAATACGTGATCATGCAAAATATGATATATTTAAATTAAATTCATCGATGGAAATTCATCAGGATTTTTCGAATGTTTCGCACGTTCTCTATCTGTTGAAGCATTCAACAGAGGGACATACGCAATCATATATATAACGCTATTGAATACCGATACAGTGCTAAGAGAGAGTTAGAAAGTGACAACACCTTATTTTTCTGTGTATCTGGTCATAAAATATCGAAAGAAAGTCGTCGCTGAAATATTCAACGAGACTTCAGCAGTAAATAAGTTTTAATATATGTTTCGCCTTCTTGTGGTAGTGACGGTGCTCTTTATGATGACTGGCGCGCAACCTGCGTATATATTTTATTATATTTTATATTAGCATAATAATCGAAATTATGAAAAATTTTTCTCGTAACTGATTTCTTGGATTAAACGCGTAATTTGAGCAAATGCAATAAATACTTCAATACTTCAAATTGGATGAAATTTCTTTCGTCAAAATATATGTTTTTATTTATTAGTCAAAGAATATATAAAATAAGAATATTTTTGAAAAAATGTCTCATTGTACTTTCATAACGTTCGCTTTTGTTCATCTTGCTTTTATCCCTATTTAAACGACAACCGTTAACATAAATTTCTTTGGAGGTCATCAAATATATTTGCATTCACAGAATATTCTTTATGTTATTTCAAGGTCACTTTTCTGGATATGGCGGATAATTGACACCAAATTGCAAAAAGTTCCTTTAGCTAATAATTTTCCTTCAGTACGTTTGACCAATTTCAAAAATGTAAATTATTATGGCTCTATTGGAATTGGAACTCCACAGCAAGAATTTAAAGTTGTATTTGATACTAGTTCCGCAAATCTTTGGCTATTTTCCAAAAAGTGCACAATCCCTGCTTGTTGTAAGTAATTTGTATATATATATATATATGTTTTTATTTTTTATTTGTTAAATAAATTTCATATAATCAGTAATGTTCTTTAGATAAGCTTAAACTTCAATTTCTTAAATCCGCGAATATATATGTATATATGAACTATCTAGAATTATATTTTTCAAGTATAATCTGGGGATTTAAAAAAATGAATACTATACAGATACATATTTACTTTAATTTTATTGTGTAAATATTACAATGATAAACATTGAAATTAGGAAATGTATAAATTAATTTAAATAATTTATCACATTCTTTCGCTGAAGATACAAACATTGATAAACAACTGTGATTTTTGAATTAATTCGACACAAATACATATACACGTACAACATATATAATTATTTACAAAAGAATGTTGTATATTTAATATAGATTAATAAGATAATATATCTATATATATTTTTAAAATCTTTTTAAATTCTAATTTTCGATATTACTGAATATGCTTCACAGCAAGACGTCATCAATATGATAGTACGGATTCCTATACGTGCATACCAAATAATACTTATATTTATATAGGATACAACGATTATAATGTAAATGGATTTCTATCTACTGATACAGTGAATGTAAGTCATTACTAAACAAATAATCCATTCATAATAATAATTTAGTTATAACTAAAATAATAGTTTTAACATTTTTTAAGTAATCGTATTCTTTCTTTGAGTGGCAATGACGATGTATTATTTCGATACCAATTTTATCATAGGTTGCTAACCTCAATGTAAAGAATCAAACATTTGCAGAAGTGATAGACGTATCAGATGTAAATATAGTATTAAATTTATTTGCAAATAATTTATATATAAATATACTTGATAAACAAAGATTTGATGGTCTGTTAGGCCTGAGTTATTCCCATATATCTCAGAATGGAATAACGCCTGTCTTCGACAACATGATTCAACAAGGCCTAGTGTCATCACGCATTTTCAGTTTTTATCTAAATAGGTACATATGAACAACTATATTTATAAAAAATGAGTATTTAATAAACATTCAGTTCTATTTGTATATATATTTATATTTATTTTATACTTATTTTAATATAAACATAAATTAAATTTATTATTTATATATAGTATTATAATTTTTCAAATTAATATAATATATATATTTGCAAATTAGATAAACTTAATTTTAATTATAACACATATACATATTGCGATATGAAAAATATAATTTGCAGAGACACTTCAGCCGATTTAGGTGGAAAATTGACATTTGGTGGTTCCGATCCTGCTTTTTACGAAGGGGATTTTACATATATTCCTATTACTAAAAAAGGATACTGGCAATTCACCATTGATAGGTACTTTATTTTTTAAATTGCATTAATCATGTTTGAATAAATTGTTAATATCACCGATTTGTAGTATCCAAATAAATGATTATATTTGGTGTGAGAAAAGCTGCCAAGCTATCGCTGATACAAGTACTTGGAAAATAATTGGACCAGGAATGGATGTTTCACTTATTAATCGATTTTTTGAAACTAATCCACAGGGAAGAGTAAGTAAATGATATCTTTCAATAGAAGAGTAAATAAACGATATCTTTAATTACATCTTCTACAAAGCACGTAGTCTTTGATAAAAAAAATAAATTATAAAAAATTGGTTATAGCGTTAAAAAAATAAATATTAGGTACGTTTAAAGGAAACATAAACTTTTATGGAACAATGACATCAGTTCTGTATCTGTTCCAAAATACTTAATATTATCGTGATATTATGTTTTATTTAAAGGTGAACTGTAATAGAATTTTTCAATTGCCTATAATCAGGTTTAATTTGGGTGGTAAGATGTTTAATCTTACCGGTAAAGATTATATGATTCGGGTAAGTGCCATAAGAAAATTATTAAAATTATTTAAATATGTGAGAGAAGTTTATATTGTGTATTTAATTCTGCTCAGCATCCAGATAATGAAAGTATATGTGTAACCGTCTTCTGGAAACACAACCCAACATATGACGATGAAGTAAAATGGGTCCTGGGGATGCCATTTATTGGCCGTTACTACACAGAATTTGATATGGAGAAAAACCGAGTGGGATTTGCTTTGGCGAAAAATGTATAGAATTCATCAAAATGTATAGAAAATGTATCATTGTCACCTTTTATTGTGTACTTATCATTATTTTTTAAATTATTTGTTTAATTTTCAATTAGAAAACATTTAATTTTCTAATCGCCAACCGACAAAGTTCGCAGATTATCAATGTGAATTTTTGCGTAATGCCTACATAACTGCGACCTAATTTTCAACAGCAATACTTTATCGTGAATGCAACTGACATGGGCTTATAGTTATTTGGAATGCAAATTTTTGCGAGTAATTGCATTCGCTAAGATCATTGTTGCATGGCCGTCTAATAATCGATATAATCAATCTATTCTTTCGAAAAGCTGATTACTCCTTCATTATCAATCTTAATAGCATATCAATCTTAATAGCGCATACTTAATAATTTATTTTAAAACAATTTGTTTTAGGTATAACACAAAATATTAAATAAAATATTTTTAAATTTGATTGATCAATAGGACGGATGATCAATAAAAAAGGTTATGTTTCGAATGTGAGCGATTGTATATATAACGGCCATCAAATGTTAATGTAAATGATAGCTCTAGTAGACGAGTTCAATTTCTTTTTTGTATGTCGTAACGTACAGAAAGAAATTTACTGGAAATTTCGAAAACATGTTCCGCTTTATCATGATGACTGTAATGCTGACCGACGCGGAAATCCAAAACTAAGTTCATACATTGCATTGTAAATCCAAAACTAAGTTCATACATTGTATTGTAAATTTACGTTACATATCAGTATAATAAATATTGAATTTATAAAAATTGACCTATCTCGTTGTAATCACAATCGATTTTCTAAGAACCTAAAATTATGTAAATGTGGTTGCATACATAGAACGATAAATCCTAAAAGAAAAGTTATTCGTGCAGTGCAATTAGAGTTTTCGATTTTATAATGATGTTATAAAAATCATTTTGTCTTTGCTCGATTTAATAAGAATTAGATGTGAAAAATTACATTGGATTTAGTAAAATTAATCTTGAAACTCTCTCGTAAATGGAGCGATTTTCAAGTAAACAGTTTTGTAAATATTGTAACAAATAACCACTAACCATCAGATTTGGTTATTCCGGATTTCGCTGACACCTGTTTCAGTCGGACATGAAATAATTTGATTACAAATTGATTATAAATATTACATCGTTATTATTATTTATGAATGCTAATTACAATATATGTTTATATGCATGCTATATATGTTTGAATTATATTAATATTCGGTATCAAACTTTATAAATCAGGACGAATTTGATACAAGGAACTAATAACAAAATTACATTGAAAAAATTACAAATTTTTTTATTCTATAATGTGTTTATCTTATTATACAGGGTGACCCAAAACTTATAATCAAACTTTCAAAGACAGATTCCTGGGATCATCTGAAGACGATTTTTCTTCAACGAAAATGTCGAGGCACTAATAATTTTCGAATTATAAGTGATTGAATATAAAGGGTTTTTCGTAAACTAAGCTTTGCAGAAATAAAATATTAACAAAACCATATTCTTCAATTAATTTTAAATAGAGTTTACTTTAGTTGAGTTTTAATTTAAGGCTTAATTGCAAAGATATATGATGACTAAAATCGGGAACATACAAAAAATGATGGCCTTTATCGACATTTTCGCTGAGGAAAAATCGTCTCCAAATGATCCCAGGAATCTGTCTTTGAAAGATTGATTATGTGTTTTGGGACATCCTGTGTATGTTATCTTATTATTCGTTAATTTTTATAATGTAATTGAAGTTATCATCATAATATAATACTTTCCAGTATTGAAAGTTATCTTATTTCGATAAATTAATGACACATTTTTAATAAATAAATATTTCCTTATTAAAGATTTATTATTTGTTACACAAAATTTCATACTATTACATTTTTTCAAATTTACATAATATATGCTAAATGAAATGTATAGTAGAAATATATATATTAGAATTAAGACATATATAGTATGGATTTTGAAGTTTTGTACAGTATCTTAAGTAAAAATATTCAAAATATTATCTTAAATTTAACATAACAAATTGTTTGTAGCAAAATTTCTGAAATTAATGAATATTCAAATATATATTTCAAGATTATGTATATTTCCTTGTCCTTTTAAAAACCTCAAAAATTCATCAAAAAAGGTGATTTATAATTACATAAATATAATTTTTCCGCACAAAATTATACAAAAAAGTGTCGGTTAATTAAATGCTGCTTTTTCCAAACTTCCTATTGTAAAGTTAATGTTGCATGATTGGCAGTTTAGTGGTTATAAATGTATTCTTTCGAAAGAATTGTTTCTATTATTAATCATAAATTTATATAATTAAACGTTAATTAAGAATACGCGATCATGCAAAATATGATATATTTAAATTAAATTTATCGATAGAAATCCATCAGGCTTTTTCGAATGATTCGCGAGTTCTCTATCTGTTCAAACATTCCACAAAGGGACACGCGCAATCATATATATATATATATATATATATATATATATATATATATATATATACATATATATATATATGTAACGCTATCGAATACCGATACAGTGCTAAAGGAGAGTTAGTAAACGACAACACTTTATTTTTCTGCGTCTCTGATCATTAAGTGTCGAAAGAAAGTCGTTGTTGAAATTTTCACGAATCGAGACTTTAGCATTAAATAAATTCTGAAATATGTTTCGCCTTCTTGTGATGGTGACGGTGCTCTTTATGACGACTGACGCGCAACATTCGTATATATATTATTATATTTTATATTAGCATAATAAATATCGATATTATGAAGATCAAATTTTTATCGTATCCGATTTCTTGGATTAAACGCGTAACCTGAGCAAATGAAATAAATACTTCAATACTTCAAATTGGATGAAATTTCTTTGGTCCAAATATATGTTTTTATTTATTAGTCAAAGAGTAAATAAAATAAGAATATTTTTAAAAAAGTGTCTTATTGTATTTTCATAACGTTCGCTTTTGTCCATCTTGCTTTTATTCCTAAACGACAACCGTTAACATAAATCTCTTTAGAGGTCATCAAATATATTTGCATCAAATATATTTGCATCAAGGAATGTTCTTTATATTATTTCAAGGTTCCCTTTGTGGATGTGGTGGAAACCAACTAACACAAAATTGCAAAAAGTTTCTTCAAATGATAAATTTCCTTCAGTACGTTTGACCAATTTCGAAAATGTGAATTATTATGGCTCTATAAAAATTGGAACTCCACAACAAAAATTTAAAGTTGTGTTTGATACTGGTTCCGCAAATTTTTGGCTATTTTCCAAAAAGTGCACAATCCTTGCTTGTTGTAAGTAATTAGTTTGTATATATATGTTTTCATTTTTCATTTATTAATTAAATTTTATGTAATCAAAATCGTTCTTTTAAATAAGCTTAAACTTCAATTTCTTAAATCCACGAATATATATATATATATATATATATATATATATATATATAAAATATTTAGATTTATATTTTTCAAGTATAATCTGGGAATTTAAAAAGTTGAATATTATACAGATACATAATTACTTTAATTTTATAGTAATATTTAATATTATAGTGTAAATATTACAACGGTAAACTTTGAAATTTAGAAATGTATAAATTAATTTAAATAATTTATCATTCTTTCTCTGAAGATACAAAACAAACATAGATAAACAAAGATGATTTATGAATTAATTCGACAAATACATGTACCTGTACAATATATATAATTATTTACAAAAGAATGTTGTATATTTAATATGGATTAATAAGATAATATGTCTATATGTATTTTTTCAAAATCTTTTTAATTTCTAATTTTCGATATTACTAAATATGCTTCACAGCAAAACGTCATCGATATGATAGTACGGATTCCTACACGTATATACCAAATAATACTGATATTTATATAGGATACATCGATTATAATGTAACTGGATTTCTATCTACTGATACAGTGAATGTAAGTCATTACTAAACAAATAATCCATTCATAATAATAATTTAGTTATAACTAAAATAATAGTTTAAACATTTTTTAAGTAATCGTATTCCTTTTTTGAGTGGCAATGACGATGTATTATTTTGATACCAATTTTTTATCATAGGTTGCTAACCTCAATGTAAAGAATCAAACATTTGCAGAAGTGGTAAACGTATCAGATGTAAATATAATATTAAAGTACCATGTAAATAATTTATATATAAATATACTTGAACGAAGATTTGATGGTTTCTTAGGCCTGAGTTATTCCGATATATCTCAGGATGGAATAACTCCTGTCTTCGACAACATGATTCAACAAGGCCTAGTGTCATCACGCATTTTCAGTTTTTATCTAAATAGGTACATATCTTCTCTACTTATGAACAACATATATCTATAGAAAATGAGTATTTAATAAGCATCCAGTTCTATTTATATATATATTTATATTTATTTGATACTTATTTTAATAAAAACATAAATTAAATTTATTATTTATATATAGTATTATATATAGTATTATAATTTTTCAAATTAATGTAATATATATATTTGCAAATTAAATAAACTTTTAATTATAACATTTTAATTATAAAATTTTAATTATAACACATATACGTACTACGATATGAAAAATATAATTTGCAGAGACACATCAGCCGATTTAGGTGGTAAATTGATATTCGGTGGTTCCGAACCTGCTTATTACGAAGGGGATTTTATATATATACCTGTTACTAACAAAGGATATTGGCAATTTACCATTGATAGGTACCTTATTTTTAAAATTACATTAATCATGTTTGAAAAAATTATTAATATCATCGCTTTGTAGTATCCAAATAAATGATATCACTTTGTGCGAGGAAAGCTGCCAAGCTATTGTTGACACAAGTACTTGGAAAATAATTGGACCAGAAACGGAAATTTCATTTCTTAATGACTATTTTGAAACTAATTCACAGGGAAAAGTAAGTAAACGATATCTTTCAAGTAACCATATCTTTCAAAGCACGTAGGCTTTGAGAAAAAGAATAAAAATTTGATAATAGCGCTAAAAATATAAATATTAAGTACGTTCTAATGAAACATAAATTATATGAAACAATGACATCAGTCCTTTATCTGTTCCGAAATACTAAATATATTCATTAAATATGATTAATTACTACTTGATATTATGTTTTATTTAAAGGTGGACTGCAATAAAATTTCTAAATTGCCTATAATCAGGTTTAAATTGGGTGGTAAGGCGTTCGATCTTACCGCTAAAGATTATATCATTCGAGTGAGTGCTAAAAGAAAATTATTTAAATTATTTAAATATGTATAAGGGAAATTTATATTATGTATTTAATTCTGCTCAGCATCCAAATGATAAAAGTATATGTGTAACTGTCTTCTGGAAACACGACCCAACATATGACGGTGAAGAAAAATGGATTCTGGGCATGCCATTTATGGGCCGTTATTACACTGAATTTGATATGGAGAAAAACCGAGTGGGATTTGCTTTGGCGAAAAAAGTATAAAAAATTTCATCAAAATGTATAGAAAATCTTTCATTGTCATCTTTTATTGTATACTTTATCATTATTTTTTAAATTATTTGTTTAGTTTTCGGTAAGAAAAAAATGTAATCTCTTTTAATTGCCGACTGACAAAGTTCACATATTAATGTGAGTTTTTGCGTAATCCTTACATAACTGCTTCTTTATTTTCAATATCAATATTTTATCGTGAAAGCAACTGATTTGTGATTATAGTTACTTAGAATGCGAATTTTTGCGAGTAATTGCATTCGCTAAGGTCATTATTGCATGGCTAATCGATACAATCAATGTATTCTTTCGAAAAGCTGATTCCTCCTTTATTATCATTCTTAATTACGCGCACACTAAATAATTTATTTTAAAGCAATATGTTTTAATTATAACACAAAATAATAAATAAAATATTTTTAAATTTGATTGATCGATAGGACGGATGATCAATAACAAAGGATATGTTTCGAATTCGAGCGATTGTATGTATAACAGTCGCCAAATGTCGATAAATGATAGCTCTAGTAGTCCAGTACAATTTCTTTTTTGTATGTAATAACGTACAGAAAGAAATTTACTGGAAATTTCGAAAATATGTTCCGCTTTCTCGTGATGACTGTGATGTTGACGGACGCGGAAATCCAAAACTAAGTTCATACATTGTATTGCAAGTTTAAGTTACATATCAGTATAATAAATATTGAATTTAAAAAAATTAACCTATTTCATTGTGATCGCAATCGATTTTCTGAGATCCTAAAATTATGTAAATGTGGTTGCATCCATAGAACGATAAATCTTAAATAGAAAGTTATTCGTGCAATACAATAAGAGTTTTCGATTTTATAATAATGTTAAAAAAATCATTCTGTCCTTGCTCGATTTAATAAGAATTAGATGTGAAAAATTACACTGGATTTAGTAAAATTAATCTTGGAACTATCTCGTAAATGGAGCGATTTTCAATTAAACAGTTTTGTAAATATATTGTAACATATAACCACTATCCACCAGATTTCTGGGTTATTCCGGATTATCGCTGATGCCTGTTTCAGCTAGACATGAAATAATTTAATTACAAATTGATTATAAACATTACATCGTTATTATTACTTATGAAATGCTAATTACAATATATGTTTATATATGCATGCTATATATGTTTGAAATATATCAATATTCGGTATCAAACTTTATAAATCAGGACGAATTTGATACAAGGAACTAATAATAAAATTACATTAAAAAAATTACAAATTTTTTATTCTATAATGTGTTTATCTTATTATATATGTTATCTTATTACACGTTAATTTTTATAATGTAATTGAAGTTATCATCATAATATAATACTTTCCAGTGTTGAAAGTTATCTTATTTCGATAAATTAATGACACATTTTTAATAAAAAAGTATTTCCTTATTAAAGATTTATTATTTGTATCACAAAATTTCATATTGTTACATTCTTTCAAATTTACATAATATATGCTAAAAGAAATGTATAGTAGAAATATATATATTAGAATTAAGTCCTATATAATATAGATTTTTAAGTTTTGTACAGTATCTTAAGTTAAAATATTCATATTAATATTATTCCAAATTTAACAAAACAAATCGGTTATTGCAAAATTTCTGAAATTAATAAATATTTAAATATATATTATATTTCAAGATTATGTATATTTTCTTGTTCTTTAAAAAATCCCAAAAATTTATCAAATAAGGTGATTCATAATTACATAAATATAGTTTTTCCGCACAAAATTATATAAAAAAATGTTGGTTAATTAAAAACTGCTTTTTTCAAACTTCCTACTGTAAAGTTAATGTTGCATGATTGCCTGTTTAGTCATTATAAATGTATTCTTTCGAAAGAATTATTTCTATTATTAATCATAAATTTATGTAATTAAACGTGTTAATTATCAATACACGATCATGCAAAATATGATATATTTAAATTTAATTTATCGATGGAAATCCATTAAGAATTTTCAAATGTTTCGCGCATTCTTTATCTGTTCAAGAATTCAACAGAGGGACACGCGCGATCATAATATATATATATAGCGCTATCGAATACCGATACAGTGTTAAGGTAGAGTTAGTAACCGACAACACTTTATTTTTCTGTGTATCTGGTCATAAAGTGTCGAAAGAAAAATGTTGAAATTTTCACGAATCAAGATTTCAGCAATAAATGAATTCTGAAATATGTTTCGTCTTTTCGTGGTGGTGACGGTGCTCTTTATGACAACTGACGCGCAATATATTCCGTATATATTTTATTTTATATTGGCATAATAAATATCGAAAGTATAAAGATGAAATCTTTCTCGTATCCGATTTCTTGGATTAAACGCGTAACTTGAGCAAATGCAATTAATACTTGAATATAAGTTGGATAAAATTTCTTTGGTCAAAATATATGTTTTTATTTATTTGTCAAAGAGTAAATCAAATAAGACATATTTTTGAAAAAATATGTCTCATTATTCTTTCGTAATGTTCGCTTTTGTTCATCTTGCTTTTATCCCTATTTAAACGACAACGTTAATATAAATTTTTTTAGAGGTCATCAAATATATCTGCATTCACAGAATGTTATTTATGTTATTTCAAGGGATTATCTCAGGCGGCCGCGTATAAATAAACCCAAATTGCAAAGAGTTCCTTTAGATTATAATTCTACATCAGTATGTTTGACCAACGTCGAAAACGTGATTTATTATAGCACTATTAGCATTGGAACTTCACAGCAAAAATTTAAAGTTGTATTTGATACCAATTCCTTATATACTAAGATAATTACTAAAAAGTCCAAAAATTCTGTTGCTTGTAAGTAAATCGTTTATATATACATGTACATGTATATGTTTTTACTTTCAATTTATTAAATAAATTTCATTTCATCAATATCGATCATAGATCTAAGCTTAAACTTCAATTTTTTGAATCCGAATATATATATATTCTATCTACAATTATATTTTTCAAGTATAATCTCGAGATTTAAAAAGTTGAATATTATACAGATCCATATTTATTTTAATTTTATAGTAATATTTAATATTATACTGTAAATATTACAATGACAAACTTTGGAATTTGAAAATGTTTAAATTAATTGAAATAATTTATCACATTCAAACTTTAAAAATATAAGCAAACATTGATAAACAAAGATGATTTATGAATTAATTCGATAAAACCGTGTACATGTACAATATATATAATTATTTAGGAAAGAATGTTGTATATTTCATATAGATTAAAAAGAGAATATATCTATGCACATTTAAAAAAATATTTTAATGTTGCTAATTTTCGATATTACTGAATATGCTTCACAGCGGCACGTAGTCAATATAATACGTCTTCCAACTCATATATACCAAATAACACATCATTTAATGTACAATTCCTCGATTGCAATGTAACAGGATTCCTATCTACTGATACAGAGAATGTAAGTCATTATTAAATAAACATTCTAATTTAATTATAACTAAAATTATAGTTTAAACATTTCTTAAGCAATCGTGTTATTTTTTTGCGCGGCAATGACGATGTATTTCAATACAAATTTTATCGTAGGTTACCAACATCAATGTAGAGAAGCAAACATTTGTAGAAGTGGCAAACATATCAGACGAACATATATTTAATTTGTACTTAAATATACCTAACCAAAAATATGGTGTTATTGGCCTGAGTTATTACCAGATATACGGTGGAATAAGGACTCTCTTCGACTACATGATTCAACAAAGACTAGTGTCATCACGTATTTTCAGTTTTAATCTAAATAGGTACATATCTTTTTCACATATAAGCATCGTATACCTATTTAAACGAGATTTTTTAATATTAAAATAATATTTATATTTGCTCATTAACTAAACTTAATTTTAATTATCACACTCATACATATTGCAATATAAAGAACATAATTTGCAGAAACGTTTCAGCCGATTTAGGTGGTAAATTTATATTCGGTGGTTCCGATCCTGCTTATTACGAAGGAAAATTTACATATGTTCCTGTTACTCACAGAGGAATATGGCAAATTACCATTGATAGGTACGTTAATTTTTAAATTACATTAATCATGTTTCAACAAATTGTTAACGTCATCGACTTGTAGTATCCGACTAAATAATTTTACTTGGTGCGAGAAAAGCTGCCAAGCAAATGTTGACACAAGTACTTGGAAAATAATTGGACCAGAAAAGGATGTTTCACTTATTAATCGACTAATTGAAATTAATTCACATGGAAGTGTAAGTAAACAATATCTTTCAAGCAATTATATCTTTCACAAAGCACGTAATCTTCGATAGACGAAAATAAATTATAAAAAATTAATAATAGCGATAAAAAAATAAATATTAGGTATGTTCAAATGAAACATTAATTTCTATGGAACAATAACGTTAATTCTCGTTTCCGAAATACGTATATTCGTTAAATATGATTAATTGCTAATCTGATATTATCTTTTATTTAAAGATAAACTGCAGTAGAATTTTTCATTTACCTACAATCACGTTTAATTTGGGTGGTAAAGCGTTCGATCTTACCGGTAAAGATTATATCATTCGGGTGAGTGCTAAAAAAAAATTATTTAAATTATTTAAATATGTATAAGAGAAGTTTATATCGTGTATTTAATTCTGCTTAGCATCCAGATGATAAAAGTATATGTGTAACCGTCTTCTGGAAACACGACCTAATATACGACGATAAAATGAAATGGATTCTGGGCATACCATTTATGGGTCGTTACTACACCGAATTTGATATGGAGAAAAACCGAGTGGGATTTGCTTTTGCGAAAAATGTATAGAATTTATCAAAATGTATAAAAAATCTTTCACTTTCACTTTTTATTGTGTACTTTATCATAATTTTTAAATTATTTGTTTAATTTTCGATTAAAAAAAAATTTAATTTTTTAATCGCTAACCGACAAAGTTCGCAGATTATAAATGTGAATTTTTGCGTAATGCTTACATAACTTCGTATTAATTTTCAATAGCAATATTTTATCGTGAAAGCAACTGATATGGGCTTATAGTTATTTGGAATGCGAATTTTTGCGAGTAATTGCATTCGCTAAGGTCATTGTTGCATGGCCGTCTAATCGATATAATCAATCTATTCTTTCGAAAAGCTGATTACTCCTTCATTATCATTCTTAATTACGCGCACACTTAATAAATTATTTTAAAACAATTTGTTTTAATTATAATACAAAATATTAAATAAAATATTTTTACATTTGATTGATCGATAGAAAAAATGATCAATAAAAAAGGTTATGTTTCGAATGCAAGTGATTGTATATATAACGGCCGTCAAATGTCAATGTAAATGATAGCTCTAGTAGACGAGTACAATTTCTTTTTTGTATGTCGTAACGTACAGAAAGAAATTTACTGGAAATTTCGAAAACATGTTCCGCTTTCTCGTGATGACTGTGATGCTGACGGACGCAGAAATCCAAAACTAAGTTCATACATTGTATTGTAAGTTTACGTACATATCAGTATAATAATTATTGAATTTATAAATATTGATCTGTCTCGTCGTGACAACATTCGATTTTCAGAGATCCCAAACTTATGTAAAACTTATGTCGTGCAGTGCAATAAAAGTTTTCAATTTTATAATAATGTTATAAAAATCATTTTTTCTTCGCTAGATTTAATAAGAATTGGAGATAAATGATTACACTGGATCTAGTAAAATTAATCTTGAAGCGCTCTCGTAAATATAACATTTTTGCGGATAAAAAATTTCAAAAGTTTTCCCGTTTAACTTCCTACATCTTCGTATGTGAACAAGAATTAATATGCTTCCGTTTCATGATAGAATAGCTCGTTGTCACCGCTTTAAAATAATCTTGTTTTAATATAAAATATTTCCAAACCGCATTAGATTATCGATTTGTCGACTGGATTTTATTTGTATTATGCATCATGTGTTTTTAAATGCATATTTGCGATTTTGATGTTGAACACGACAAGCGCGTTTTATCTGATTTATTATATTATATAAATTGTTAGAGATTGTGGTGATAAATGAGCGATAATATGTTCCACTTTTTTTCATCCAACTAAAAGAAAATATCTCTGTCATTTTTTTTCAAATACTTGCGTAGATCAGGAATACTGGAATCGATTGCGTTCGCAGATCGAAAAATCGATATTAGCTTTGTTCATTTGCTTATGCATTTGCTTATGAATAATTTTATGAACGATATCTATATTGTAACAAGTAAGCATTATCCATCAGATTTAGATATTTCGGATTATCGCTGATGCCTGTTTCAATCAAATTTGTAATAATTTGATTATAAATATTATAATGTTATTTAAAACAAATTGATTATAAATATTATAATGTTATTATTATTTATGAATGTTAATTACAATATATATTTATATATACATGCTATATACGTTTGAATTATATCAATATTATTAAATTTTTTAAATCGGGACTAATTTAGCAAAGAGATTAATAATAAAATTACAATGAAAAAATGACACATTTTTATTGTATAATTCGTTTATCTTGTTATATGTTATCTTATTATATGTTGATTTTTACAATGCAATTGAAGTTATCATCATAATATAATCCTTCCCATTATTGAAACTTATCTTATTTCGATAAATTAATGACACATTTTTAATAAAAAAGTATTATCTTATTAGATATCCATTTTTTCTTTCACAAAATATTTCATATTGTTACATTTTGTCAAATTTACATAATATATGCTAAAAGAAATGTATAATAGAATTATATATAATAGAAGTAAGACATACATAGTATAGGTTTTTAAGTTTTGTACAGTATCTTGAGTTAAAATATTCATATTAATATTATCTCAAATTTAACATAACAAATTGTTTATAAGAAAATTTTTGAAATTAATAAATATTCAAATATATATTTCAAGATTATGTATTTTTTCTTGTCTTTTTGAAAACCTCAAAAATTCATCAAAAAAGGTAATTTATAATTACATAAATATAGTTTTTCCGCACAAAATTATATAAAAAAATGTCGGCTAATTAAATGCTGCTTTTTCCAAACTTTCTATTGTTAAATTAATGTTGCATGATTGTCAGTTTAGTCGTTATAAATGTATTCTTTCGAAAGAATTGTTTCTATTATTAATCATAAATTTATATAAATAAACGTTAATTAAGAATATGCGATCATGCAAAATATGATATATTTAAATTAAATTTATCGATGGAATTCCATCAGGATTTTTCGAATGTTTCGCGCGTTCTCTACCTATTTAAGCATTCAACAGAGGGACACGCGTGATCGTATATATATACCGCTATCGAATACCGATACAGTGTTAAGGGAGAGTTAGTAGTAAACGACACACTTTATTTATTTGCTTTATGTGATCATAAAGTGTCGAAAGATAGTTGTTGTTGAAAATTTTAGGAATCGAGACTTCAGCAGTAAATTAATTCTGAAATATGTTTTGCCTTCTTGTGGGAGTGACGGTGCTCTATATGACGATTGACGCACAAATAAAAAAGTCAGTATATATTTTATTATATTATATATTGGCATAATAAATATTGAAATTATAAAAATCGAATTTTTCTCGTATCCGATTTCTTGGATAAATGCGTAATTTGAGCAAATGCAATTAATACTTCAATACAAATTAGATAAAATTTTTTGGTAAAAACGTATGTTTTTATTTATTAGTCAAAAAGTAAATAAAATAAGAATATTTTTGATAGAGTGAGTTCATCGTTCTTTCGTAACGTCTATCTTGCTTTTATCTCTATTTAAACGATAACCGTCATAAATCTCTTTGGAGGTCATTAAATACATAAATCTCTTTGGAGGTCATTAAATATATGTGCATTCACAGAATGTTTTTTATGTTACTTTAAGCATTTTATTTCCAAACTTTTGGCCCGAGATGGATCTTCCTTCAAATTTACATGAAGGCGCTGACCGCAAGTTGCAAAAAGTTCGTTCAATTCGATCTTTGCCTTCAGTACGTTTGACCAATATCGACAACGTGACTTATTATGGCACTATTAAAATTGGAATTCCACCGAAAGAAGTTAAAGTTGTTTTTGATACTACTTCCCAATCTCTCCGGATATTTCCCAAAAATTTCTCCACAAATCCTGTTCCTTGTAAGTAAATCGTTTATATATACAAGTACATGTATATGCTTTTACTTTTAATTTATTAAATAAATTTCATTTCATCAATATCGATCTTAGATAAGCTTAAACTTCAATTTTTTAAATCCGCGAATATATATATATATATATATATATATATATATATTCTATCTACAATCATATTTTTCAAATATAACCTTGGGATTTAAAAAGTTGAATATTACACAGATACATATTTATTTTAATTTTTTAGTAATATTTAATATTATAGTGTAGATATTACAATGGCAAACTTTGGAATTTGAAAATGTTTAAATTAATTGAAATAATTTATCACATTCACTCTTTGAAAATACAAACAAACATTGATAAACAAAAATGATTTATAAATTAATTCGATAAAAACATGTACATATACAACATAAATAATTATTTACAAAAGCATGTTGCATATTTAATATAATTTAATAAGTTAATATGTCTATGCATATTTTAAAAATATTTTAATATTTCTAATTTTCGATATTACTGAATATGCTTCACAGTGGCACGTAGTCAAAGTTCGTCTTTCAACCCATATATAGTAGATAATAGATTATTTCATGAACGATACCTCGATTACAATGTAACAGGATTCCTATCTATGGGTACAGTGAAAGTAAGTCATTATTAAATAAACATTCTAATTTAATTATAACTAAAATGATAGTTTAAACATTACTTATGCAAACGTGTTCTTTTTTTGCGTAGCAATGTACGATGTATTATTTCAATACAAATTTTATCGTAGATTGCCGACATCAATGTGGAGAGGCAAGTAATTCTAGAAGTGGTAAACATATCCGGCATGCCAGACAAACATATATTTAAATCGTACTCAAATATATCTGACCAAAAATATGATGGTATTTTGGGCCTGAGCTATCAACAAACATTCGAACCATTTTCTGTCTTCTACAACATGATTGATCAGTTGCTAGTGGCACCACGCGTTTTCAGTATTTATCTAAATAGGTACATATCTTCTCTACCTATAAACATCGTATACCTGTCTAAACGAGATTTTTTACAATTAAAATAATATTTATATTTGCACATTAAATAAACTTAATTTTAATTATCACACTCATACATATTGCAATATAAAGAACATAATTTGCAGAAGCTCTTCAGCCGATTTAGGTGGTGTATTGATATTTGGCGATTCCGATCCTGCTTATTTCGAAGGGGATTTTACATATGTTCCTGTTACTCGCAGAGGATACTGGCAATTTACCATTGATAGGTACGTTATTTTTTAAATTACATTAATCATGTTTCAACAAATTGTTAATGTCACCGCTTTGTAGTATCGAAATGAATCAAGTTAAAAGGAGTACTTATGATTGGTGCCGGGGAGGCTGCCAAGCTATCATTGACACGAGTACTTGGAAAATAATGGGTCCAGAAGAGGATGTCTCAGCTATTAATCGACTTTTTCTAAGTAATATATATGTAAGTAAACAATATCTTTCAAGTAATTATATCTTTCACAAAGCACGTAATCTTCGATAGAAAAAAATAAATTATAAAAAATTGATAACAGCGATAAAAAAATAAATATTAGGTATGTTCAAATGAAACATTAATTTCTATGGAACAATAACGTTAATTCTTGTTTCCGAAATACATATATTCTAAATGTGTTTAATTGCTGATCTGATATTATCTTATATTTAAAGAAAACCTGCCATGGAATTGCGTATTTACCTTTGATAACATTTTACATACGTGGTAAAGAATTCACTCTTAACGGTGAAGAGTATATGATTCGGGTAAGTGCCATAAGAAAATTATTTAAATTATTTAAATTATTTAAATATGTGTAAGAGAAGTTTATACCGTGTATTTAATTCTGCTCAGAATCCAGATAATAAAAGTACATGTATAACCGTCTTCTGGAAACTCGAGAGAACATATAAATATAATGTAAAATGGGTTTTGGGCATGCCATTTATTCGCCGTTTCTACACAGAGTTTGATATGCAGGGACACCAATTGGGATTTGCTTTGGTGAAAAACGCTATCGTTCATTTAGAAAATGATTATATTTTTTGATATGTAGAAAATCTTTTATTGTCACCTTTTATTATATACTTTATCATCATTTTTTAAATAATTTATTTAGTTTTGGTAAGAAAAAAATTCAATCTTTTTTAATCGCCTATCGACAAAGATCGCATACTATCAATGTGAATTTTTGAGTAATATTTACATAACTGCGCCTTAATTTTCAACAACAACTACTTTCTTATGAAAGCAGCTGATATGTGCTGTTTTGCGAATTTTTGCGACCAATGTCATTTGCTAAGTTCATTATTGCATGGTCGTCTATTCGATATAATCAAACTATTTTTTCAAAATGCTGATTTCTCCTTCGTTATCATTCTTAATCCCGCACACAATAATAATTTATTTTAATACAATTTGTTTTAATTATAACACAAAATATTATATAAAATATTTTTAAATTTGATTGATGGAACGGATGATAACACAAATATGTTTCGAATGCGAGCGATTGTATGTATAACAGTCGCCAAATGTCGATAAATGATAGCTCTAGTAGTCGAGTACAATTTCTTTTTTGTATGTTGCAATGTACAAAAAGAAATTTACTGGTAATTTCGAAAACATATTCGACTTTCTCGTGATGACTGTGATGCTGATCGACGCGGAAATCCAAAACTATGTTCATACATTGTATTGTATGTTTACGTTACATATCAGTAATAAATATTGAATTTAAGAACTGGCCTCCCGCCCTGATCACATTCGATTTTCTGAGATTCCAAACTTATGTAAAACTTATGTCGTGCAATGCAATAAAAGTTTTCAAACATATAATATATAATGTTATAAAAATCATATTCTCTTCCCTAGATCTCATAAGAATTGGAGATAAATGGTTACACTGGATCTAGTAAAATTAATCTTGAAGCGCTCTCATAAATATAACATTTTTGTGGGTAGAAAATGTCAAAAATTCTCCCGTTCAACTTCCTACATCTTCGTATGTGAACAAGAATTAATATGCTTCCGTTCAGTGAATAGATGTTGTCACTGCTTTAAAATAATCTTGTTTTAATATAAAATATTTCCAAACCGCATTAGATTATCGATTTGTCGGCTGGATTTTACCGTATCATGCATCATGTGTTCTTAAATGCATAAATGCGATTTTGATGCTGTAGGACAAGACAAGCGCGTTTTTCTGATTTACGGTATCATATTAATCGTTAGAAGTTGCGGTGATAAATAAACGGTTATGTATTTTTTTCATGCAATTAAAAAAAAATATCTCGGTTACTTTTTCTAAAATACTTGCGTAGATCCGGAATACAGGAATTGATTGTGTTTAGAGATTGGAAGAATCGATATCTGCTTTGTTCACTTGCTTATGCATATACTTATGAATGATTCGAGAAAATTTATACGAGGTCAGAATTGTAGCTCAATTACTTAAAACGTAACTAATCATCATACGTTCTAGATTCATGATTCTCGCGATCGTTATGTACGAAGAAGTGCAATAGATCTTACTTAATTTCAATTATCCTAATGGATTTAATGACTTCTCTATATTTCTGGAGTCTAAAGGAACGATTTTTAACTAAACAGTTTTGTATATATATTGTAACAAATAACCACTATCCACCAGATCTGGTTATTCTGCCTTGTCGCTGATGTCTGTTTGAGTCAGATCTGAAATAATTTGATTACAAATTGATTATAAATATTGCATTGTTACTATTATTTATGAATGTTAATTACAATATATGTTTCTATATCCATGCTATATACGTTTGAATTATATCAATATTATCAAATTTTAATCAGGACTAATTTAAATCAGGACTAATTTAAATTTTTTTAAATCAGGACTAATTTAGTGCAAAGAACTAATAATATATATACAATGATAAAATGACACATTTTTATTGTATAAATTATTGTGTTTATTTTGTTATATGTTATCTTATTATATGTTGATTCTTATAATGCAATTGAAATTATCATCATAATATAATATCTTCCAGTATTGAAAGTTATCTTATTTCGATAAATTAATGGCACATTTTTAATAAAAAAGTATTTCCTTATTAAATATCTATTATATGTTTCACAAAATTTCATATTGTTAAATTTCTTCAAATTTACATAATATATGTTAAAAGAAATGTATAATAGAATTATATATAATAGAAGTAAGAGATACATAGTATAAGTTTTTAACGTTTGTACAGTATCTTGATTTAAAATATTCATATTAATATTATTCCAAATTTAACATAACAAATTGTATATACCAAATTTCCGAAATTAACGAATATTGAAATATATATTTCAAGATTATGTATATTGTCTTGTCCTTTTAAAAATTCATCAAAAAGGTGATTTATAATTACACACACACACACATAAGTATATAGTTTTTCCGTACGAAATTATATAAAGAAATGTCGGTTAATTAAAAATGCTGTTTTTTTTTCAATCATCCTATTAACATCTTATTGCACTAAAATTAATGTTGCATGATTGCTTATTTAGTTGTTATAAATGTATTCTTTCATAAGAATTGTTTTTATTATTAATCATAAATTTATATAAACAAACGTTTTTAATAGACGTTCTTAATCATAAATTTATATAAATAAACGTTTTTAATTAAGAATACGCGATCATGCAAAATGTGATATATTTAAATTAAATTTATCGATGGAAATTCATCAGGATTTTTCGAATGTTCCGCACGTTCTCTATCTGTTGAAGCATTCAACAGAGGGACACACGCAATCATATATATAACGCTATCGAATACCGATACAGTGCTAAGAGAGAGTTAGTAAGCGACAACACCTTATTTTTCTGTGTATCTGGTCATAAAATGTCGAAAGAAAGTCGTCATTGAAATTTTCACGGACCGAGACTTCAGCAGTAAATAAATTCTGAAATATGTTTCGCCTTCTTGTGGTGGTGACGGTGCTCTTTATGACGACTGACGCGCAACCTTCGTATATATTTTATTATATTTTATAATAGCATAATAAATATCGAAATTATGAAGATCAAATTTTTATCGTATCCGATTTCTTGGATTAAACGCGTAACTTGAGTAAATGCAATAAATACTTCAATACTTCAAATTGGATGAAATTTCTTTAGTCCAAAGATATGTTTTTATTTATTAGTCAAAGAGTAAATAAAATAAGAATATTTTTAAAAAAGTGTCTTATTGTACTTTCATAACATTCGCTTTTGTCCATCTTGCTTTTATCTCTAAACGACAACCGTTAACATAAATCTGTTTAGAGGTCATCAAATATATTTGCATCAAATATATTTGCATTCACAGAATATTCTTTATGTTATTTCAAGGTCACTTTTCTGGATGTGGCGGATAACTGACACCAAATTGCAAAAAGTTTCTTGAGATGATAAATTTCCTTCAGTACGTTTAACCAATTTCGAAAATGTGAATTATTATGGCTCTATAAAAATTGGAACTCCACAACAAGAACTTAAAGTTGTGTTTGATACTGGTTCCGCAAATTTTTGGCTATTTTCCAAAAAGTGCACAATCCTTGCTTGTTGTAAGTAATTAGTTTGTATATATATATATATGTTTTCATTTTTCATTTATTAATTAAATTTTATGTAATCAATATCGTTCTTTTAGATAAGCTTAAACTTCAATTTCTTAAATCCGCGAATATATATATATATATATATATATATATATATATATATATATATATATATACCTATATATACCTATATATACAGGGTGTCCTAAAACTCTTAATCAATCTTTCAAAGACAGATTCCTGGGATCATTTGGAGACGATTTTTCCTCAGTGAAAATGTCGATGAAGGCCATCATTTTTTGCATGTTCCCGATTTTTGTCATCATATATCTTTGCAATTAAGTTTTAAATTAAAATTCAATTAAAATAAACTCTATTTAAAATTAATCGAAAAATGTTTTTTTGTTAATATTTTATTTCTACAAAGCTTAGTTTACGAAAAACCCCTTATTTCCCATCACTTATAATTCGAAAATTATTAATGCCTCGACATTTTCGTTGAGGAAAAATCGTCTTCATATGATCCCAGGAATCTGTCTTTGAAAGATTGATTAAGTGTTTCGGGACACCCTGTATATATATGAAATATCTAGATTTATATTTTTCAAGTATAATCTGGGGATTTAAAAAGTTGAATATTATACAGAAACATAATTACTTTAATTTTATAGTAATATTAATATTTTAGTGTAAATATAACAATGGTAAACTTTGAAATTTGGAAATGTATAAATTAATTTAAATATTTTATCATTCTTTCGCTGAAGATACAAAACAAATATAGATAAACAAAGATGATTTATGAATTAATTCGACAAATACATGTACATGTACAATATATATAATTATTTACAAAAGAATGTTGTATATTTAACATAGATTAATAAGATAATATGTCTATATATATTTTTTCAAAATCTTTTTAATTTCTAATTTTCGATACTAAATATGCTTCACAGCAAAACGTCATCGATATGATAGTATGGATTCCTACACGTATATATCAAATAATACTGATATTTATATAGGATACAACGATTATAATGTAAATGGATTTCTATCTACTGATACAGTGAATGTAAGTCATTACTAAACAAATAATCCATTCATAATAATAATTTAGTTATAAATAAAATAATAGTTTGAACATTTTTTAAGTAATCATATTCCTGTTTTGAGTGGCAATGACGATGTATTATTTGGATACCAATTTTTTATCATAGATTGCTAACCTCAATGTAAAGAATCAAACATTTGCAGAAGTGGTAAACGTATCAGATGTAAATATAATATTAAAGTACCATGTAAATAATTTATATATAAATATACTTGAACGAAGATTTGATGGTTTCTTAGGCCTGAGTTATTCCGATATATCTCAGGATGGAATAACTCCTGTCTTCGACAACATGATTCAACAAGGCCTAGTGTCATCACGCATTTTCAGTTTTTATCTAAATAGGTACATATCTTCTCTACTTATGAACAACATATATCTATAGAAAATGAGTATTTAATAAACATCCAGTTCGATTTGTATATATATTTATATTTATTTTATACTTATTTTAATATAAACATAAATTAAATTTATTATTTATATATAGTATTATATATAGTATTACAATTTTTCAAATTAATGTAATATATATATTTGTAAATTAAATAAATTTAATTTTAATTATAACACAAATACATATTGCGACATGAAAAATATAATTTGCAGAGACACCAGCCGATTTAGGTGGTAGATTGATATTCGGTGGTTCCGATCCTGCTTATTACGAAGGGGATTTTATATATATACCTGTTACTAACAAAGGATATTGGCAATTTACCATTGATAGGTATCTTATTTTTAAAATTACATTAATCATGTTTGTAAAAATTATTAATATCATCGCTTTGTAGTATCCAAATAAATGATATCACTTTGTGCGAGGAAAACTGCCAAGCTATTGTTGACACAAGTACTTGGAAAATAATTGGACCAGAAACGGAAGTTTCATTTCGTAATGACCTTTTTGAAACTAATTCACAGGGAAAAGTAAGTAAACGATATCTTTCAAGTAACCATATCTTTCAAAGCACGTAGGCTTTGAGAAAAAGAATATAAAAATTTGATAATAGCGCTAAAAATATAAATATTAAGTACGTTCTAATGAAACATAAATTATATGAAACAATGACATCAGTCCTTTATCTGTTCCGAAATACTTAATATATTCATTAAATATGATTAATTACTACTTGATATTATGTTTTATTTAAAGGTGGACTGCAATAAAATTTCTAAATTGCCTATAATCAGGTTTAATTTGGGTGGTAAGGCGTTCGATCTTACCGGTAAAGATTATATCATTCGGGTGAGTGCTATAAGAAAATTATTTAAATTATTTAAATATGTGTAAGTGAAATTTATATTATGTATTTAATTCTGCTCAGCATCCAAATGATGAAAGTATATGTGTATTCGTCTTCTGCAAACACGACCCAACATATGACGGTGAAGAAAAATGAATTCTGGGCATGCCATTTATTGGCCGTTACTACACTGAATTTGATATGGAGAAAAACCGAGTGGGATTTGCTTTGGCGAAAAAAGTATAGAAACTTTCATTAAAATGTATAGAAAATTTTTTATTGTCACCTTTTATTGTATACTTTATCATCATTTTTTAATTATTTGTTTAGTTTTCGGTAAGAAAAAAATGTAATCTCTTTTAATTGCCGACTGACAAAGTTCACATATCAATGTGAGTTTTTGCGTAATGCTTACATAACTGCGTTTTCATTTTCAATATCAATATTTTATCGTGAAAGCAATTGATTTGTGCTTATAGTTACTTAGAATGCGAATTTTTGCGAGTAATTGCATTCGCTAAGGTCATTATTGCATGGCCGTCTAATCGATACAATCAATGTATTCTTTCGAAAAGCTGATTCCTCCTTCATTATCATTCTTAATTACGCGCACACTAAATAATTTATTTCAAAGCAATATCAAAAATAAAAATAAAGCTCTCTGTAAAATTCAATAGTTAAAGTGATCAGTCAGGCGTAGAGAGCTAACAAATCAATAAAGTAGAAATGTTAATCAAAATATATTATAATAAATCATAATTACAAACTTCAAGTAAGATAGTTATAATATATAAAGATGTTGAAGATGTGTGCGGACGTTTCGACTTACTTTTAAGTCATCTTCAGCGCAAAAAAAAAAAAAAAAAAAAAAAAAATTGTAACGGAGATAGAGCATATTGTAAAAGTCCATATAGAGGGAGAACATTATAAAATGTACGCAGAAAGAGCTAGTAAAAAACTTATAGGAGATGCAACTTTTTTTTTGCGCTGAAGATGACTTAAAAGTAAGTCGAAACGTCCGCACACATCTTCAACATCTTTATATATTATAACTATCTTACTTGAAGTTTGTAATTATGATTTATTAATATATATTTTGATTAACATTTCTACTTTATTGATTTGTTAGCTCTCTACGCCTGACTGATCACTTTAACTATTCAAAGCAATATGTTTTAATTATAACACAAAATAATAAATAAAATATTTTTAAATTTGATTGATCGATAGGACGGATGATCAATAACAAAGGATATGTTTCGAATTCGAGCGATTGTATGTATAACAGTCGCCAAATGTCGATAAATGATAGCTCTAGTAGTCCAGTACAATTTCTTTTTTGTATGTAATAACGTACAGAAAGAAATTTACTGGAAATTTCGAAAATATGTTCCGCTTTTTCGTGATGACTGTGATGCTGATCGAAGCAGAAATCCAAAACTAAATTCATATATTGTATTGTAAGTTTAAGTTACATATCAGTATAATAAATATTGAATTTAAAAAAATTAACCTATTTCATTGTGATCGCAATCGATTTTCTGAGATCCTAAAATTATGTAAATGTGGTTGCATCCATAGAACGATAAATCTTAAATAGAAAGTTATTCGTGCAATACAATAAGAGTTTTCGATTTTATAATAATGTTAAAAAAATCATTCTGTCCTTGCTCGATTTAATAAGAATTAGATGTGAAAAATTACACTGGATTTAGTAAAATTAATCTTGGAACTATCTCGTAAATGGAGCGATTTTCAATTAAACAGTTTTGTAAATATATTGTAACATATAACCACTATCCACCAGATTTCTGGGTTATTCCGGATTATCGCTGATGCCTGTTTCAGCTAGACATGAAATAATTTAATTACAAATTGATTATAAACATTACATCGTTATTATTACTTATGAAATGCTAATTACAATATATGTTTATATATGCATGCTATATATGTTTGAAATATATCAATATTCGGTATCAAACTTTATAAATCAGGACGAATTTGATACAAGGAACTAATAATAAAATTACATTAAAAAAATTACAAATTTTTTATTCTATAATGTGTTTATCTTATTATATATGTTATCTTATTACACGTTAATTTTTATAATGTAATTGAAGTTATCATCATAATATAATACTTTCCAGTGTTGAAAGTTATCTTATTTCGATAAATTAATGACACATTTTTAATAAAAAAGTATTTCCTTATTAAAGATTTATTATTTGTATCACAAAATTTCATATTGTTACATTCTTTCAAATTTACATAATATATGCTAAAAGAAATGTATAGTAGAAATATATATATTAGAATTAAGTCCTATATAATATAGATTTTTAAGTTTTGTACAGTATCTTAAGTTAAAATATTCATATTAATATTATTCCAAATTTAACAAAACAAATCGGTTATTGCAAAATTTCTGAAATTAATAAATATTTAAATATATATTATATTTCAAGATTATGTATATTTTCTTGTTCTTTAAAAAATCCCAAAAATTTATCAAATAAGGTGATTCATAATTACATAAATATAGTTTTTCCGCACAAAATTATATAAAAAAATGTTGGTTAATTAAAAACTGCTTTTTTCAAACTTCCTACTGTAAAGTTAATGTTGCATGATTGCCTGTTTAGTCATTATAAATGTATTCTTTCGAAAGAATTATTTCTATTATTAATCATAAATTTATGTAATTAAACGTGTTAATTATCAATACACGATCATGCAAAATATGATATATTTAAATTTAATTTATCGATGGAAATCCATTAAGAATTTTCAAATGTTTCGCGCATTCTTTATCTGTTCAAGAATTCAACAGAGGGACACGCGCGATCATAATATATATATATAGCGCTATCGAATACCGATACAGTGTTAAGGTAGAGTTAGTAACCGACAACACTTTATTTTTCTGTGTATCTGGTCATAAAGTGTCGAAAGAAAAATGTTGAAATTTTCACGAATCAAGATTTCAGCAATAAATGAATTCTGAAATATGTTTCGTCTTTTCGTGGTGGTGACGGTGCTCTTTATGACAACTGACGCGCAATATATTCCGTATATATTTTATTTTATATTGGCATAATAAATATCGAAAGTATAAAGATGAAATCTTTCTCGTATCCGATTTCTTGGATTAAACGCGTAACTTGAGCAAATGCAATTAATACTTGAATATAAGTTGGATAAAATTTCTTTGGTCAAAATATATGTTTTTATTTATTTGTCAAAGAGTAAATCAAATAAGACATATTTTTGAAAAAATATGTCTCATTATTCTTTCGTAATGTTCGCTTTTGTTCATCTTGCTTTTATCCCTATTTAAACGACAACGTTAATATAAATTTTTTTAGAGGTCATCAAATATATCTGCATTCACAGAATGTTATTTATGTTATTTCAAGGGATTATCTCAGGCGGCCGCGTATAAATAAACCCAAATTGCAAAGAGTTCCTTTAGATTATAATTCTACATCAGTATGTTTGACCAACGTCGAAAACGTGATTTATTATAGCACTATTAGCATTGGAACTTCACAGCAAAAATTTAAAGTTGTATTTGATACCAATTCCTTATATACTAAGATAATTACTAAAAAGTCCAAAAATTCTGTTGCTTGTAAGTAAATCGTTTATATATACATGTACATGTATATGTTTTTACTTTCAATTTATTAAATAAATTTCATTTCATCAATATCGATCATAGATCTAAGCTTAAACTTCAATTTTTTGAATCCGAATATATATATATTCTATCTACAATTATATTTTTCAAGTATAATCTCGAGATTTAAAAAGTTGAATATTATACAGATCCATATTTATTTTAATTTTATAGTAATATTTAATATTATACTGTAAATATTACAATGACAAACTTTGGAATTTGAAAATGTTTAAATTAATTGAAATAATTTATCACATTCAAACTTTAAAAATATAAGCAAACATTGATAAACAAAGATGATTTATGAATTAATTCGATAAAACCGTGTACATGTACAATATATATAATTATTTAGGAAAGAATGTTGTATATTTCATATAGATTAAAAAGAGAATATATCTATGCACATTTAAAAAAATATTTTAATGTTGCTAATTTTCGATATTACTGAATATGCTTCACAGCGGCACGTAGTCAATATAATACGTCTTCCAACTCATATATACCAAATAACACATCATTTAATGTACAATTCCTCGATTGCAATGTAACAGGATTCCTATCTACTGATACAGAGAATGTAAGTCATTATTAAATAAACATTCTAATTTAATTATAACTAAAATTATAGTTTAAACATTTCTTAAGCAATCGTGTTATTTTTTTGCGCGGCAATGACGATGTATTTCAATACAAATTTTATCGTAGGTTACCAACATCAATGTAGAGAAGCAAACATTTGTAGAAGTGGCAAACATATCAGACGAACATATATTTAATTTGTACTTAAATATACCTAACCAAAAATATGGTGTTATTGGCCTGAGTTATTACCAGATATACGGTGGAATAAGGACTCTCTTCGACTACATGATTCAACAAAGACTAGTGTCATCACGTATTTTCAGTTTTAATCTAAATAGGTACATATCTTTTTCACATATAAGCATCGTATACCTATTTAAACGAGATTTTTTAATATTAAAATAATATTTATATTTGCTCATTAACTAAACTTAATTTTAATTATCACACTCATACATATTGCAATATAAAGAACATAATTTGCAGAAACGTTTCAGCCGATTTAGGTGGTAAATTTATATTCGGTGGTTCCGATCCTGCTTATTACGAAGGAAAATTTACATATGTTCCTGTTACTCACAGAGGAATATGGCAAATTACCATTGATAGGTACGTTAATTTTTAAATTACATTAATCATGTTTCAACAAATTGTTAACGTCATCGACTTGTAGTATCCGACTAAATAATTTTACTTGGTGCGAGAAAAGCTGCCAAGCAAATGTTGACACAAGTACTTGGAAAATAATTGGACCAGAAAAGGATGTTTCACTTATTAATCGACTAATTGAAATTAATTCACATGGAAGTGTAAGTAAACAATATCTTTCAAGCAATTATATCTTTCACAAAGCACGTAATCTTCGATAGACGAAAATAAATTATAAAAAATTAATAATAGCGATAAAAAAATAAATATTAGGTATGTTCAAATGAAACATTAATTTCTATGGAACAATAACGTTAATTCTCGTTTCCGAAATACGTATATTCGTTAAATATGATTAATTGCTAATCTGATATTATCTTTTATTTAAAGATAAACTGCAGTAGAATTTTTCATTTACCTACAATCACGTTTAATTTGGGTGGTAAAGCGTTCGATCTTACCGGTAAAGATTATATCATTCGGGTGAGTGCTAAAAAAAAATTATTTAAATTATTTAAATATGTATAAGAGAAGTTTATATCGTGTATTTAATTCTGCTTAGCATCCAGATGATAAAAGTATATGTGTAACCGTCTTCTGGAAACACGACCTAATATACGACGATAAAATGAAATGGATTCTGGGCATACCATTTATGGGTCGTTACTACACCGAATTTGATATGGAGAAAAACCGAGTGGGATTTGCTTTTGCGAAAAATGTATAGAATTTATCAAAATGTATAAAAAATCTTTCACTTTCACTTTTATTGTGTACTTTATCATAATTTTTAAATTATTTGTTTAATTTTCGATTAAAAAAAAATTTAATTTTTTAATCGCTAACCGACAAAGTTCGCAGATTATAAATGTGAATTTTTGCGTAATGCTTACATAACTTCGTATTAATTTTCAATAGCAATATTTTATCGTGAAAGCAACTGATATGGGCTTATAGTTATTTGGAATGCGAATTTTTGCGAGTAATTGCATTCGCTAAGGTCATTGTTGCATGGCCGTCTAATCGATATAATCAATCTATTCTTTCGAAAAGCTGATTACTCCTTCATTATCATTCTTAATTACGCGCACACTTAATAAATTATTTTAAAACAATTTGTTTTAATTATAATACAAAATATTAAATAAAATATTTTTACATTTGATTGATCGATAGAAAAAATGATCAATAAAAAAGGTTATGTTTCGAATGCAAGTGATTGTATATATAACGGCCGTCAAATGTCAATGTAAATGATAGCTCTAGTAGACGAGTACAATTTCTTTTTTGTATGTCGTAACGTACAGAAAGAAATTTACTGGAAATTTCGAAAACATGTTCCGCTTTCTCGTGATGACTGTGATGCTGACGGACGCAGAAATCCAAAACTAAGTTCATACATTGTATTGTAAGTTTACGTACATATCAGTATAATAATTATTGAATTTATAAATATTGATCTGTCTCGTCGTGACAACATTCGATTTTCAGAGATCCCAAACTTATGTAAAACTTATGTCGTGCAGTGCAATAAAAGTTTTCAATTTTATAATAATGTTATAAAAATCATTTTTTCTTCGCTAGATTTAATAAGAATTGGAGATAAATGATTACACTGGATCTAGTAAAATTAATCTTGAAGCGCTCTCGTAAATATAACATTTTTGCGGATAAAAAATTTCAAAAGTTTTCCCGTTTAACTTCCTACATCTTCGTATGTGAACAAGAATTAATATGCTTCCGTTTCATGATAGAATAGCTCGTTGTCACCGCTTTAAAATAATCTTGTTTTAATATAAAATATTTCCAAACCGCATTAGATTATCGATTTGTCGACTGGATTTTATTTGTATTATGCATCATGTGTTTTTAAATGCATATTTGCGATTTTGATGTTGAACACGACAAGCGCGTTTTATCTGATTTATTATATTATATAAATTGTTAGAGATTGTGGTGATAAATGAGCGATAATATGTTCCACTTTTTTTCATCCAACTAAAAGAAAATATCTCTGTCATTTTTTTTCAAATACTTGCGTAGATCAGGAATACTGGAATCGATTGCGTTCGCAGATCGAAAAATCGATATTAGCTTTGTTCATTTGCTTATGCATTTGCTTATGAATAATTTTATGAACGATATCTATATTGTAACAAGTAAGCATTATCCATCAGATTTAGATATTTCGGATTATCGCTGATGCCTGTTTCAATCAAATTTGTAATAATTTGATTATAAATATTATAATGTTATTTAAAACAAATTGATTATAAATATTATAATGTTATTATTATTTATGAATGTTAATTACAATATATATTTATATATACATGCTATATACGTTTGAATTATATCAATATTATCAAATTTTTTAAATCGGGACTAATTTAGCAAAGAGATTAATAATAAAATTACAATGAAAAAATGACACATTTTTATTGTATAATTCGTTTATCTTGTTATATGTTATCTTATTATATGTTGATTTTTACAATGCAATTGAATTATCATCATAATATAATCCTTCCCATTATTGAAACTTATCTTATTTCGATAAATTAATGACACATTTTTAATAAAAAAGTATTATCTTATTAGATATCCATTTTTTCTTTCACAAAATATTTCATATTGTTACATTTTGTCAAATTTACATAATATATGCTAAAAGAAATGTATAATAGAATTATATATAATAGAAGTAAGACATACATAGTATAGGTTTTTAAGTTTTGTACAGTATCTTGAGTTAAAATATTCATATTAATATTATCTCAAATTTAACATAACAAATTGTTTATAAGAAAATTTTTGAAATTAATAAATATTCAAATATATATTTCAAGATTATGTATTTTTTCTTGTCTTTTTGAAAACCTCAAAAATTCATCAAAAAAGGTAATTTATAATTACATAAATATAGTTTTTCCGCACAAAATTATATAAAAAAAATGTCGGCTAATTAAATGCTGCTTTTTCAAACTTTCTATTGTTAAATTAATGTTGCATGATTGTCAGTTTAGTCGTTATAAATGTATTCTTTCGAAAGAATTGTTTCTATTATTAATCATAAATTTATATAAATAAACGTTAATTAAGAATATGCGATCATGCAAAATATGATATATTAAATTAAATTTATCGATGGAATTCCCATCAGGATTTTTCGAATGTTTCGCGCGTTCTCTACCTATTTAAGCATTCAACAGAGGGACGCGTGATCGTATATATATACCGCTATCGAATACCGATACAGTGTTAAGGGAGAGTTAGTAGTAAACGACACACTTTATTTATCTGCTTTATGTGATCATAAAGTGTCGAAAGATAGTTGTTGTTGAAAATTTTAGGAATCGAGACTTCAGCAGTAAATTAAATTCTGAAATATGTTTTGCCTTCTTGTGGGATGACGGTGCTCTATATGACGATTGACGCACAAATAAAAAAGTCAGTATATATTTATTATATTATATATTGGCATAATAAATATTGAAAATTATAAAAATCGAATTTTTCTCGTATCCGATTTCTTGGATAAATGCGTAATTTGAGCAAATGCAATTAATACTTCAATACAATTAGATAAAATTTTTTGGTAAAAACGTATGTTTTTATTTATTAGTCAAAAAGTAAATAAAATAAGAATATTTTTGATAGAGTGAGTTCATCGTTCTTTCGTAACGTCTATCTTGCTTTTATCTCTATTTAAACGATAACCGTCATAAATCTCTTTGAGGTCATTAAATACATAAATCTCTTTGGAGGTCATTAAATATATGTGCATTCACAGAATGTTTTTTATGTTACTTTAAGCATTTTATTTCCAAACTTTTGGCCCGAGATGGATCTTCCTTCAATTTACATGAAGGCGCTGACGCAAGTTGCAAAAAGTTCAATTCGACCTTTGCCTTCAGTACGTTTGACCAATATCGACAACGTGACTTATTATGGCACTATTAAAATTGGAATCCACCGAAAGAAGTTAAAGTTATTTTTTGATACTACTTCCCAATATCTTCGGATATTTCCCAAAAATTTCTCCACAAATCCTGTTCCTTGTAAGTAAATCGTTTATATATACAAGTACATGTATATGCTTTTACTTTTAATTTATTAAATAAATTTCATTTCATCAATATCGATCTTAGATAAGCTTAAACTTCAATTTTTAAATCCGCGAATATATATATATATATATATATATATATATATATATATAGGTATATACACTATAATATAAATATTACTAACAAATTAAAATAAATATGTATCTGTCTAATATACAACTTTTTAAAATCCCAAGATTATACTTGAAAATATAATTGTATATATATATAATATAATTGTGTATATATATATATGTATAATATATATATATATTACTTATAATATTCTATCTACAATTATTTTTTCAAGTATAACCTTGGGATTTAAAAAGTTGAAATTTACACAGATACATATTTATTTAAATTTTTAGTAATATTTAATATTATAGTGTAAATATTACAATGGCAAACTTTGGAATTTGCATGTTTAAATTAATTGGAATAATTTATCACATTCACTTTTTGAAGATACAAACAAACATTGATAAATGAAGATGATTTATAAATTTAATTCGATAAAAACATGTATATATACAACATAAATAATTATTTACAAAAGCATGTTGCATATTTACTATAAATTAATAAGATATATGTCTATGCATATTTTTAAAATTTTTTAAATATTTCTAATTTTCGATATTACTGAATATGCTTCACAGTGGCACGTAGTCGAAGTTCGTCTTTCAACCCATATATAGTAGATAATAGAATATTTCATGTACCATACCACGATTTACAATGTAACAGGATTCCTATCTATGGGTACAGTGAAAGTAAGTTATTATTAAATAAAGCATTCTAATTTAATTATAACTAAAATAATAGTTTAAACATTACTTAAGCAATCGTGTTCTTTTCTTTGCGTAGCAATGTACGATGTATTATTTCAATACAAATTTTATGTAGATTGCCGACATCAATGTGGAGAGGCAAGTAATTCTAGAAGTGGTAAACATATTCGGCATGCCAAAAAACATATATTTAAATCGTACTTAAATATATCTGACCAAAAATATGAGGTATTTTGGGCCTGAGCTATCAACAAACATTCGAACCACTTTCTGTCTTCCAGAACATGATTGATCAGTGGCTAGTGGCACACGGCGCTTTCAGTATTTATCTAAATAGGTACATATCTTCTCTACCTATATGCATATCGTATACTTAAAGTCTAAACGAGATTTTTAAAATTAAAATAATATTTATATTTACACATTAAATATACTTAATTTTAATTATCACATCATACATATTGGCAATATAAAGAACATAATTTGCCAGAAGCTTCTTCAGCCGGATTTTAGGTGTAAATTGATATTTGGTGGTTTCGATTCAGCTTATTACAAACAAATTCTTGCATATGTTCCTGTTACTCGCAGAGGATACTGGCAATTTACCATTGATCGGTACGTTATTTTTTTAATTACATTAATCATGTTTCAACAAATTGTTAATGTCACCGCTTTTGTAGTATCGAAATGAATCAAGTTGTAGGGGGAATACTTATGAATGGTGCGGGGAGGCTGCAAGCTATCATTGACAGAGTACTTGGAAAATAATTGGGTCCAGAAGAGGATGTCTCAGTATTAATCGACTTTTTCTAAGTAATATATATGTAAAGTAAACAATATTTTCAAAGTAATTATATCTTTCACAAAGCACGTAATCTTCGATAGAGAAAAATAAATTATAAAAAATTGATTAAATAGCGATAAAAAAATAATATTAGGTATGTTCAATGAAACATTAATTTCTATGGAATAATAACGTATTTTGCTTGTTTTCCGAAATACATATATTCTAAATGTGATTAATTGCTGATCTGATATTATCTTTATTTAAAGAAAACCTGCCGTGGAATTTGAGTATTTACTTCGTAACGTTTAAAATAC